ATGAAAATTCCAGAGGAACTTTGCTTAACTTGCAAACCAAGAAAGAATTTAAGTTCAACCATCATACTCATTTCAAACACAGACTTCATGGTTTCACAAAAGGCAGTACAAAGGGAGGGATCGGATGATCCAAAGACTATGTCATCCACATAGACTTGGACCAAAAGTATCTTACCAGAGGCTTCCTTAATAAACAGGGTTTTATCTGTACTTCCTTGCACAAAAGAATTTTCAAGAAGAAAAGCTGTGAGGCGTTCAAACCAGGCCCTAGGCGCTTGTTTGAGTCCATACAGCGCTTTATTTAATTTAAAAACATAGTCAGGGTGTTCAAAGTTCTCAAACCCAGGGGGTTGTGAGACATAGACATCTTCTTGAATAAATCCATTTAAAAATGCGCTTTTAACGTCCATTTGGTATAATGGAAAGCCTGAGTAACTAGCATAAGCACATAGAAGTCTTATTGACTCAAGCCTAGCTACAGGGGCAAATGTTTCATCGTAGTCTACTCCTTCTTCTTGAAGGTAACCCTGAGCTACTAACCTAGCTTTATTCCTAATGATGAATCCCATCTCATCAGACTTGTTTCTGAACACCCATTTGGTTCCTATCACAATAACATTAGGAGGTCTTGGGACCAGATCCCAGACCCTCAAGTGTTCAAATTGTATTAATTCTTCTATCATAGCAAGGTTCCATTCCTCATCTTTTAGAGCCTCTTTATAATTTTTTGGTTCAATTTGAGAAACAAAGGCATACTGCCCAGGAATGTACTTACCTCTTGTCTGAAGTTTGTCATTTATGTTTCCTATGACTTGACTCTCAGGATGGCGCTTCTGTATATGAGGTGGAGCCTTGGGAACTTCAGTGAGTTCATCCGGTTCTTTATCAGACTGATGAGCCACTTCCACATCTTGTTTGGTGGTAACCTGTTCACTAGGAGAAGCTAAACAAGGAGAGGTGAGTTCACTTAAATCAAAACTCATAGTGATATCTGGTGTTGCTGGTTCTGTTTCATTGAAAACAACATGCACAGACTCTTCAACCTTCCTAGTTCTTTTATTGAACACTCTGTATGCTTGTCCCTTAGATGAGTGCCCTAGGAAGGTGGCAGGATCTGACTTGGCATCGAATTTTCCTAGTGAATCACGAGTATTTAAGGTGTAACAGGGACATCCAAAAGGATGGAAGTAAGAAACTCTAGGAGTTTTTCCCTTTAAAATCTCATAGGGAGTTTTATTTAACTGTTTTCGAACCAAAACACGATTAATGACATAGCAAGCAGTACTAACTGCTTCAGCCCAGAAAAACTTAGGAAGATTATAATCGAGAAGCATAGTTCTGGCACTTTCAATTAAGGTTCTGTTTTTGCGTTCTACCACTCCATTTTGTTGGGGGGTTCTAGGAGCAGAAAAAGAGTGATTTATTCCAGATTTATCACAAAACTCAGCAAAATCATCAGAGATGAATTCTCCCCCATTGTCACTACGAATGCTTTTTATCAATTCATTGTTCAAGGAAACAAATGAGCGGAATTTTTCAAAAGTTTCATCCTTGTGGGCCAAGAAATACACCCAGGTAAATCTAGAATAGTCATCCACTAGCACAAATACATAATTCTTTCCTCCTAGACTAGTTACATTACAAGGCCCGAATAAATCCATGTGAATCAGCTCATAGCTTCTGGAGGTGGTAATGTCTAGTTTAGGTTTAAAGCTTTTCCGTTTGTGTTTACCAGCAGCACAAGCATTGCAAAAGAATTCCATTTTGTCCTTCAACTTAGGAACTCCTCTAGCTAAGCTCGATTTAGACAGAATTGCTAACTTGGATAGGCTGACATGTCCTAGTCTTTTATGCCATAATACTTCAGAAGAAACTGAGGTAGCTTGAAGGCATTTAGCATTAACTAAGCTAGGATCAGAGATGTCCACTATATACATGTTGTTGACCCTTTTTCCTACCAACAGGACTTTGTTGTTGTTTATCTGTTCTACTGAACATTTCTCATTTTCAAAAACAACACGGTTTCCATTACTACATAGTTGACTAATTGATAGTAGGTTGTGTTTAAGACCTTCAACTAGCAGAACATTTTTTATAATAGGGCATGGACTTTCACCAACACTCCCAGACCCTACTATTTGACCTTGACCATCATCTCCAAAAGTGACCTTACCCCCACGTTTCATGGTAAGAGAATTGAATAGAAGTTTCTTACCAGACATATGGTGTGAACACCCACTATCAAGGTACCACTTTGAGTCATCTGGAGAGGTGGAATTCTGATTGAATTCGACTGATAGCACACTGCTTGCAGAGGCCATGAGTGCCTTTTCATCACCACCATCATTTTCATCTTCTGATTCGTAGTCACTCCATGTTGCTTTCATGGCCCTTTCTTTAGCTCTTAGAGTGAGTGGACAATTAGCCCTGATATGGCCTGGCTTTTCACATTTATAGCATTCTTGGACTTCTTTATCCTGATTTCCTGCATCAAATTGTCTGGTCTGCGGTGTACGCAGCCTTTCTTGGAACGAGCTTCTGATCTTGTCAGAAGGGTTAGTACGATAAGAGGAATTCAAAGATTTCTGCTTCTGTTCTTGTTTATATTTGAGCATCCTGTGAAACTTATTGCTAATCAGAGCAAATTCCCTACTAAAGTCTTCACCTAAATCAATATCAGATTCATACTCTTCAGCCTGTGATTTAAAAGCTAAAGTTTTCTTTCGTTTTTCATCATCTCTATTTACTTGCTTGAGAACATGTTCATGACTGAGAAGTGAACCTATCAACTCATCTATAGCCATGGTATTCAGATTTCTGGCCTCTTCAATAGCAGTACGTTTAGGTAACCATTCCTTAGGAAGTGATCTCAAGATTTTTCTGTTTAAGTCTTTCAAGAGATAGGTTTTTCCTAGCCCTTTAAGTTTGTTAATCAAAACAGTAAATCGAGAATACATTTCGTGAATTCCCTCACCTGGAGCCATGTCGAAGCACTCATACTCATGCACCAGAAGATCAATCCTGGTTTCCTTGATATTCGAAGACCCTTCGTATGTGCTTTCAAGAGAACTCCAGATTTGCTAAGCCGATTCGCAGTGTTCGACCTTGTCGGCTTCTTCTGGTATCATGGCGGACTGAAGAATGTGCATCGCTCTTTGATTTAGCTGAGCACTCTTCTTCTGTGCCGCCGACCAAAAATTTTGTTCAGCATCTTCCATGTCGATAGGACCATCTCGAACCACAGTCCACAACTCTTCATCGACTCCCCAAAGGAATGTTTTCATCCTCTTCTTCCATGCCGTGTAGTTCGAGCCGGTGAATACTGGCGGATGATTGTAGGACGCTTGCCCAAAATTGCCCGACGCCATTTTCCTGGACCACTCTTGGCAGCAATTAGCTCTCTCTCAAGAACCAGGCGCTCTGATGCCACTTGTAGAAGAGAAGATTTCGTGAAATGAAATGAGAAGACAAAGAGAATTAGGGATTTTGACTTCCTTCTGTCAATGATCCAAGTCTTTTGTCAATGAACCAATTGGACCAAAACCGAAAATTAAACCAAACCGAAATAAGCCTCAACAGACTGAATTAATAGGAATGGGCCGAGACACTTTAGGCCCACAAGCTAAATACCGCTTTCCCTTAACTCAAGCCCACAGCAGATCAGAGTCAGGGAAGAGCAATCAGTCTTCTTCTTCCTCGTGCCAGCCAGCCTGAAACAGAGCCAAGCAGAGCAGGGGAAACAGGAACAGAGGGAAATCGAAATGCAGAAAGTAAAGCGCAGAAATTAAAGAACACAGCGGGATTTTTAACGAGGTTCACCACAGGGTTACTCCTCGTCCCGGAATAGTACCCACTATTCCGAGAGACACTTTTGATTTTCTTTGACTCTAAGAAAATGAAAGAAGAAAAGAGTTTACAGGATGTGGTGAGAAAATCAAAAGGCCGGACACTCAACCCAAATCCACGCAGGGATTTGTTACAACCTTTGATCGACTGAACCTCTACCTCAGTCTCGATCAAAGCCACTGTTTCTAACCCCTTTGCCCTTTTCCACAAAGAAATCAATCGAAACCAGCAAAGTCCGAGAGCCAAGCATTCTTCATTTATATAGCCTTCAGCAGGGAGCCGTTGAGAACACTCACAGAAATGGAAGTTATTCAAATCTTCAATCAACTCCCCCTTGATTCAAGCATCAATTAACTTGATTCTCTTAAGCAATCTCTTGACTTGATTTGATTGGAAATCTTCGAGGCCAACATGATCTACTGAGTGGAAGAGGTCCTTTTGCTACTCGATGAGCAACTCTATTAAACCTCCAAAGAGTATAATAACTTGAGACCATTAAAAGCATCATAATAGATACAAACTTCATTTAGTAAAGCTCCATCGTCATATCTCTCTCGCTAAAACTCAATGTAACACCAATTTTGGAAATCTCACAAGAATGATACCACCGATAAACTCGCGCTTAAAACACCATCTCATACCACAAGACGATACCACAAAGCCAATAATATCTCCTTGATTATGTCGAGTACCTTCATCAGAAGTCCTATATGATTTGACCCTAAATGAATTGCCCTCCATTATATATCACTTTTGCAAAAATTTGTGGAGCTAGCCGCGGCATATATGACAATTGATAGGGCATAGGTCCCCTTCACCTTCCACTAGTCCTTTGGCAATTTCTAGCATGTTGGGAGGAAGTCTTGATGGATGTTACAAAGTGAACGGTCAATTTTTTTTTCTCTTTCAGATCAAGATGAGAATGGTCGCTTAATCATTTCACGATAACTGTTGGAAAGATTGGATGTGGAGATTGGCCTCTAATTGGTTGGCACCAAGTGGGAAGTTATCTCTGTAGCTAATAAACATATGGTGGGAGTTTGAATTCCTATGGAGGATATTTAGCAAGGAGAAAGCAAAATTGCAGACTTTGGGTCATCTTAACTTAAACAACTACCAGACAGTCTGTTTCACAGAGTAACCAAACAAAGACATTTGCCTAAAACAGGCCACAGTCGAACAGTTAGTTCATGAGCTGCATGATTATCTGCATACAGAATCAAACAAAAGAGAGGATCGTCTCAGGCTGCTGCATTTTCGCGCCATAAGTCACGAATTTTCAAGCATCTGATCGATACGACGGAGCATACAAGCATCTGATTACAAAGAACCAAAAGTAATCCACCACGGCTCTATCACAGATTCCCCTGATCGTTTCATCTCAGAGTACGACATATTCAATACAAAGAACCAAAAGGAATTCAGCACAGATGAAGTCAAGGCAGAAAACAAGTAATTTGCCTAAACCTGGTTACAACCTACACTTTTGTTCTTCAGCTACAGGTACAAGTATACATAAGCGGAGCAAAGAGAGAAAACAAATGGTTGGATGATGTGTTTGCCATTTCATGATGGGCATTCACGCCGATGGAGAACCATCTCTGACTGCATAATTTGGCTGAAATCATGACAGTCCAGTTTCAAGCGTACGATGGAGCCAAGCATTCATCAACCATTTCCACTAGATTAGGGTTCTCCAATGCTGCTGCTATTCTCTCCTTATCATTTAGCTGTTTGTTCACTACAAAACAATAAACATATAAATGTAAGTTAAATAAACAAGGTTGAATTGGCACAGGGTCAAGCTGTTAGGAAGAAGAAACCATGACATCAAAAGGGAAACCTAAGAGACATGCTTAATTGGTAAAATGAAATCCCATCATATTTACAGAACAGTTCAAGATTCTTCGCATTTATACATATCTTGCTTTCCTTTCTCCATCATACTACGACAGAATACAAACCCAAGAAATACAGGGAAAGAATGCTTTCAACACATAACTTTCATCATTTGAACATAACCCAACAAGTACCGTTTTATAGTTCACCCGAACGTTCAAATTTAGATCCAGCGCAAGTTTATCCAGAGCAAGTATCCGATCGACAAACACGGATGATAAAGAGGGAGTAGTACCTGCAGCTTCAGTTGCATGGGTTCCTGGTGCAACCCTTATATCCACCTAAAATGCAATCCAATAAATGATGTTCATGAGAGGATTCACAAAGAAAGAAGGTAAGTAGCATAATATAATCTACATGACTACATGTACAACTATCACACAAAGGCCCGAAAGCTTGAATACCCAACAAACTTATAATGGATAATAACTATTGAATGAGAAAAGCAGATACCTTGTAACGAGATGGCAGGCTTCTCATAAGCTTAACTCGCAAGCAAAGGCCGATTACAGTCGCCATGCTACAATGCTCGACTGTCGGAGTAAATGTCACCCTGAAAGCAAATAAACAAATACTAATTCAGTATCTTGCATCGGGAAAAATGGATAGTCGAACAGAAAGAACAAGATTGCGGATACCACCTAACATAACTACGCCTGTCATCCACTTCGATCGCATCTTCTGATATAACCTTAAGCTCCTCCAATGAATAAGGGTGTTCTGGATCCTTTATGTCTCTCACGTGATGTATGAACCAAGTTAAGAAGCACAGCAATAAAGAGGCATCGACCCTCAATTTTGATCGGCACAGGTTACATCAACAGATTGATAATAGATGATAGAATCCCCCAACCCATTTGTAAAACAATCAAGCTACCTCCAAATGAACAAACTTTGGTCTCCAAAGAACACAAGCACTACAACCCATTGAATCCTACAATATGCTCTATCATTTTTCCCTAGTTGCCGATTGAATCAAATTTCAGGCCAAATTCAAACATTTTGCAATTACTCTAGCAGGTCGAAGATCAGGTTGAATTTTCACCAACAAAAGAAGATAAATTAAAATAACAAAACAGTATGGAGAATTGAAAAGGATATCAAACACTTCCAGCTGGTCGATGGCCTCAGCAGAATACTCGTCGGCATCGGGGGTAGAAGCAGGCCGTTCCCGCCGCTCTTTCTTTTCATAGACGACGGGATTGGCGTTTATCAGCCCGGAAACCATTGCTCAATCCCACGAATACAGATAGATGCTGCAGAGAATTCGCTCCTCCTTCCCCTTTCAAGTTGTCGCTCTCAATTCCACCGGCGATTGGGCAGGACAGAGTCGCTTGCCTCGCAAAAGGAAGAGTGCGGTGGCAGCAAGGCGCGGCTCGTTGTTCTTGTGATGCTTTACGGCCGGTTGAATGACGCCTTTATTTCCCGCTGTCCTTCAGCTGATAAAGAGAAGGAGGCTCGATCGCCTGCGAATTGGACGGCGGCGGGCGGCCGCTTGATTTCTAAGAACTCGGCGCGAACAGAGTAACGGAGGAGGTGCCAAAAATCGGAAATTGTGATTTAGGGCTCAGCATTTGGGTTCTTCCGACGAGGCATAAAAAAAGGGTAAAGCCACGGTCCTGACGGCGTCGTTTCACTGTGTCCATACTCCATTCCAACAAAAAGCTGAAGATTAGGGAGAAAATGGGAATATTATATTAATTGCACTAATCATTCCCCAAGTCCTCCACATTTCATTCAAGTACAATTTGCACCATACACTATTGAAATTTGACACTACACCAGCTACCTTTTTTACAGCTGGGAAACGGTTAGAAAAAAGAAAATTTACTAAGGCCTAACAATCTTTTCTCCTGCTTAGCTAAGAACACCAGTTTTCCTGGATTGCTTCATAGACCCACTTTTGGGTAACAGTAAATCAAATGAAGTCAAAGAATGAGCAGACAATTTCACATCCATCTTGCTGCTTGGATTCTTCAACTCTGTTTCCACCGGCTTGATCTGTAAAAATACAAACAAACCCGAAACCACGGTTAATTTTTTTTTCTTTCTCACAATCAATTATAGGCAGCTAGTCAAATGACGAAATTATCACGATTTAAATCAACCTTTAATGGCTCATCGAACGTATTCTCCGCCATCACATCCCCACCGTACGTCATCTCGGTCTTCTTCGACACGAATCTGCTATCGATGTTCGCTCCGGTGATGTCGATTTTGATGTCGATCGGATCATCCGCCACGTTCACGACCTTAACCGTAAGGTACGAATTGCCCGTGGCCGGGTCTGATCGGATGATGGCCGAGGCGGCCAGATGAGCAGAGGATCTGCCGTCGAGCGTGGCGTTGAGCAGAGCTGCTCCATTGGACTGCGAGAAGAAAGTCTGCATCCAGTAGCTTGGAGTTCCGTAAGCTCTGTAGGAGTCGAAGTTAATGGCGTCGGGGCTCCACTTCCTGTCGTTTGCGTTGACGAACAGCGGCGCATACGCAGCCATCTCAACAATGTCGCTGCAGAGTGTCACAAAAAAAAAAAAAAAAAAAAAGAATGTTCAATCAAATCGAAATCAATAGCTTAAGCGGATTAACGAGTAATGAAGTGAAGAGCAAACAAGCCCAACCTGTTTTTTTCCAAACCCATGAGGAACCCTGCCTCCGCCAATGCTGCTTTCAAGCTCCCCAATCCGGCGTCCTCTCGCCACACCGCGTACTCACTTACGAACGCCTTGGGCCCGGTTCGTGGCACGGTGTCGAACTGATGTCTCAGACGAAACATGTCGCTCGCGGTCGTGTATTTCTGTCGATTTTGCGAGGTCGTAACAGATGAACCAGAAAATTAGTCGAGGAATCGAGGATTAACAATCGAGACAATGATATGGTTAAGTAACGTTTTTTTCTTTTTCTTGTTTGTTTACATGGTAATCGTAGTAGTCGGCTGGATCTTGAGTTGGCGTGCTGGGGTCGGTGTAATCGCAGTTGGATATGACCTTGATGTTAGGGAAAACGCTCTTTATGGCGTAGTAGAACTTGAGGTAATTCCCTGCATAAATTCAACTAGTAGTCAACACAACATTTGTGTACGCGATTAAGAATGAGTAGCGATCAAATGATAATGAACCAAAACCTCGGTAGTGTTCTTTGCCGCAATCCTCGTTTCCGACAGCAACATATCTCAGATCGAACGGCTTAGGGTGCCCCATCGCCGCCCTGAGTCCGCCCCACGTTGAGGTTACGGGACCAACGGCAAACTGAATCCCGTCCAGGGCTTCCTATAAATTAACCATTGATTAATTACTAAGCAATTAAGTGAAAAGGGAGTGATGGATTAGTTATATAAAGGGGGGAGATTAGGATGATTAATACTTGAATGAAAGGTCCAATCATGGTGGTATCAACTTCATCGGTGTGGCTAATCCCATTGTTAAACACCCAAATCGGCAATGCGCCAATGTCTTCAGCAAACTGGAGAGTGGAAACCATTGATTAGTCGCTTAATTGGGTAATTAGCATTTAAGAGAAACTAAGTGAAGATTATGATGGTAATAACGACCTGATAGAACTCGTACAGGCCCATTCCATCGTCGGTCCAATAATTCCAGACATCACCAAAATGGCCAGGCCTGTTCTCCCATGGGCCCACTGTTTCCTTCCAGCGGACTGCGTTCCTCAGCCACGCACCTTCCACAAAGCATCCACCTGTGTAGTAAATTAAATTAGCTCTAAGAAATTTATTAACTAAAATATAATTAAGAAAAAAATAAGTAAATCATATTATTACCCGGAAACCGGATGAACCCCGGTTTGAGGTCTGCCACCATTTGAGCAAGATCGGCTCGGAACCCATGTCCCTACGATCCAAACAAACCAAATAAGATTTCGGACAAACCCAAAAATGAAAAAAATAATCGAGATGTAATTCTAACAAATGTAGGGGTTCGACGATGATACCTTGTATGTGTCGAGTGGCATGAGAGAGATCTGGTCGAACCAAACGACCGTTTTATGTGAACTAGTGATTGCGAGGGACGCATTCGGGTCCGACATGATGGGTTTGAACACGACCTCCCTCTTGGTCCACCCCGTAAATGCACCTCTGAATACGTACATACATAACATTACGTGTCGAAACCAGAAAATTAGTGATGTACCAGTGAATAGCAAAATAATTTTTTTCCTTTCTTACCCGACATTTTGGGCGGCCAGTTTTTTTGTCCGGTTGAACCCAATCAAGACCACGGTTAAGTCAACCGGGCCAATGGACCGGAGGTAGAAGACCAGCTTGTAACTCTTCCCTTGTTGAATATTCTGCATTAATCAATATCTAATCAGATTTTTTAACCGTTAAGATTTACTGCGTTTGAAAAAAATTACGATTCACCCCATGGCCTTTTAAAATTTTAAACTCACTCACCATCCCCCAATAACCGGGATTTACAATCCCGGCGCCGCCGGCCGGACAGCTGGCACCGTCGCACATCACATCCACCCGCAGCGCCATCTTGTTGTTCGCAAAGCACGACGTCGGCTCCGTCGCCACCTTCACCGCCCTCTCGTCGCCGATCACGTTCCACGGATAGATGTTGGAAGGAGCCACTCCCCCGCCAGCCTCAAACCCTGCATTAATCCAGCCGCAGAAAAAGTGGTCGTTAAAATCTACTAAACAGTCACTGGATCCTTTAGCGACCGTTATGTATCTTTTGTGACAGTAACTTCGTCGCAAAAAGTAAAATAGTGGTCATTAAAAGTATACCTCTGTTTCTGACGAGCTCTGCCCAAAGCCCACCAGCTCCAGCATGATTGATTTCCTATAATCAACGTTACCATCATTAATCGATGCTTTGAGATCAACCCTTTTACAAATTGCATCACAGAATCGAATCGATCACGCTAATTTACCTCGAAGAAGACACCGAATAAGGTACTGGGGATGGTGGGATGTTGATTACCAGAAGCATCGACCTTCAAATATGCAGTCTTGGTTCCACCTCCAGGAGCAGCAAAATCATAGCCATGGCCGAAGAACGGCGAGCAGCTAAGTACTACAACGATTAGGAGAAGGATCGGCCAACGATGATTAGCCATTTTCTGTTAGGGAAGAAATGGGGAAGGTTTTAGAGAGAACAGTGATAATCTGGGTTGCTTATATAGGGGGGATTAAGCTGCTGATTTTAAAAACAGAGAAAAGCGCGGCTCATGATCTTTTTGCCGTTATCTGAATTAATCGATTATCGATGTGATTATTATTATTTTGAGATTTCGTTCCTGTTACTTTAAGGCAGGGGAAATTATTCTGGGGCGATTCTGATTATAGTATCTGGCAGCACTTAATTATTATTAAGTTTAGTTTGACTGTAATTTTGACAAATGGTCAACTACTGGGTGCTTTGCTGAATGAGAAGACAAGAAGAGAAATTAACTCCAAATCAAAAGTCTTGTCAAAGTAAATTACTAATTAGTAGTCTTCTTCATATAATTAATTACAAGTAGATTTTAGTTTGAAGCTGACAAAGTGGCCATTGGGAAGTTAATATTGTTTGTTGAGAAAGAAAATTGCTCAAGACAAAGAGGCGAATTCTCGTAGTATTAAATATTGCATATTTCTCTATATTTTGTTGATACTCGTTCAATCCTTTTGATACCCATGAACGAATAACGAGCAAGTTTATATTTTCATATTGTTTTTATAGAAATATTTTCAGATTTTATTAGTTCATTCGATTTAAAAGTGCATTTTTTTTAATCTCGATCCTATAATCACTCTACTAACATTTGAAAATGTGATGGATAAAGCCAAAAAATACAATTTTCTTTGAAAGAAAAAGGTGACGAAATAATAAACCAGAAGCCAACTAGTTATATCATTCCTTGTTGAACGGCTCTGCAATTCGTACAAGCTGAATAAAGGCTACAATACAAAGCCATTAGAGGCCAAAACGTAACTAACCCACCAATTATTAGGCATCCAAAAACTGACAGGGAACAAACACAGAGTGGAGAAGCGAAGGCAGAGATAAGAAGCAACAGGTCTAACAGCATCACATGATGAACAAGAAGAAGAAGAAAGAAAGAAGCAAAGTGGAATCACAAGATTCACAACCCAACCCGATTAGTATGAAACACATCGAAAGGTCGATCTAACCAGAATTTGCATTTGCAAAAGTTACAGCGTAGCCAAACGAAACCAGTACTGAACATTGCAGAGGAACTTCTTCATTCACAAAGGAAAAGAAATCGATTCAACTCATCAACCTGGAAAAACCCTCCAACAAAATACTCACATTTCTTTACAAGAAAAGGAAACAAAAGAAAACCTCATCAGGCATGGAGTCTCTCATTCTCATACACAGATAACGTATTCTATAACAAAAACTTGTCTTTGATCATCAAAAGATAAACAAACCAACCTAACCCACAGCCTGCCAGCAGGCCAAAAATCATTCAAAAGGGTTCAGTGTGCAGTGTTGTTCTCGCTAACCCGAAGAAGCTTCGATCTCCTTGCCGTGATCATCATCTCGAAAGTTCCTTCTCAACCGTCTGATCCATATATCATAGTCAATGGGATACGGAGTCCCACAGAGACTGTCAACATAATCAGCGAATGCTTTCAACACCGTGGATACATCGCCCAGCTTCTGCTGGATCAACCTCCTCGACCAGGCCGTCTCCCTCCACTGCAAGGCACCTTCGACCGAGTCCAAGTCGGGCAGAGGCCCACCGGACGAGAAGTAGAGCATGTAGACGAGGCTTTCTGCGTCGGAAGCAGAACACAACTTCCCCTCTTGGAGAGCATATGTCGACGAGAAATGCAGGTTCATTGCTGGACGGTCCCTTTCCTCGAGTATCGCATGGCCCCACCCGATTAGTACGAAATATGGATGCTGCCTCGTGCTGCCGGACCTTATAACGTTCTCGGGCCTGATGTCTCCGTGTCTGATACCGACTGAAGCTGCGGTTGAAAGGGCAGACAAGCAGTCGTGACAACACCTGATTGCTTCTTCTGGGCCGAATCTTCCTGACATTATCATGTCGGCTACCGACTCGCCGACTGGGCTCGTGACAAGGATCGGAGTCGAGCACCATGGGTGATCGCAGTTTCCACCGGAGCTGGGTTTCCGGCACTGACCTGGGTGGGCAATCCGGCCTGAAGCAGCCAGGTCAGGCAGATACTTGCTAGACACGCCTTTCTGCCTCATGATGGTCAAGATTTTGGTCTGTCTTTGGACCTGATACCATAGCTTCATATCCTCCCATGCAGGTTCAAGCTGAGAAGGGTGAGAACCTACGTAGAGGAAATAGGATCTACTAGGGTCATCTACAGGTGAGGCGAGATAGTATTGCAGTTCGCCATTGAACAGAACACCGTCGATTTGATAACCCTTCTGCTGGTCTGGGTCCTCCAACCACAGGACCGAACCATTTTCCAACTTCATTGCCAGATCTTCAGACTCAATGTTGTTAATCGACTCATCCAGAACTTCCACAATCTCTGGTTCAACACTGCGTTGCTGGTACCGAAAAGCTCCATTTCCATTAACTCGGGCGGTATCCCTATCCCCCAACTGCCTCTCGATTCTTCTTGCATGGAGGCGAGAGCCATGATCAGCAGCTAGATCTTCGATCGAGTGCTTTGGCATCCCTGCAAACTGCATTATAGAGTGGAAGGTTGCAAAAAGGACCTGCAGAGCCCCAATGTCTCCCCAATTGGCATTTCCTAGCTTGTTCCATATCCTATCTATGGGAGAGACTGAAATCCTAGAATGACTCTTAATCCAATCGGCACAACTCTCGTACACGTTATTCACATCAAACTCCAATCTATTTACATCACCTTCAACTTTCACTACCCCTCCATTCTGAGAATCAACAAGAAGAACAAAGACAGTGTCCACACTTTCAGCAGACTGAAATTTCCCTAGCTTCCTGGACAACAGCAGGCGTAAAGCATAAAAGAGAGCCTCACCTAGCACGGCGTGTGAAGGCTGTGGGTCATTCCCGATATCAGGCCGAAGAAGGGCCAGCTCGAGAATTTGATCCCATTTACCATGTGGGTGTCTTGGATTGTTTACCAATATACCAGTCGCACAGAGGCCAGGGAGCTTCCCATTCGCTATGGCCTTCTCAGCTTGGTAGAACTTCAGATTCTCACTGTAGAGACAAGCCACCGAGAATGGCAGGGGAGCATCCTCTTCATCCTGACTCCAGAATGCCTCCCACAAGCCCTTCACACCGGCGTGGAGAAAATCTTCTACCGCTAAGAAAGCAGTGGCTTCCACGGCATCAGATGTTGATGATGCGTACACAGCACTGGGCATCCGAATCAGCTGCTGAAACGAAACCCCTTCCAACGCGTAGTCGAACTTCTGAAGGTCTATCAGCTCGAAAGGGACATCAAAGGCGGGACTTTTGGAACCGGAGACTGAATCAAACCAGTCGGCGAGATGGGAAGTCAGCGTTTCACAGTCCACTAACCTATCGAGAAACTCCCGCTGCCGGCGATGGGACTTGCTAAATGAGGAAATACTCGATCTCCTCGTGCCCGAACCGATGGATTCAATGTCCGGAGATCCGCCGGCACCTGCTGAAATCGAACGGAAATGGAAAATTCTCGATTCATTCCTACTTCGCAAATGAAATTAGGTTTATTTAACTTCTACTCGAGAAAAAGGAGAAGAGGAAAAGCACACACCTTCAGAGTCAGATGTCCTTCTCGGCGGAACTGGAGCCATGGTTTCCGGAATTCAAAAGGAGAGATCTCGAATACTCGAACGCTCGCCGCGCGAAACCGCAGCTAATCCAAAAAACAAAACAAAAAGCCAAACCGACGGCCGCCGCCGAGCTGGGGGTGAAATTCTCAAAGTGATCTCGCTGCTGAAAGAGACAAATCGTCGTGGCCTGGACTGGAACCCGTCAATTCAACGCAGATTCGTCGGGAGATCGACCTTAGGAAGCGGCGGCGAAGAACCATTCTATTCATCCAGCTCCCTCTCTCCTCCAGCGCCCTCTGTGCTTCCTTTCCCCCACTTGACTTGTGAACCGCGGCGAGCTTTTCCGTCGGTATTCGCAGGCGGAAACTGCTTGGCTCGCAGATGAGAACTCCGCCGGCCCCGGAAGAGATGAAACGGGAGGAAACCCAAGATAACAGCAAGCAAAGCAGGCAGGAAGCTGCCGAATGGTGATAGTGGCCAGAGAGAGAGAGAGAGAGAGAGAGAGAAAGAGTTGTGGGGGATCTTTTTGGAATAGTTGTTATTTCTTTGGATCGAAATAGAGAATCCCTTAAAATAAGGGTTTTGTTTTTTTCCGGTATTTTTTCTTCTTCTTCTTTTCTTCTGGCTCTGGGTCATTTCTTCTCTCCACCGGCCGTCCACTTCAATTTCTCATATTTTCCCCATTTTTTATTATATTAATCACGTCATTGGTCTTTCCCTTAACTACCTGTCCTCCAATCTCTGAGGGTAAATTAATAAATGATCACTGAATTTTCGGGTTGTTGCAACTTGCAACTCAATGACTAAAAAACCTTGATTTTTAATGAAAGTATCAATTAAGTTTATAATAACTAACATATGTCCATTTTTATAAAAAAAAACTTTTATCTAAATTGTGTTAGATAATATGTTAAAAACATTATATGATCGTATTTTAATGTGCAAGAAACAAGATTAAGAGCAACAAATCTTGATTGACCAAACTCAATAGCACCAAAGATAATAAGAATATGGGGGGCTTCTGGATGATGTGATAACACAAAGGATTCTTGTGCGGTTGTGCCACATTGCAAGCCGTGGAAAAAACATACCAGAATACAAACCCCAGAAAGATGAACACTGACTGATATATTGCCCTGTACAATTTGTATTGGGGAAAATCGGCTCGAAGACAACCAGTATGAAGTAGCAGTCAAAATTGATTAGAAAACGCTCGAAGTTGATCAAAACTACGAAAATCAAAGATTATGGGTGAGCATCTCGATGATGCGATAACACGAAGGGTTCTTGTGCCACATTGCAACCCATGGAGAAAACGTACCAAGATACAAACCCTAGAAAGATGAACACCGACCCTAAAGGTATTCTTCTTTTGTAATTGCATAACATGTTTTCACGATTGTCAAATCCCTAAACTAATATGTTGCCCCGTACAGTTGGTATTGGAAAAGATCATCTGAAAGACCAGCGACATTATCAAATCAAAATGATCGATTTTCGGTCACAAAACAAATAATATCATTCTTGTGGAATTAATTATAAAAAGAGAAACAAATTGGTTGGATTAAAAAATATGAACATTTAGACGTTGAAGTTATTTGTTGGATTCAAGCATAAACATTTGAAAGTTAACGTTAAATATTGCATTAAATATGATCATTTTTCATTTTGTTTGCAATGTAGTATTTTATTTAAATATGAATGTAGATTATAAGAAAATTATCTTAAAATAAATTATTTATATGCACTATTCATCCATTTGCGTACTTTCCTCACATGTTTTGTTAAACTGACATATAAAATCATTGCATTCCGGTCGGACAATACTCATTACTAAATCGATCGATGTAAGGATAAATCGGTTTGACAATCTTTCATATTTATTTTTTGTCTGTAATTAAAAAGGGGATTAACAAAAAACAAGCCAAATAAAAAAGGCCGAGACGATCAATTTGATCAAAAGGTAGTTTGGGTTAGGCGGAAGGTTCAGGAAAGAAAGGACGACGGAATGAATCGTACAGAGTCCGGCGAGAAAATATAATCGAAACACTTTCAGTTTCAGAGGAAGAAGAAAAGTCAGAGAGGGGAGAGAGAGCGGAGGGACGCTCTTCGAAAACTCCTCCACTTGGCGGTTACATCGGCGGAGAAAGTCATGAACGGCGGTCCCGCTGGTTTCAGTACGTATCTTCCTCCTCCTCCTCCCATCGCTTCTTAACTAGTTTTCCCGCAAAATCCCACTTCTCATTGACGAGTTTTTTCTTTCTTTCTCTCAACAGACAATGCGCCAGTCACAAGAGCGTTCGTCATTTCTTCTACCCTCTTCACCCTCTTCTTTGGGATCCAGGGCAGGTCTGCCAAGTTCGGATTGTCCTACCAGGTGCGTGCAGTCTTACCCACTTCGCTCTTTCTCTTGAATTTCGTCGTTCAATCGGGGAATTATGGTGCTTGATTGCCTAGTCTTTGCCCTAATATCTAATGCTGGGTAGAGGATTTTAGCTTGGGGTGGATGTGAATCGTGTGCTGCCAGGAGCATTAGGATTGGGTCTGATTATAGAAATTTGGGGACAAGTGAGGAATGCGGGACACTAGCTGTGATTGTGAAGGTGCTAACTGCTAAGCGAATTGGATACGGGGTTGGGATTGTTAGCTTGATCTTGTCTTTCTGCTTCATTGATGGCTGAATCAGCTGAACATTTGAGCTGTCGACTCTGTTGTGTTCTCTGGATTGGTTATACAAGATCGTCACATCATTGAAATTTTTGCTGGCTGATTGGTGTCCGAACATACTGGTTGCATTATAAGCTACATACCTGATTAACTACAGTACGGGCATGGGGAAAGCCGCATCCTAGTCTAATTGAAAAGACGGAGTTGGCCCGGTTGGTAGGGCAAATGATTGTTGAGGATTTCATACCTATGCTTCGAATGATGTGTGGTTAATATGAGTTTCTGTATGAGAGATTTCTTCATGGAATTTGTTTTCCTTGCCGTTGGAGGAAATGGATTGCTGAAGCACAATGATTTTGGATGCTTTCTCTGTCAAATCAAGGAGTTGAGCTCCGTCTTGGGTGTTTGTGCACAAACACTTAGTTGCGGAATAATTTATAAATTATGATAAATTTTGCCTTGAATGTTTGGCTTCTTTAGACTGCATATTTGCAAAAAAAAGTTGTGTGAAAAATTGTGTAGTTGAAACATCAGGAAGATATGTACATACTTCGACTGAAATTTGTGTGTATATCAGTACATACATAAGGTGACTTTGAGTTGAACATTACTGGGTGCTCAGCTCCTTGTCATAGGACATGGATTTGGAAAATTGGGGTTTTGAAGAGCTTGCTATTTGTACATTCAGGACAAGCTCAATGGAATGAAGTCACGTGGAAAGGAAATTCTCAGAATAATATTTGTTTTGGCTGACTGTTGTTTGCTTTTGAAACCATTTTGCAGGATATTTTTGGGAAGCTCCGTATACTAAAGCTGATTGCCTCAGTTTTTTCCTTTTCATCAACGCCAGAACTTTTGTTTGGACTTGGTCTTTTGTATTACTTTAGGGTTTTTGAAAGGCAGATTGGATCAAACAAGTATTCAGTGAGTTACTATCTACTCTAAACTGCTCATATTAGCCATGATCATTGTAGCACATGATCTGTTTTATTACTTGGAGTTCCTGAGATCTTCATTTTCTTGATCTTGCCAGTAACCTTTGTTGTCAAGGCATTACTTGACATCCAATATGCTTTTGCTCATGGTCTCTTACATTTGAGATTGATGTTCTGATTAACTTGGTTGATGTGATGGTTTTATTGCTTTTGTGTCATTTTTTCAGGCTTAACTCTTTATTTACCTCGTGTGGCAGTCTTTCTTTGTTTACTATTCTTATGGATTGCGTTTTTCTATCTCATAGTGCTAAATATCAGCTTAACTGTGCAGGTGTTTATATTGTTTTCTACAATTGGATCGTTGCTCTTCGAGGCCCTTGCCCTATCACTTCTGAAAGGTAAATTGTTTCAGATGGTCCGCATTGTGCATTATCATATTGATTGTATTCTGTGATTGGTTAAACAATCCGAACAAGTGAACATGAGGATTCATAGTGAAGAGCGTTGAAGATTTCTTGCATGTGATGCCAATACCTGAAAAATAATGCATAATGAGAAAAGTGAGGCGGGGAAGTAAAAATGGTTTGTTAAAGATGGGAACTAGATAGTGGCTTGTTTGGAAAATGGCAATCAGTCAAGAAAATTACTTTACTTGCAGAAAAAGAAATGAAGTATGTAAAGATTTGTTATAGTAAGTCTAATACACACATTATTCTTCATGCACTATGAAAGATGCCTGGCTGCAATGTCCTGATACCTTCTATGAAGGTGAAGGAGGATGCTATTAAAAAAGTTACTTATTGCTGTGTTCTAGCTATCACCCACCAATAGATGGAATAAATCGCATAACGTTTCACAAACCCCTAAAAGTGAATAGGATGCAGAGGGAATAATTGGGCAGTTTGGATGAAACAATGCTAACGACCCCTGTATTTTATTACTTCATAGGAACTTTCAATACTTAATGGAAAACAGTTATATCGTGATGGAGTTGCAAATACTACTTAGTAGTAGCTCTAGTGGGTCATTGGTTCTTCTTCCCCGATTCTCATATGTCCTGTTTTCTGTTTCCTTTGTGTATGAATTAATTTCACAATTTAACAGCTTAGACACTTTTTGGTGTGCAGATCCAACTCTGAACTTGCTTACATCTGGACCTTATGGCCTCATTTTCGCTTCATTTGTGCCCTTCTTCTTTGACATTCCTGTATCAACATGGTTTCGTGTCTTTGGCATCCGCTTCTCCGATAAGTCGTTCGTATATCTTGCTGGTCTGCAGGTACCGAGGAATTTCACCATTCTGCATACAGGGTTGTTGTGCCATGCATATATATATTTTACTTTAATGCGTTGATTCTTTTTGGTACTGTTAGTTATATCTATAGCTTTTGATATTGCAGCTTCTGTTATCATCTTGGAAAAGATCCCTCATACCTGGAATCTGTGGCATCCTTGCTGGCTCCTTGTACCGTCTAAACCTGTTCGGTATCCGGAAAGCAAAGGTAATTTCTCTCATGTGCAAAAAAATGGCATATAAAATTAGTGCTTATACAAACATGCGGTTCCACACAATTTACTTGTGTGGCAGTTAAGTAATCCATTCTATCTTTCTGATGCCTTTCATGTGGAAACATATGTTCGTTTTTGCTTAATATCTGCTGAATCCATATTAAGTATGTTTTGCAATCTCAGTTACCAAATACCTTTTTTTGTACTGGTTAATAATCTCATATATCATCAGTGTAGGTTGATGATATGGTTAGCATGATGACATTAGGTTTGGGCTGATGTTATTTATTCCATGCTAGTGGTATATATCTTATGCTGATTCTTTATCATTCTCTGCCTCAGTTCCCTGAATTCATGGCTACATTTGCCTCCCGATTTTCTTGGCCGTCTACTGGGAGTCCACGTGTTCCGACAACAACGAGGGTCAATGGCACAGCACCAACTGTTCCATCATACGCAGGTCGCCGTGTGGAGGTAAATACTGCCTTTCTCATTCATGAAAGACAATAATCTGATATCTTTCTGTATTGGTGATATTGTGCTACTTGTGGTGCATAATCATTGTGGCTGGATTTTGACAGAGAACATATCCTACCCCACCAGTCCCTTCTTCGGTAGAACCATCAGAGTCCGCCATCGCCACATTAGTTTCCATGGGCTTCGACGGCAACTCGGCAAGACAGGCACTTGTGCAGGCTAGGAACGACGTCAATGCTGCTACCAACATCCTTCTCGAAGCCCAATCTCACTGATAACTCATGGGTGGATGAAAATTTCAACTGTATGGGCTGGTTTTAACTGGCACGAGCAACAGATCACTATCAGCAGGATTTGGCTTGGGTGACATCCTGAAAGAATGGTGGTTTTGCTCTCGTTGTCATGAATGTAGGTAAATAGTGTTAGTGTGGACAAAAGAACCCTTAGGAGATCTTACCATTGTTTTTAGAGTCTGTTCTTACTGCTGCCCTGCATTTGGAACAGGCAACGGATGCATTATCTGGCTTTGTAGTATTCTGCCTATATTGAACAGTTGCAGAGAGAGAGAGAGAAGGGATCTTCATCTTTATGATTCAGTAATAGTTTCAATCTGACTAATATGTTCAACAACATTTCTCCTTTACTACAATTTCGATCTGTATCCCTATTTTGATGGCAGTGTATTTTGTTCATATTCTGGAACAGCAGGCAAACTTTATTCATTCACTTCAACTTCAAGCAAAACCATACTGCTTTTGGCAGCAACAGATTCAACAATAATAAATAATGATCAAACTCATTCTGCCGATGAAAGCTCAAAACCTGAGTCCTGATTGCAAGAAAAGATTTATGATTGAATTATCGATCCACCTTGCTTCCTCATAATAGATAGATGTTACAATGAATTGATAGAGTCCTCGAAGAGGGAAAACAAAGAACAAAAATGAGTAAGAAGGAACCATTTGTTCCTTTAACTGGAATGCAATTCAATTCAACAAGTTGATCAATTGATACTTCCTCAGATTCCTGCTTCCCAGCCTTCTTCATAGCTCCAGCACCACAACTGTGAAACCAAGGCGTAATTATTCACTGGGCGAAGAGAAACGTGAATGGAATGGAACAGTAAGTATACCGGTACAGCATATAGATACTCACAGTCAGAATCAGTGGTGATCCAGTTGGCTTTTCTGTCTTGGATCGCGGCAGGGCAAGAAGCCATGGACATTGCTGAGCATGTAGTGGAGCAGCTTTCAACTTCCCATCTCAAGCTGAACCTTGGAGAGTCGATGTGACTATTCTCATTGTACTTGTAACTGCTGTTGTGTTGTTTCCCCGTTTGATCAGAATCTTCTTGCATTGCCTTCAGTGTTCCTCGGTTTCGAAATTGATCCAGAACCTGGAAGAAATATCAAAAGAGAAATCACACTTGAGTGGCACACAATACATGACATATAAATTATAATAACACCGACATTATTGTTTGGTCAAAATGTTCATCATGAAAAAAGATGCTACCTTGCGGCCAAGGAACTAGCCATTCTTGTCAGATTTGGTAGCTGCAGCCCATCTAATGAGCTCCTTCATCCTGGAAATGGCTTTGGTTTTGTTGCTGTCCCCTTTGACCTGTCTGGCGTCTCTCTTCTGGCATTCCCCTGGAAACCGTGGAGGCAATGCAGCGTTGGCTTCGTTGCTGCTGATGGGTAGAACCTTGTTACCCACGTGATGAGCAGCAGCAGTGGAATTATTATTATTAGCAGATGGATCCGGCTTCTTACACGCGGCAAGCTCTTCTTTCTTCATCTTCATAGAGATCATCATTCGACGCTCTCGTCTGCTCGAGCTATTTCCAACTCTTCTCAGGTTCAGCGTGCTATAGAAGCAAGCCTTCGCCACATCTTTTCTGCCCAGAAGAATCCCAAACGGGCTGCTGAAGTTCTGCCAACCACCAAACCTGCTGTCCTTCTTAGCTCCTCTGCTTCTCCTCCTCTGGCTACCACAATGTTTGAACAAGACTACGTGTTGCTGCTGTGTGCCTTCGTGAAGCAGGAAGGTAGAGATGGGAGAAACAACAGTTGATGAGCTCGTTTCAAGATACCCAAAGAGTCAGAAGGAAATGATATAATTTATAGGGCACAAAACTTACTACTATTATTGGCCTTACTGGGGGAGCTAGATGTCTTGTCATTGCTGCTACTGCTGCTGCGGTTGTCTCTGGCTTCATCATGTGCGACCTTGAGAAGCCAGTGAATAATCTGATATAAATATTGAGGTAAGGAAGTGGGTTAGTGGAAACATTTCAGTCTTTTTTCAAAGCTAGCCACTTTCAGACCCACTTATTAAGTTCATTTGTTCTTCCTTTCCACCCCTTATTTTAAAAGTAGTAATGAACAGAATAAAAGGACTTACCTGCATGTTACAATTATTTGGATGTTTTCAGGAGGACCCTTTTAGGTTGATAATATGAACAAAAAGATCTGGTTGGTCAAATGGGCAGCAGTTGCGGTGATCTGTCTGCGCTTGTCTGGATCGAGTGGCTTTTTTGTTTGGATGGGAAGAACAGACAAATGGAATTTTGGGAAGTGAATCTACTGGAGGAACAGTGTGCTTTCTTTGGGGACAAGAAAACTAGGTAGTCTGCAGAGTTGGGCTTCTGGGTAGTAACATGGGAGTGGAAAGGACTTGGGGGGAGTTTTATAATAATAGAATAATGTAGCAGGGAATCATTCATGTGGTGGGTATTCAGCACAAGATTTGGGAAAACACTGTGGTCAATTGGGAGCCAATGATTACTGTTCTCTTTGCTTATAGGGGCCAAGTGGCACTTCTCTTTGCCATACACTTGTCGAGCTGCGGTTCATCAGGTTCATGGGGTGGAGTGATCATGTTATCATTACATCTTACCACCATTATACATCAAACATTCTTGTGATGCACATCTTACCACCATTATACATCAAACATTCCTTATTTCAAATAAAAGCTTTGATTGTAAAGCTTAAGAATCTTGCTCCAGAATTGTGTAATGGCACAGGCACTTTACTATCGAGAGCTACTTCAAAAACTTATTGGAAGGAAGCCCTTTCTGTTGGTTTCTGGAGTTTGCAGCCTTATTGAAGAGCTCTACTTGACTACTTCCCTGCTACTTTCCCGTTGCTCGCCACTTGCTTCGATTTCCCCTCGGTTTCCTTCGAGCCAGGATGTGATCTTCCACTCCCAGAAATAAGACCTTTTATAATGGACTTCAGTTCACTGTCCTTCATCATAGTCTCCAATGTAACGTGTACACCTGAATTCACAAAACACAAAAGCAACAGAACATCATTTCATACTTACCGTCTAAAAACAGCCAAATCAAGTTGATCATAGTGAAAGAGTGTTGGATGGAGGGGAAAGAAGCATTACGGTATCGCCAGTAGTGCTTAGGATTCGTGGGGTCGTTGATCGTCTCCTCGTTTGCAGGACGTTTTGTGTAGTCCTCTTTTAGAGCTAACAAGTCCTGCAGACATTCATTCACATGATCAAAAGAAGCAACCTTGGTTGTAAGATTCTCAACTCGAAATAACATGGATATTTCCCTATAACCCATCATATCAGGCATTTAGAAACAAACCTGCAATGGGAAGATTGCCCACATTGATGGCGATTCAACATGTTGCCTGATGATGAAATTTGCAATAGCTGGAAGGCATGTATCGGGGGGCAGCTCATCAGAACCGAATATGGTCTTGAAGTATTGCTGTCTTCTTTCAGCATCCTCCTCCCACCAAGCACGCAACGTGGAACAGTCATGGCACGATGGGGCACACACCTGAACCCAAGCAAGAACCACCAGTTTAATACGAAGAGTAATACTTGATACGAAGTGTAACTAATGCCTAACAACAAATTAGTACTATCTTACCGTCATGTAGCTATATTGAGAAGGAACCCCAAATTTCAGATCAGGTTCACTAGGCATACGTTGGATGCGTAACCCAATCATTCCCAGCTCTTGCATAACCTGCATTTTTTTATTCTAAGGATCAGGACGGAGAAACACGGAGCAGGAAATTTGGTGTTGAGATTTCAGAGGGCATACTGGGTGAACACAAGCTGGTATGAGTCCCAGATCTTCACCACAAGCAAGCATGTTTGATGAATTGAGGAGAACGGGTAAAGTCTTCAGAGCATTTTTTCGCCAGAGCTCTTCTTGGCGATGGAAATAGTAATCATAGTACAGTCTTTTCATGACATTTTTGCTGCATCAACTTGACTGATTAAGTAACTGTAATAAATTTGCTTTTCTAAACACTCTAGTTTATTTCGGTTTTACCTGTGCTCATCCAATTCCTGAAAACTTGAAGTATCCTCGAGGTTGAAACGCGGGTAGAATTTCTTTGCATCCTCGGGGTCTTTAATTAGAACTATATTCTACAAAACATCAGTTAACACACGAAAAAAGGATAGTAGACAGTTAGTTGACAGCAATTCCATAACATTAAAATCTGAAATTTGTTTTAAGAGTACATGCTCACCTTAAGGAGATCAAATAGATCACGTCTTATCTTGTCTTCACCGTCTAATAACAGTGATTTTTCTGCCATGGTCTTCACTTTGGAAGCAATTTTTTTCTCTGTATTGCAATCCTCCTTGAACTGAAGCATCACAAAGCACAATACACCAGTTTTCCAAAATATAAATGTTGCCCAGAAAATTTTGGATGAAACAAAAACGAAGTGTTCAATATGTTCAACATAACTGGAAATAGCTATATACCTCATAAAACCCTTTCTGCACTTCATTCAGAAAGCTCGAGGCGATAACTGCCCAATATGTTCCGAACTTTTCCTGAAAAGAAAAAAGAACAAGATTGAACTTTCAGCAGATAGAATCTGTAGCCTGTAAAAATAACAGTGCCCTTCTTCCAGACAAAAAGTCAATCAAATCACCTGTAGAAACTCTAGCTTTATGTATGGGCGGCTTAAACGATCGAAATCCCAGATTCCCTCTCGCTCTAGTTCTTCCTACAGTATGAAAAACATTTTTATTATAAAAAAGCAATGCATAGAATTGAAAGCTTTGGTAGCAGTGTCTTGACTGCAGCAAGCCCAAAAGAGGCATCAACTTATACCTGGCTCAAGGGGATTGAAGGTCGGAACTTTCCAATTAGTCCAGTCATAGCATGATCAGGAAGCTCCCAGATTCTAAAGAAACCTAGTATATGATCAATCCTATATGCTGTAAAGTACTTTGACATCTGACATAAATACAAAGACAGCTACTTTCAGTTAGAAAGTAAAGATGAGGAACACAGCGAAAAGAATGCTGACTGTTGAAGAATAACCTGTGTTAATCGAGCACGCCACCAACCATAGTTGTCTTTGGACATCTCCTCCCAGTTATAAGTCGGGAAACCCCAGTTCTGTCCATTTTTGTCAAAGTAATCTGGGGGAGCACCAGTGGAGGTGTTCATACGGAACAAGTTGGGATACACCCACGTGTCCACACTATTTCTGTCAACACCGATAGGTAAATCTCCCTTCAGTACCACACCTTTCTTTCTTGCATATTCTGCAGCTTCAGACAGCTATTATACATCAAGAAAGAACAGAAAGTGAGAATACTCCAATACGCGCTACATTGAGGAGAAAGTCAAACAGATGCATCACAGACAATGGAGCTCACTTGTAGATGTAAATGGAATTGGAGATAATAATGAAATCGAATAATGTCGTAATGCACACTGTCTTTTGAGACAAGCTTCTCCAGCTACAAGAAAGATGAACACTGTTATCATGAGGGAAATAGTGAATAAAAGGTACTACTTTCATACTAAGGAAGCCAAATGGCTAACTACCTTCTCTTTTGAAAACTCAGAAAATCGACCCCATTGGCTGCGCTCAGATGTTTCAAAGAAGTCCCTCAAAAAACAGAAGGCTGCATACGGTTTTAACCATTCCTTTCATAGTTTAACATAAAAGAACAGTTAGATTAGATGTCAGGAAACTGGAAATGTATTTAGGAGATAAACTTAAAACATTGCAGGAATAAGAGATAAACAGTCCTTATTACCTCATTCTCTAAGAAGAATTCCTGAAAAGCTCTGGAGTTAAGTATCACATCTTTCTCTTTAGCAAATACTTTTTTGGCAATGGACAATTTTGTAGCCAGACTAGCCTCATAATCAACACTCTGCAATGCCAATTAGGCAGCGTGAGCAGTAGGAACCAATCACCTGCTTCAAGTAATGCATAATTCTACAATGAAAATGTTACTGTACATTTCCCTCTCCATGTTTTTCACTAGGTCATGAGAAAACTATACTAGAACAAGGAGTAAAAATAAAATGCATTTTCCAAGTACCAAAGTAGGAAAAGAAATAAGAACCAAAAAAGATTACCTTTCCATCAAGCCTTGTCTTGGCTTCCTGTATCTCTTTCTGCAAGTAAAGAATCAAAAGTGGAAAAGCTTTAAGAGGAAAGTAATCTGGGCCAACAAAATCTTATGAATAGCAGACAAAGTAAAAAGTACCATATGAACGTAAATACCTTCACCTCCTCCGGTAGATTAGCTGAAAGTGCCTGTACTCTCAGGTATAATGGATGCAGGGCAAATACAGATAGTGAGCTGCACAAATCATGAGAAAAGAAGCTTAAAGAAACAGCTAAATTCATGAGGTAGTCAAAAGTTTCAATTAGTGGACCGAATCCAGCTGAAGAGTACCGCAAAATAAAATAAAAACTCACTATTTTCATCAAGTTCTGTGGCATCATATCTTGTGATAACTGGGAACTACCAGAGTCTAAGAAGAGAAGTTATAACTTCCAAGATGAGGCAACTATTTTTGCCATACCTGTATGGATAGGAGTCCCACCACATCAGATTAACAGAGGTGTCATTGATTGGTAGAAGCTGAACTAGATGGAACCCAGACTCCACAGCCCAGTCAACAAGAAGTTTCAGGTCAAGGAACTCTCCAACACCGAGATCAAGTTCTGACCTCACAGAGAACATAGGTACCGCAACACCAGTTCCCCGCCACGGCATTGCCTACGAGAGAGCACAGTAATTAATATAACTGATAGCGAGAATCCATGAGGAAAAAAGTACTTTCTTCAGTCTTTCAGTCATTGAGCAGCTTACACGCATCATGCCGTCGGAAACAAAGACATACTTTAGTTGAATATTTGCGGGATCAACAACTAGCTCCCTATTTGCACCAGTTTCCAGAGAGAAGCTCCCTGCCTTTCCCCATTTGCAGTACTTGTATGTAAGCCGTTGTTAAGGAAGAGACAGTTGAGAATCTGGTTATAGCAATAAACTCTGACAGCCCACATTTACAATAATCAATAGTGAGATTGAATTGAAAAACATCTATCAGGATATTTGAATGGCAGGTCATCCTTTTGCACCACAACATCTGCTTGCCAGGTAGAATTTCCAGCATAGCTAAGTTTAAGCCCATCCTGAACCTTCCAGCAACCCAACTTTGCACAACTCCCAATAACGTAGACCTGGATGAACATAGATAGAACTTATAAGCATCAAGCAATCCAGTAAGATGGTGGCCTAACCATGGATGAAGATCTCAAGAAATTGGAAACTTACATAAGTCTCTTCCTCCATGTTCGGGCAGCACATCCTGAAATGAACAAGAATGGAATCTGTTCCATTTTGTGATCCATAAATAAATATAGTGAGTAGACCACCAAAATTGAAATTAGATCATTGACTGAACAAGGAAATAGGTATAGCATCACCTTCCTTCTCCAACTTATTCTGTACTCCTAAGGGCCTCTCAACCTTCAGATTGCAACTTGTGTTAAAGATGACATCTTTGAAGGCGCTTTTGAAAGGGATATCATCATCACCAGTCTGGTTTTCAATGCAAGATAACATGTGATATGTTTGATTAAATAGGGTAAATATATATATCCTAAATAGGAAGAAGGACACTTGTATTTAAGCACTCTGATTCTAGTCAGTAACTACAAAGTCAGATGAAAGGGAACCAACTACTAGTTCCAAAGAAGAAACTAGTTAAGAGGCCTGGTCCATTATATATCACACAGTTGGAGCTGGATTAAACCAGAGAAACTGAACTTTTTAACCAAAATCCATGAAACAAATAGCAGACCCAGGCCATACTAAGATTCCCAAGGAATGATTCGTCTTAAGGCTTAAGCACAAAATAACAACTCAAAATATACAGGATTCCAGGAAGAGAATGCAATAAAGCTCGAGAATGTGTAATTAACTGTATAGGATTAAATCAAGAAAGCTCCTTTGCTTGACATTATTGAGAAATTGATAAGTGAAAGCTCCTTTGCTGGACATTCTTGAGTAATTCATAAGTTTTCAACTAATATAGACGCCAACATGAGAATAACAAGAGCTAAAATTAACATATATCCTAACTTCTCACTAGAATCTAGAGAACATCATTAGTGGAATTTACTACTACAGCTTCAGAGACAACATTGAAGAAGGAACAAAAAGGAAAATCATAGACACAGCACCTGCCAGAGATCACGAAGCTCCACGATATCTCCACCATTGATCCCCTGAGGTAAGATGAGTGCTCGCTTATTCCCCATCTCCCATCTCAGCACATTCCTCTCATCATCCACCACATAATAACTGTACTCACAGCTGAATTCTGCTGGCACAGAGACACTTCCACACCAAATTAGCTCATTATCCTGATGCACAGGTTTCAACAGCAATCCCCTCTTCACATTCCAGGACCCCAGCGCCGGCCCAGAACCACATACCACCAAGCTCTGACCCCAGTTGGTGAAATACGGTATTCTAAAGCTCACTCTCGCCGATTTCGTTGATTTCGTCCCGAAAACCATCCCCAAATTCGTCATTCTTCTTTCTTAGTTGTCTATCTCAAAACCTGACCACAGAATAACAACTTGCATGACCAAACTAGAGGGAACAGAGGGAACAGAGCAAGCCAAAAGAGGCCGTGAGCACCATAGCCGGATTGGAAAGAAAGCATTTCACATATGAACGGTGATAGAGAAAGAACTCAGAAAGCCAATATCATCGAAATGTACCAGAGATAAGAGAACACGCGAGCAGTAAAGCAAAATAGCAAACTAACTTCCATTCAAGGGAGTGGAATCGCAAAAGAAGTGAAGGACGAAACTTGAGCACGACCCAGATAGAAGCAAGTGACAATGGCAGTACAAACTGTGGGGGCGAAGAAAAAATGAAGGCGAAAAAGGGAACAGAGCTCGATTCACTTATGTTTGGTACGTAACGCAAGGGAAGGATTACCTGAACAGTGGGGGCGAAGGTTTTCAATTCCAGAACTCAAGGAGCGCGAAGATTGGGAGTGAAGCAAATTGCATAAGGCCAAAGGACAGCGATTAGCTTACATCAGAGATATGAGTGGACGGAAGAAAAGCGATGGGAGAGAGATCATATCACATCGGGATCAAGCAAAATTGGAATTGGTTGGTTCGGCAGACGGCAGGGGAGAAGATATTTTGTGAATAATGCAGAAAGAGAAATGGTTGTCCTTTAGCTGGTGAGAGGAAGAGTGTAATGAATGACTAATCAAGAGAGTGCGGGAGAAGAAGGAAAAGCTCCCCTGTTTTCTCTTCCACCAGTAAGAAAATGAAAATGTCAGAGAGAGAGAAGGCTCGATACCACAAATTTGCGGTGAGATCACATGAGTTTTTCCCTTTCTCTTCTGTTTTATTACCTTTTTCCTTCTTCCTGCAGCCTCCAAATATAACCTCCCGCGTTCTGCCACACAGTCACAGTAGCAGCAACGTAGTGACAACAGGGACACTCTGCTACCGAGAAAACAGTTCGGCCAAAAAGGGGTATATCCCAATTTGAAACGTTTCAAGATCGAGCCTTTAGTCATACCTGATATTACGCAATTTTTTTTTTGGTAGAACCTTTTACGCAATTTTGATGCAAGAAGATAAGTAGATAGCCACTGGACAGCAACATGACCATCACTAGTTCGCTACAACTTAGCTGCTGCATCAGAAAACAATTGAGATCAAACCTCACTTGAATGTTAACGCATTCAAGACTACCATGTAATCACTGAATTGAATTATAGTTACAGGCTTGATCATTCATTCCTGAGAACTTATACTGTGACTGCATGATTGAAGCAAACGACATAGAACAACATTGCAGCGGTGAAGTCAATGAATCCCACACTTAAATTGTGCAGCACCAGAGTTTTTAAGTACCAGAATCAAAAGCAATGCTTTGACGATGAAGAAGCTCTTGTTATGGTACCTGATAAATTTAGAAGCTAGCTTATACATTCGATGTTATCAGCAAAACAGTTACAGTAGAGGAAAGAAACTGATGCAAATAGGAAACCAAAGGCCTTGTACAAAGAAACCGACTTTCAACTGCCAGGAGAAGCTCGATAGCGTAGAAGGTGCACAAACAAACTCGGAAACCTCGAAATCTATCAGTGCTAAGTGAATTACTTTATACATATGAATCGATTTGAATGCTAAACTCAAATCAGATGCTCTCGCCTGTTTGTAGCAATGCCTTCTCAGTGTAAAGTAAATGACCATCACAGAACACTGATGCTACTAAAGGCTCAACAGCTTTCTCAGCTGCTGCATTATGTTGAACAGAAGAGAACTAAATACTCGAAAGTACAATCAAATTTACACGCAACGTATATACGCTAATTGACTTATTTCTACCAGTAGAGAACAGGAGATGAAAACTGTCTGTGTCTGTCTCTTTGCAAGAATAAGAAAGAATACACATTGCTAAGCTACCCATTTATTCTTGCAGTGATGACACATTTAGTAAAAAATCAAACTCACAAAAGAAGAACCTGTTGAATTAGGATCCATGAAAGAAATTCTATTCCCATCTACAAAGAATTATATGCACAACATGCCATCGTCATTACAAAAGTCTATCATACATGTTTCTCTGCTACTAGACAGACCTTTTTCAATGACTCTTTAAATGCTTGCCAAGCAACCATATAGTGGTCTTGAGATACCATTCCTTCCTCGACTACCTGCATGGCTCGTCTGTACAAATGATCGAACCACTGAACTGGGTTAGATGCATCCACATTGTTGGACCCAAGTTCCGGAACATAGATTCGCTTCAAATCCTTCCTCCATCGACCTAAAATATAGTGGGAAGGAATCTCTTCCACGCCATTGTATTTTAGAATATACAAAGCATGCCGACATAGGTAACCCTTGAAGCTGAAGCAGCCACAGCTGCAGCGAACTTCAGCTCCTGCTTTGTCATACATGACCTCATAGTTCCTAGGATCCTCGAGATTTTCCTCCCCTCGATGTTCTTTCACCGTGTATGTAACCACAGGACCACCGGCATTGACTTGTGATATGCTGAAGCAAGACGGCATCAGCACGACTTCATCCTGGAATTTCTCGAATATCTTCTTGGTGTAAACTTTCGACACCTGTAACTCATAATAGCTATTTGTTCTCAATGGCGGGGTTGAATTTCTCGATTCAGAATCATCAAGGGATTCCTTCTGATGTATCTTTTGGAGAGCTAATTCATAAATGTCCAAAAACTCTTTCAAAGAAGTCTGTTGGTGCAAATTCCCTTCGAAAAATGGAACCATAGATTCTCCCTTCTGGAAAACCGAAATTCCAGCGAAATACGTATCTTTGGAGTAAACAGGAGCCCACCGCTCCTTGTCTTCATAAAGAGTTCTCAGCCAATCATTACCTGCAAGACCAAAGTGCTGCAGCATATGGTCCCACGCCGTCTCAAATTCATCTACTTTTAATGAATCATAGATAGTTGCATTCATGATAATTTCAAATGTTCCATAGTCCTGCAGATATCCAAAACTTTCCATTATACTTTGCACAACATGTGGCAAATAAAGTCGATGATGAGCCCTAGGAAAAACCTCTGCAATTGCACTTTGCATAGTCTGACAATGGTGGTCAGTAATGATGGTTTGTGGAGGACGACCTAACATGCATGTAAGCCATGCCCTGAACAGCCAGATATATGTTTCAAATGACTCATCCAGAAGCAAACCACAACCAAGTAGAATACGCTGTCCATGGTGATTTATCCCTCCAAATGAAAAGAGTGGAACTTCATATTTCTTTGACAAACACAAGGACTCGAATATTACCACATCCCCAAAGTAACCATATGCAGCCCTGGACCTAGATCCGATCCAAAAAACATTCCTAAGAAACCCTTCATCATTGAGATCCATCAGGTAGAAAAAGTCCGGATCTTTCAGCTGAGCTTGAGAGAAGTAGCTATACAAAACCTGTGTATCCCCTTTTTGAAGTTTCAAGCGCTTGGATCTATCTGTTTGGTGGCTACCTTCCCCTTCATTAGAATTGGAGCTTCCATAGCCTAATGGGTCAGTCGTAGGTGTTCGATAGAGCTTGATTGTTCTCACTTCAACGTCGACAGTTGGTTCCATCTTCCTTTTAGTTCCTGAATCCATTTTCTTGTGGGACTTGGAATTCTGCACTCTGTCGGGGTCAAATGAGTGGTTGTGGTCAAGTTTAACCTCATCCACCCTCCACCTATTGGATTCTACTAACCTCAGCCTTATCATTGCCAGACAACCGGTTCTCGTTTCCCTTCGTCGACTGTTTGCTTCTTTCATCGTCTTAAAACCCTCACAATTGCAACATAGCACTGCACCACGCTTCTCTTTGCTGTTACGTTTTGTCCACGAGGATTTAACCCGAATTGCAAAACCCAAATCCTTGGCATAGCAACTGTAATAGCTGTATGCATCGTCGTATGATTCAAACTCCATCCCCACAACAGGTGCGGGATAGACATTTACCTGAGGTTCACCATTTTCAGCATCAGGGGCTGCCATATCATTGCTGGTATGACCATGTTCTTCAAATTCAAGCATTTGCTCACAATCGTTCTCAAGGTCATTGTCTTCTATCTCAAGATTGTTCTCTTCTAGCTCAAAGTTCGTCTCTTCTATCTCGAGATCATTGCCCTCTAGCTGAAGAGCACTCTCCTCAATACCAAGGGCATGGGAATCTATATCAAGGTTGGTGTCATCGATTTCAAGGTCATCAGTCTCAATTTCAAGATCGTTGTCGTCAAAGTGGAGTCCATTTCCATGATCCTCAATAAGTTGCTCACTGTTTTGCCCATCTTCTCCTAGCTGCAAAGGAAAATCAATTATGCCATGCTTCAAGAGGAGAAATTCTGAATGAAAGAGAAGAGGTGAAAGCAGAAACAAAGTCGTAGCGGCCAATAACAAACTGGACTCTAAACGCGATAATCTTCGTCGAAATTGGATTCAAATTTGACAAACCAAGTCCTCAATTCAGCTATGACAGACTTAACATTTTGCAGCAGCTAAGACAGTACGTAAAGATAGCTACTTTTCAGAATCCACAATCATCAGGACAGTCATGCCCGCAAGAGAATAAGAAGTACCTCGATCATCGCCACGGGCAAGGCCTATATCTCCAAAAATCCGGAGGGTGGAAATGAATTCAATCTCTCAAACTGCACTCGGAAACTGTTTCCCGCGAAAGAGACTGTGAAGTCGAGGACTTGGAATTGTTGGGTTACTGGCCTGCACCCAATCCCTCAACTCTCCGACCAGTCACCGCCGGAGAGAAAGTGGGAATTTCTGCTTTCACCCCAAATGGCAAGCAGAGGTAGATGGAGAGGAATCAATTCGGTGTTTAGGGTTCCTCGTTTCTTCAATTCAACTTTTGGGAGGGAATAGGAATTTGACAGAGTGACGACGAGACAGGGGTCAGGCCGTTCAACCATTTCAATCAGCAGCTGAAAAGTATTTGACACAATTGCCCGAGTCTGACCTTATTGGTTCAACCGGTCAGGCGGCTCGGAGCTGAGAATAATGATTTGGCAGTCGTAAGCTGATGTGGAAGCAGAGCTGGACATGACGTGGATAGCGGAAAGAGACACCTGGCGTTTCTCCATTCTCCAAAAAGAAATTGACCGAAGGAGGAGCGACTCGCCCGGGAAATGAGCGAAGGAAGTAATAGGGATATTAAAGAGGCCGGCAGAAGCCGAGTCGCTGTGTTGAGCTCTCACATCGTTTCCATGGCTTCTGAGAAAGACGCTGCCCTCGCGGCCGCCGCCGCTCCTGTCCCCTCCGATTCTCCGACCATGTGAGTCAGAGACTCCTACTCTCCTTCTCTCCGTTCGATTCATTGTTTCTGCTACTCAATAATTCCCGGACTAGGGTTTTTGCTGTATCCATTTCACTTTCGTAGATGCTCTCTGTATTCGATGATTGTCAAGTCTCTCAGTTTGTAATCTCCAAAACCCAGATTTTAGGAAAAGGGAACTGGAATTGGTTGTAAACCGTTTAGTGGATGATGATGATTAATATAGACTACAGTAGCTTCTTGAGTTGAGTCCATGCGCTCCATACAATGCCCAAAGATGGAGTTTTTTTGTTTCTATTCTTCAGTCCCATGCTTTGTAATTGATTTCACGGTGCTTAACTCGGATAATCATTGGAGTTGTAATGGAGGTTTTCTGTTTACTTCTTATATCTCGTCGTCATGTCGTGCATATGACAATTTGCTAAGGAGCTTTTCCATGGAGTCTGGAAGGACTAGTCTTGGGATTTTATTGTGTTCTTATTTGGGTTTTGTACGAAATGCAGATTTGACAAAATCATCAACAAGGAAATCCCATCAAATGTGGTTTACGAGGATGACAAGGTACCCTCTATTCATTCTGTGTTTTGAATGTGAAAGCTTTCCTCTTTCTCCTGTAGAATGACTAAATTGTGGTTGCAACCCTGCCTAACGCTTCAAAATCTCATGAGTTTCTTCTCACTATGTCTTCTCCTTCGCTTCCGTGGCAGGTGCTAGCTTTCAGAGACATAAATCCTCAAGCTCCCACCCATATTGTCATCATTCCGAAAGTCAAGGATGGCTTGTCAGGTTTATCTAAGGTATTAACCAGTGCTCCCAATTCTTTCTTTTTTTTCATTGACTGATAGCCATTCTTCTGTAAAGTCTCTAGCTTTAAGCCGTCGCGTGATGCTCTTGCATTACCACATCCAGTTCTTACTTCTTACAATGTTTAATCTTCGACAATACTATCAGCCCAAATGTCAGTTGTTTGGGTCAAACAGATTCTTCCTATGCTTTTCTGATTACTAACTTCTGGGGATCCATCTGATGTAGTCTGAAGAGAGACACTGTGAGATCCTTGGCCGACTGATGTATACTGCCAAGCTGGTGGCAAAGCAGGAAGGACTGGATGATGGATTTAGGATCGTCATCAATGATGGACCAAATGGATGTATGTTCACTCTTTTCTCTTGTTATGATTCCTTCGAAGATATTTGAATTATGTTTATCCGTTAAACAAGTTAAAGATCATCACGAGGAAGCTTACCTATACTATCGGTTTGCTGCATGGTACCTGTTGTAGGCCAATCTGTGTATCACATTCACGTTCACCTTCTCGGAGGACGCCAAATGAACTGGCCTCCTGGCTAAAGATTGGAGTTCAAATACTTTCATGCGGCGCGCGCGACTAGTGGCTTGGTCCTAAGGCTTTTTAGAGTTGATAAGGTACTGCAATGGTGGGATTTCTGGAATAATGGGTTCATATGCTCTACTGCAATGGTTTTCTCTTGGTTATTTTGGGGTCTCCTTTGAATGCTGGATCCTGCATGATGTCGGTTCCTTAATGGTGACAACTGAAACATAACCGTACAGTATTGCTGTCGAGTACTTTCTTCTCCTTGTTAGCAGCTTATGTTGAATAGATTGGGCGAAAATTATAGAATCGTCAGAAAGTTGAACTTAGAAGTTAGAACTGAAAGAAACTGGTGAAAGATAATGGTAACGAAGAAAGGCAGAAAAAGCAAAACTTGCACTAGCAACAACCAATTCAATGTGTACTCAACTTGAATAATAACCGAAAAGACAAACCGCATTTCAGAAAAAAAATGAAAATCCACCGTTTAACCACTGGCGGAAGCGCCGGCAACGTCTATTCGAATAAGAAACTAGAAATAGAAATGAATCAAGGGAGAAATCTCATCTCAAATTCATGATTTGTACTGATGACTGCCATTGGTGATGGCCACTGAAACCACTCGCAGAAGCGCCGGCAACGTCTATCCGAATACCGATCTTCTAAATCTTCTTCTTCCACGTCCTGTAGCAGCAGAGGTTCCTCCTCCGGATCATCCCGCGCGGCGATTCGAGTCGGCCAGAAAGGAACCACAGGCTGAAACACGGCCCATCCGATAGGATGGCTCAAGGTAGAGTGCATAACCATGGATTATGCACTCATCAATAACCAAATCTGGACCCTTCATTTAGAAAATTCAGATCTAAGGATGGAGAATTAAAGGCTATTTTTATTTTCACTAGCTTTCTTAATTGACTCATATCTTTTTCGTTTTAACTCGGATTTTAATTTTTTTTGCACAGATGGAACGAGTTCACCGTGCTCTACAAAATGAGATCAATTTTCAATATTTTTTTAGGAAAAAAAAATTCTGGCCTCTCGATACCAACTGCATACCATATGGTATCTTCTTCGTTTTTAATTCGTTTTTGAAAACGTTTGCACAGCAGGGATGAGTTCATCATGATCTACTGGATCTACAAATTTCTGGGTGAACAAATTAAAGGACCAAAAAATACCACACAATACCATACAATACCACCATGGTACAGGGTGGTATTATATGGTATCTTCTTCGTTTTTAATTCGTTTTTGAAAACGTTTGCACAGAAGGGACGAGTTCATCATGATCTATTGGATCTACAAATTTCTGGGTGAACAAATTAGAGGACCAAAAAATACCACACAATACCATACAATAGCACCCTGGTACGGGGTGGTATTGTGTGGTATACAATGTTAAAAGTCGTAAATTACAATTAATATACTTCTACTATCATGTATTCAACCATCCTACAGTATTGGTTTGTTCATACCACCTTGGTTCGTTTTTCAAAACATAGATATGCTTTTATTTCAATACCAGTCAATACCATATGGTATAGGCCGGTACAAAATGGCTCAATTTTTTTTTGTTCGAAAAATATAGTAAAGTGGATATCATTTTGAAGAGCACAATTAATCTGATCTAACTGTGCAAAAAAAATTAAATTTCGACTTAAAATGAGCGAGAAATCGTCCGTCAAAGATTAAAGAGGGAAAAATTAAAGGCTTTCCATGAGAGAGAGGATGCTGATGTCATGCTGATGTGAATGGGTTACTCATGGTTACTCACCATAAGGTTACTGACCTGATCCATTCCCCGATAGGATCGCCCACTCCGCACATGCCCCAGTGTTGGGCCTAATTGACAAGGCTTTGTTGAAGTTAATATGTTTTTGGGTCAGTTTATTCTGTGGGCTTGGGCTTCGTAGTCTATAGAGCTGCTGTGCAGTTGAGTCGACAGCAGTAAGCTGTTAGTTAGAAGTGGGTTGCTGTTTATTAGGAGTAATGGGTGGATGAACTGCGGAATCTCTGCTGGTGGTTAGAGACAAGTAGAAGTATTTATGTAATTGTTTTGCATTCAATAAAGTTTATCAGTTTTGCTCGGTTAATTATACAACATTGTGGTATCAGAGCCTCTGCAAAACTAGATCAAAAGAGTGAGTTTGGGATTGGGAAACAGGAGAGTTCTTGGTGAGTTTTTGTCTCTTGTTTGGTGAGTGAAAACACGAGAGGCTGTAAGGAAATCCAAGTATTGTGTATGAGCAAAGAAATCATTGGTGATTTTGGAAGCTTTGCTGAAAGCCAAGATGAAGAAGAACAAGAACAAGGATGTTGACTCTACTTTTGAATTAGCCAGCCTGTATGAGATTTTTGATCGTGAAGCAGGGGTGGGACGACATCCTGTGCTTGGTTGGCCGACTGATGAGGTCATGGTTTTGTTTATCATGTTCCATTTAGGATCGTATATCAAGATTTGTCAACTAAGACTCTCAAATTTATTATCTTATACAACATATACCCATTCGTGATTATCAATGTTGGATGAAATCTCAACCAATTATTGAGTTCAAATTATTGGCTAAAAAATATTTGATTACTGGATAAGTTCAGTTTATCCCAACTGAATTTTGACATACATCGTACCATTATGATTATTAAATTCTCTAATCCTCTCCCATTTTTATTGTGGATGTTCATGAAGTCTTGATATAGGAGTTTATGACAAAATTTGTCTATCAAGACACTCAATATGTTGTTAGTTTTTTAAGTTTGTACTAACCCTCCATTTATTGTTATTGTCTATATGTTAGTTTAGACTCTCAGTCTCAATCCAAGACACTAATATACATTATCATTGGTTCTCGTCTTAACATGGTTATTCAAAGTATAAATTTCCAACCTTTTCAATTTGCGTACGGTAAAATATCTTTATCTTTTGTGTTTTTATGGGACAAAAATTTCATTACTTATACTAATAATTGATATAAAAAAAACATGTATACAGCAGACACATATTTCAGGTTTATTTAAAACTAAGTATTGCTTGAAATAATTTATAATTAACAAAACTTATAAATTCATACAAACATTGTGACATTTCACATGCATTTAAATTCTTGGATGTATTGTAGGAACATTTATTGTTAATATCTAAACATATATGCATAAAGATTTTATTTTACTTCAACCCCAATTAATATCTTTGAACTCGGATCGTTGTATGAAATATGAAACAAATTTTGTTTGCTAGGGTAGGGGTGGTAGTGGCTGAATATCGGTGTGTAGTTAGAGTGTAGTAGTACTTATGTAAACTGTAAAGTAGAACACCATTCAATAAAATGATTTAGAGTTTTTCTCCAATTGAGTTTACAGGTCGATGGCAGTGTTTGGCATTTAGCTTCAGAGGTTAAGTTCCTGCTTTCCGGTGAAAGAATCTGCTTCCTTTTTTAGAACAAACTACTGATGCATCTATGCGCTTCTGACCTTATACTTTTATTGCAGAAGATGAATATTGTCGTACCTGAACGGTGTGCCCGCTGCTTCGGGCAGGGACAAGATGTTTGTTTGTGGAACTGCCCTTTCCAATCCATACTGGGTATGGATCGCCCTGAAGATGTTCGAGCAGCTAATTCTGCTGATGAAATTTTTGTGGGTGTTATGCGAGGTCTTCCTCCTCTCCAGAGGCTGGATGCAGTGAAGCACTACTTGGTCAACTTCATGAGTATTTGCCGCTCTACTGCCGATGCCAATGCCGATCTGCTGCTTGCAGGGCAGGCATTAGAGTTGGCAAATAATGCTCCTATTGCCGATCTAAAGCAAATGATCTTAGATTTACTCCTCTTGGAGAACCCATGGAGGCACTTGATCGATATGCGGCGACATTCAATACTTGGTAAGCAGCAGGTTGTGGATTGCTGTAGTTATTCTGGTTGCTGTAGTCTCTTCACTAATATGTTTTTTTGTACATTACAGGTGGGGCTAGAGTCTTGTAACGATTCATTATTTAATTAATGTCTCGACTAAACATTACAGGTGGGGTTAGAGTCTTGTAACTCGTCCTTATTAAAGATTCATTATTTTAACTTAGTACCTCGGTTTAGAGTCCTGTAACGATTAAATATTTGTGTTTAGATATCTCGACTAACACCTTAATGTTTATTTATTGCTTCAGTCGTCGAATTTAGTTTTTCCTAGAAAAACATTCAAATATTAAACAAAAAATCCGACCCCTATTTAATTAATGTCTAGGTCAGTGGTTGCTGAAACATGATGTTTAACGTACATCCTTAACAAAGATTTATCTAACTTCCACATGCGTCATTTTTCAAGTTAACTCATGTTTCATCCTAGGATATGAAGTTGAAGTTCGTCAATAATCATGCTTAAGTCATTTTGAAAACCTAAATTTATAATTCTCGACAATTAATAACTCCAAGTCTAAAAAAAGATTTTTAGCATCTGACGTAAGACCTCTATATAGCTTGTGAGCAAATATTAGTAATGTGAACTTAGGATACATTGTAAATTATTGCACATGTGACATCTACGTTTTCACTTAATCAGAATGAATAAGAAATTTTTTAGTAAAGAACTACTATTACTTGGTCAAGTTTCTATGAAGACCTTTCTTGGTTTCCCTCTTTCCTACGTAATATTTTTATAATCAATAGAATATTGTTATCTATGTGTGTTTGTTTATCAAAATGTAAATTATTGTTGCGCACATTGATATAATGCAAAAGTAAAAGAAAAGAATTATTGTATAAAATAAATATAAAAAAGAAAAGATATAACAGATGTGATATATGTCAGTTTCTACGTACATAGATATCAATAATTTTTTATTTGTAAATAAAAAGTCCACTTTGATAACTTGCGAACTGTCCAAATGTGGCAAAATATTATTTTTGAATTTCTGTAATATCTATAAAAATATTAAAAGGCTTTAAGATTTTGACTACTGCCACATCAGTCTTAAATGAAATTCATGCTCCCACGTCAGCACGCTAAAAAACAAAAACAGAGTTCCGTTTTTTTTTCTTTAAATCCCTCAACAGTAGCAACGTTTGGTTTTTTTTTATAAAAACAACCGCTTCCTCCATTTTCTTCTCTTTCATTTAAGGCTTTGGCTTTTAGAGTAGTACCCAATACAAAATGTAAAACGTGACAGAGGGTGGGGTGGGACTTGGGAGGCTGGGAGCATTTTGGATAGATAATTTTATCTTTATCTTTATTTTAATCTTAATAACATTTAAATTAGCATGTTTTCACTTTATAATTCATATTATTTGCTTCTAAGGAATAGGGCATCGAACCGAAGCATACGGTAGTATAGTGGAGAGGAAAAGACCGTTTTGAATCGATGTTTACGGTGAATGTTCTCAGTCATTTCGTTTATAAATGTTTGTGGATATTCAAAAATATTATAATATATTTTGAATTTTAGGCACGAAAAAATCATAAACTACTTATTTTCTCAAAATAGACTTTCTAATTTAAAATTTGCTCAATTCTTATGCATTCACGTTAGCCTTATTTTCTTGTCATTTTATTATTTTAATGTTTCGTTACAATAAAATTAACCAAACATATAAAAAGCATTAGTAGGGTTTTGAACCCACTAACTCCAAATCGTACGGTATAGGTTGTTAAGGTATTAAACTATTGAGACAAACTTCATTTGATGATTTTAGTTTATTTATCACAACATGATTGGTGATTTGGTGCTATCATATTATCATATCTTATGCCCAATACTTTCACTCTATCAATAAAACCAATCTTAGATAAATGTTACTTAAATTCGATAAATCTTATACTAAAAGTATATTTTTATGTTTAAAATAAAAAATTTATATCATAAATAAATAAAATCAAAATAGTAATAAATTTAAATATTATATGAAATAATTAATAAAAATATCTACCCGGCCAATGGCCGGGTCCAAAGCTAGTCATATAGAAATGTTATTGTTATAAGGTTTCCTGTGCCTGCTTTCCTTCCTCTCCCATAGTACTACTGGTGTCATTATATCAATTTCCTCAATCTGAGACCCAAAAACCAATTCCCTCTTTTCGAAGTAATCTTGCATCAAGGAGCGAGATCGGCTATTCGATCCACCAACCACCATCATGGGCGGAGCAAATCGGCTAATTCCTTTGCGTGTCACTATCTATGGCGGGAGCGAGAGGAATTTTGCTGAAGCACCTGCAAGTGAAGGTGCAAGCCTTCCCGCAAAACCCTAAACCCAACAACGGGCTCTTCGATCTTAGGCCTCGTTGGCTTTGGCCGTCTTTTTCTGTTTTTATTTTGCAGGATAAGATGCTACAACTTTTGGCAAGCTACCGTTGAAGTTTGCAATGTGGGAGACTATGTGACAATCTCCTTAATTTGTCAACCGGTGACCTGAATCTCTGGAGACTAATATTTTGAGATGGAGAAGATGACTTGCTCGAGATCGTGGTTAATTTTGTTTGTGATATTTCGACTCTTTTATAGTCCATGTATTTGTCCATTTTGCAGGTTTAGCTGCTTATAGGGCTGCCCTTTTGTGGCACTAACGACCCTCTCATAGGTAGTTTGACAACAATCATACTGCCTGGTTTGTTTTTGTACTTTGTATGACTCTTGACTACTACCTTCATAGGTAGTTCGACAACAGTCGTACTATCTGATTTATTTTTGTACTTTGTATGACTCTTGATTACTACCTTTATAGATGTCTATGTTAAAAAAAAAAACAAACTTTAATGTGTGAATTGGACATTCAAAATACTTTTTTTCCACCTTGTTTATAAATTGAATAGTTATACCATGCTCTCTGTACATGTTTTAAACATTTTTATTCTTGAAATTTCCATGGGAACTAATGATAGAATTACTCTCACGTCTCAAAAATAGTTATGGTTACATTACAGTACACAGAGTGAGTGAGTCGAGCTAAATATAGATATTGAAGAATGAAAAAGCCACATGAAACCTCTGCTGCCCCCCGCCGGCTTCCATGTATGATTAAATCCGCCTTACCGTCTTCCTCCTCCAAAGCCCTTGTCATCCCCGCCGTCTCCAAATCCCCCGAATCGACCCCCGCCTCCAAACGAGCTGGAACGCTTCGAGCCAGAGTCTCCGAATCCACCGGAACGTCCTGAGCCAAAGTCGCTGAACGAGCCACCACCTCGGTCCGACTTGCCAAAGTCGCTGAACGAGCCACCGCTGCTACGACCTTGACTCGAGCCACCATAGCCGCCTGGCTGAGACTGGAACCGTCCACCACCGCTGCTGCCTCCTTGTCGACCACCATAGCCTCCACCACGTCCTCCAGAACCGTAGCTACTCGAACCACCACCACCACCACCACCGAACCGGCCATAGCCGCCACTGCCACCACGGCCTCCTGAGCTGCCAAACTGGCCGAATCGACTACTGCCGCCCATGTCTAGGTTCATGCCTCCAGCCTCAACAGCAATTTTAGGGAGCTGGAAAAACAAAGAGGACAAGTTATGCCAGTCTGAAGTTCGATCAACAAGGGGAAAAGAAGAAAGGGATCAAGTAGTCAACCAACCTCGGTGAATCGGCATCCTACTTCTCGCTCAAGGATCTTCACTTGCCTACTTTGATCCCCGCCGTAAATGAGAATGGCAGTTCCCTTTTTCCCAGCACGTCCAGTACGACCAGATCGATGAACAAATGTCTCGGTTGAGTTTGGAATAGCATAGTGTATAATCTGAAGAACGAGCCAAACGCGGCGGACAAGTTAATCAAAAGTGGCATAAGGAAGTGAGCCATAGTTTATTCAAGGACTAAAGCTACTGTACAGGTAAAGGACTTTTAATTATGGATCAAACTGAAGGCCTTCCATTGAAACCAACGTATAAGCATAAACCGAAGGAATGAATCTTACCAGATCAACGTTCGGTACATCTAGACCACGTGCAGCGACATCAGTAGCCACAAGTATATTAAACTGACCATCTCGGAAACCTGCAAGTGTTCTTTCCCTTTGCATCTGAGAGATGTCACCGTGCAATGCTTCACATTTATGGCTTTTTGCCATTGCATACGCCAAACGATCCGCATCACGTTTTGTCTCAGTGAACACAATACACTTTCCTCCTTTCCCATGTTCCTAGCAAGAGCAAGATAAAAATGATAAATGAGAAAGAATGATTGCAACAGAAGAAGAAGAAAAAATCTCTTGATAGCTCAAAATGTAACATCTTTCATACCGCAATCAAAGGAGCAAGAACGCCTGCTTTCTGATACGACTCTGATGCGATAGAGTAGAGAGTAATCCCATCAGCTAGCTTCTTATCCGAATCACCAACCTATAAGAGAAACACAAAGTTGTTACCGCAAATGTTCTACAAAAAACGTCAACTAAAGGCAACTTCCAAGCATTACATACTAACCAGATCGATAGTCAGCGGCTTTGTTAGGTAATTCTTAATGAGGTTCTTGATCCAACTTGGCATTGTGGCAGAGAACAACATGTTCTGTCGCTTCGGTGGCATCTGCTTGAAGATCGTTTCAATATCATCAACAAAACCGACGGCAAGCATCTGGTCTGCCTCATCAAGAACAGCAAACTGGACTTCCGACAAGTTCAGAGCTCCTCTCCTCATGAGATCCATAATCCTACCAGGCGTGCCGACGACAATATCAGTGCCATATTCGAGTTCCCTCATCTGCCGCTGAATGGGGGTACCACCATAGAGGCAGATGGTGTCCAGATTAGGTGCTGCCTCACGAAACTCTTTCTCCACCTGGCGGGCGAGCTCTCTAGTTGGCGCCATGACTAAGGCCAACGGATTCTTTCCACGTCTAGAAATGTATATGCACATTTTGGATTATCAATTAGGGAAAACGAATTCTATAGAAACCAAAGTTTCAATGATGAATAATGAATATATACCCATGCTTCGCATTGTACTGAATGATCTTGTCGAGGATCGGGATACCAAAGGCAAGGGTTTTCCCTGTTCCTGTTCTAGCCCTCCCAAACAAATCCCTTCCTGCCATTGCAGGCTCAAGAACAGCTCTCTGCCACGTAAAATAAAATCACTAAAATGAATACTGATGGCTAAATTAAACCAAACAAACCCAAATCTTAGAACTTTTCAATAAAGATAATCACCTGAATGGGGAAAAGGTTAGAGATCCCCTTAGTAGCCAAAGCCGACACAATCTCTTGAGCAATCCCAAGCTTGGAAATTTCTAGCCCTTCCTCGCTTTGGCTATTACTAGCCACCTTCGCTTTCCCTCCGCCGCCGATTATGTCGTCGTCGTCGTCGTAACCATACTGATGATCTAAGGCGAACTCAGCCTGGGAAATCGTGGACGACTTGTAATTCAATCTCCCAGCTTGAGTGTGAAACCCAGAGCTTACCGAAGATAAAGCTCCAAATCCCAACGAGAGAAGACCCCTTCCCGCCGGAAACGAGGCCGTGCCGGGGGCTGCAGGGGCGGAGGAGGGAGGAGAATTACCAACAGATACTGATGAAGAGCGGCGGCTGCTGCTTCGCACGATGGTTTCGACGGCGGCCAAGGCGGCTAGGGTCGCCGGCCTGCGAGGCACCGGCAACGAGCGACTTATGGATGCCGTTAACATGATTTTTGCAAACGGCTGCGGAGGGTTTTGGGTAGATGGAAGATAAAGGGGAGAGAGCAATAGAGGTAGGAGAAGAAGCAGAAAACCCCAACAAGTGAAGTGTAGGGTTTAAGGAGAGGCGCAGATTGCCGGAAGAGATATTTATTTATTTATTCTTCCAGGTGAAGATATTTTTTAATCAATTTGTTTTTAAAATCTTTAACCTGTCTGCTTGAATGGGCCTGAAGCCCTGACTGCAACTCCTGAGTTAGCCTGCTGAAGCCAAATTTGTTCAGATTCAGACACAGTATTACTGTCAAGATTGTTACGTTTCAGGTAATCTCTCAGTATTTCATATTTGTTCTAAACTATACAAATATGCATAATTATGCTCGTTAGGTTCGATCGGTAAAGATTTCGATTCGTCTAATCTTCTAAAATTTGATTTGACACAGAACACTTGTAACATTTTTTAAATTACGAGAGGTAGATGATGGATTAGGTAATTGTATTTATATCAAAGTTGAAATATGACTGAAGGATATGAATACAAATAATAGTGGAGAGAATTGAGATATAACAGGTTGAAAGTTGAATTGAAGGGAAGATCAAGCTGCTCATAAGACAAATTGAGTCGAGCAAAACAAGTCGAAATTACCAAGTACGAGGAGAGGGGGATAAGGGAATATTCGTGGTTTAGTACAGAGTATTGACAATATACTGCTGCAGTCCCAAATCTGGTAATCGACTTCTGGTATGGCCAACCATCAAAGGGTTTCTGCATTGGTAAAAACGTAGAACTTGGGACGGTTTGCTCTCGAGTTTTGAGTCGGGTATGCAGCAGCCGTTCAACATGTATCCCCTGATGGCTGATGGCCATCGGCAGGGTTGTGTGCTTCTCTTTAGCCACTTTTGCAGGTTGGTCGGGTAGTCATGGGATATCAGGGTATCCCTATGCCAAGACCCTCCAAGGCAGCTGCAGGAGCAGGACACCTTCTGGACCGGGTCATAATTCGTGAGGGACACCATTTGAGCAGCATTCCACAGAGCTATCTGTCAAGAAAGACAAAATGCTAGGGATCATGAACTTCAAAGCACTCGCCAAAAGGCAAGGTATGAAGGACTACGCATAGAAATGGAGAGAGTGATGGATGAAACAATCCACAAACATTGATTAAGTTTCCATTTTGGTATTACAATCTACAGATTAAATCTCTGCACAAACTCAGCTTGTACAGTCGCTTGTTTTAACTAACTATTCAATCATACTACTATAGATCGTCCTCATACATGCAGGGAAAAACCAGCAAATGACTCAAAAATAGAAATGCTGAAAGAAGAATTTGAATCGATCTGTACCTTCATATAGAATTACATCAGCATAGCAGGATTGGATGCAATCTAGCAGGCTCTAGAGGATCAGGCAATGGCATCAATCCTGTGTTGTAGTTAAACACAGGGATCAGACAACATAAATTTATTTTACTATCAAAGACTTGTGCTCAAGCATCACACCATTACAGTCACCAACAAGCAGCTTACACTTAACAACCTACGGTTTAATCAGCACATAATATGTAGACATATATATATTATGCGGATTTTGTTTTTATCTCCCTCAGCATGTCACACTCGTTATGAATGTACTTTTGAAGAAGGAAGAGAATTAACTACCAAAGACTTGTGCTCAAGCATCATACGTTACAGTCACCAACAGGTAGCTTAAGATGGCCTGGTATCTCAACAATCCAAGGTCCTGAGATGAGAGAAAAAAGTTGCAGAAATTAATAAGATCTATGAAAGAGGCAGGCAGGCACTAAAGAGCCCTGAACAGAGACATGCCTAAAATATAAGTTGAAAGACTTTAATTATTGGAATGTACCAAATACCAATGTGTCCTCCTTCTGGAAGGGGGGCATGGCCAGTTCCTGCTGATTTGAGTTCGTCATTGTTACTTCAACATGAGGAAACTCCACTTCATGGTGCTAGCCGTAAAACTTGTCTGCCGCTTAGTTTGCTCTTTGTGTCAACCTGCTTGTGAGAGTATAACTGTACATCTGGTTCGACATGCTTATTAATCAGAGATGCAGCAAATGTAGATAACGAGAATTTAAGGATCTGGATCAGTTGGCAACAAGCTAAAGTAAACATAGGCAACAAGGATAATCAGATAACAGAAACTTACATTTTCTGTCATCATTGGTACCCCATTTCTTCTGTAACAACAAAAAAAAGTCAGAATGATATTTCAAAATTATGCCAAAAATTCCTCAAGAAACAGTAAGAATTTGGATAAAGAATGAACATGGCAGAAGTATAGTACTTCCTATTCAGCGTCTTTGAACAAGAATGAACAACTTACTAGGTCTTTGTAATTTATATTTCGGCAACTCTGTAACTTCACACATTATCAACATGATGAGAGACCTTTCCAGGCCGATGTTCAGGGTGACTGGAATGTTTCTTCTTATGTAACCGTTTGTCCCTAACACCATCATACAGAAGTTCATAGGCATAGTAAGTTATAAAACCTTTCTTCAGCAAATCTTCAACAACAATCTTGGGTGCTGCAACTGCCCTTTTATCAGCCTCGAAAATGGTATCCACAACCTCCGGGACAATGCCATTTCTCACCATCATATGGACTATCCTAACTGCCTCGGGGACTTTATCTTGGACACACAGACAGTTAATCACTCTTCCAAAGGTCGTTAATGATGGAACAAAACCTTTGTCAATCATTTCCATTAGAAACTTGTATGCAGAGTCAATCCTCCACACTTTGCAGAAACCATCAATCATGACACGGTATGTGTAATCATCTGGACTGCAGCATTCTTCATTGCCCATCTGATGAAAAAGCTTTTCTGCCATTTCGATATTCAACTTTTCGGAAAACCCATTTATCATGATATTGAATGTCGACGTTCTCCACAAAATGTTGTATTCTTGCTTCATTCTTTTGAAGAGATCGTATGCTCTATCCAAATCCTTTATATTGCATAATCCATTAATGACAGTGCTGAAACTGACAGTATCTAGAACTAGACCTTTCTTCCCTATTTCTTCTAGTAAGTCCAGAGCCTCATTTACTTTCCTAGATTTGCACAGGCTCTCTACGAGTATACTGTAAGTGATCAGATTAGGAACACATCCTTTCTCCAACATCATCTTGAATGTTTCCATAACATCTTCAGACTTTGCAACCTTGCATAGACCATTCAAAAGAGTGTTGTACGTGATCACATCTGGCAAGACACCATGACTCAACATGCTATTCAGAAGCTCAAGAGCATTCTCCATTTTCAGCTGCTTGCAGTATCCATCAAGTAATGTGTTGAATGTAAAAATATCTGGGATATACCCTTTTGCAATAGCATCATTCAGAAGGTTAGTGGCATCAGAGACACATCCCATCTTACATAATCCATCTATTATCAGATTGTAAGTCCATGTATCTGGGATGCAACCTTTTCCCAACATCTCGCCCATCAACTCCAAGGCTTGGAGAACAAGTCCTTGCTTGGACAACCCTTTAATTAGTGTATTGTACAGAATAACCGTAGGCTTTAAGCCCTTCCCCTGTGCCTCGTTGAAAACCGATACAGCACGATCCACAAGATTATCCTGGCATAAACCGGTGATCAAGGCGCAATAAGTAAACTCATCAGGCACAAACCCTTTAAAGATTGCATCACCAAGAATTTTGTCAGCATTTGGCATCATCCCCATCTTGCAATAACCATGAATTATAGAGTTGTAGGTGAAGGCATCAGGCTGTAACCCTTCATTCACCATTTTATGCAGATAGCCCTCTGCTTGTGCAACTTTATTTCCTTTACACAAACCACAAATGAGAGTGTTATATGTGACAACATCAGGAATTAGACCTTCCTTGTTCATGCTCTCCAACATACTGACAGCCCTATTTACTGCACCTTCTCTACAGAGCCCTTGGATGAAGATGTTAACTGTATACAAGTTGGGACAGAAACCCTTCTTAAGCACCTTGCTCAACAGCTTTTCACTTTCTTTGACTTGCCCTTTCTTGCAAAGAACATGCATGAGCTTATTAAAAGTAGCAATGGCTGGAAAAATACCCAATTCAAGCATCTGGTTGAACAATTCATATGCATCAAGTAGATAGTGCCCATCATAAAACCCACCAACAACAGTACAATAAGCAACATCATTGACTTCACACCCTTGAGAAGACATGTTGTTCAGAAGCCTTAGAGCAGCATGAGGCCTCCCCGTCTTGCAGAAGGACTTTATCCTAATCGTAAAAGTGTAAACATCAGGAGAGATTCCTTTATCTCTCATCCTCAAGTAGACTTTATGTACTTGATCGTGATGCCCATAGTCAACCAATATATTCATGATGGAGTTATACGATAAAACCGAAGGCTCGCAGTTGTAGAAATCCATCCTCTCAAACACATCAACTGCTTCCTGAACTCTCCCTTTCTTCCCATAGTTCCTCATGGCTCCTACATACACCCCTTCCAGCAAGTTATTATCGACATTCATCCTAGTCTCCATGAGCACTTGCTCCATTGCCTGGAATTCACCATGGATACCTAGCTTCTCAATCATGCACCTATAGGTAGACAATGTGTGCTTAAACCCATCTTCTATCTTCACAGAATTGAAAGTTTCAAGAGCTTTCAGAGGATCCTTTTGGTACTTTATGACCAAAGCCACATTCTTTGGGAGCAGAGTAGGACTCATTCTAGAAAGAAAAATCCTGTACAAAGCTACGAAGGTTACCCGGAAAACCCCAGCTGAAAATGAGGAAGGCGAAGGAGAATCAGCCGGCGCTACGGAGGACAAGACGCCAACGACGAGGGAGAAGCTAAAGACAATCTAGAAGACGAAGAGTTGGAAAGGAAGCAATTATCGGAGCCTGGCGTCGCTGATTGATAAATAGAGAAAGCCAGTGGCTAGAGAATCTAGGAGCCGGAGTCAAATCGACGGGGAGGCGGCGTTTGGAGAGACCTTTTGCCGGCGGCGGGAGAATAGCGATTTAGAATCGTAACTGTAGGGATGTTTTGAAGGGTTAACTCACTTTTTGGTCCCTGAATTAGACGCTTTTTGCAAAAAGCTCCTGAATTGATAATTCTGTACTCCAGAAGACCAGAACTTCAGATGCTCAAGCACTGTACTTCGCGAGGTCAAGGTGGGAGCAAGAAGTTGAGGAAGCTGAGCCGTAAACGATGTCGAGAGCTCTTTCTCTCCGGCGCTCAATCCATCATCTCCTCCGCCTCGGTCCCTCTCAACCCATTTCCACCGCCTTCCCGCCGACAAAGCCGCCGATCCCTCCAAACAATCGCTACCCATCAAACCCTGTTCGCACATTCTCAACCTCCTCTCCCGCGCCGGCTTCGTCGGAAGCTGAGCTGCGGCGGTACCTCGGCTACACAGCGCTCGTGCTCTTCTGCGGAGCCGCCACTTACTTCTCATTCCCCTTCTCGGAGAACGCCAAGCACAAGAAAGCCCAGCTCTTTAGGTACGCCCCATTGCCCGAGGATCTGCACACCGTTTCCAATTGGAGCGGCACTCACGAGGTCCAGACCCGGAACTTCCACCAGCCCGAAACTTTGGAGGAATTGGAGAAGCTGGTGAAGGATGCTGATGAGAAGAAAGCCAGGATCCGGCCAGTTGGGTCGGGGCTCTCGCCCAATGGGATTGGGCTGTCGCGTGCAGGGATGGTGAATTTGGGTCTGATGGATAAAGTTCTTCAAGTGGATAAGGAGAAGAAGACGGTGAGGGTTCAAGCTGGGATAAGGGTTCAGCAGCTGGTCGATGGGATTAAAGAGTATGGCCTTACCTTGCAGAACTTCGCATCCATTAGAGAACAGCAGATTGGTGGAATTATTCAGGTTCTATCTCCCTCTCTCACAGTCTCACTCACCACTGCCATTCGTTGTACCTCCTTTGGATGAGATATTTCATATTTTAGTATTGGATATAAGGCAAAAGATGCTTCCTTTTTCGTTTGCACCATTTAGTTTGTGATGTTTGAGGTAATCTGATCCACTGCTGCAAGCTTGCTAGACAATTTGTTTAGCATTCTGCTGTGGCAAGAGTATGCTGTCATGCTGTTGTAGCGATATCTTGGATATGCACTTTTGAGATGGATTTTAAATTATGAAATTTGGCCGGTTTTCAGGTTGGTGCACACGGGACTGGTGCGAGGTTGCCACCAATTGATGAACAGGTCATTAGTATGAAATTGGTGACTCTTGCCCAAGGCACGATAGAGATTTCGAAAGACAAAGACCCAGATCTGTTCTATCTTGCTCGTTGTGGTCTTGGAGGCCTTGGAGTAGTTGCTGAAGTCACCTTACAGTGTGTTGAGCGTCAAGAGCTTGTGGAGCATACTTATGTCACAGACATGAATGATTTGAAGAAAAACCACAAGTAACTACTTGCTCATTTAGTTGCATGTGCGCATGATTAATGACTTTTGTAGAAGAAAGTAATTGCATATGTAAAATGAATGGTTTGTACATCATAAAGAAATTTTTCTTGGATAACTCATGCTCATAGCTTTCCCTTGGATATCAGTTTCATATATAGACCAAGTAAATGAAGTCTACATTCATACATCTAGAGTATGCATTCTATCTTTTATTTGTGTCCTTGTGATGAGACTATCATTCATTTGATGTCCATCCTGCCTACCTGTCTCATAATCCTTCTCTTAGTAATTTGGCTAAGATGCAACATGTTCTGTTTGCTTATTCATTCCCAAAAGAATTGGAATTCCTATTGCCAGTTCTCTAAAACTTTATAAAGTTGAGATTTCGAATTTGCTTCTCCTGATAATTTTTATTGATCCACCTTTTCCCCCTCTTATTCCAGGAGGCTACTGTCTGAGAATAAGCATGTGAAGTACTTGTACATCCCCTATAGTGATGCTGTTGTAGTTGTCACCTGTAATCCTATTTCAAAGTGGTGGGGTCCCCCGAAATTCACACCGAAGTATACTAAAGATGAAGCAATACAGCATGTCCGTGATCTATACAAGGAGTGCCTTGAAAAGTACAGGTAGTTCAGCTATTGTCCCTGTTCTTTGTTGTTCTGTACCAGGACATCATATATAGTATATACTGCATGCTTCCAAGTCTTCCAAGGTCTAGAAATGCTGAGAGTCACTTGTAATTGATTTGTCTGGTGGAAGGAACTGTGTGATTTGAGCTTTTTTGCAATAGTAAGAAGTGATAATATAGAAGCCAATGCAATTCGTACCTTCTCTTTAATTTTCTCTTGTTTCTTCATTTTGTTCTAGCTCACGGATTTAATTAACCTGCCTGCTTTAACTAAGAGAGAAATGGGTTGGAAACATTTTTCTAACACAATTGACATGGGAATTTGTTTCATACACAAACCAATTGTAATCAACTAAAACTATTGCTTCTGCAATATATCGAGTCTCTTCTGATACCTAATAGTCCCATTCGATTCATATAATTCTATCCTTGTGTATGTCAGCTGATTGCATGTTGCAGTTGATTGCAGGAATGGAGAAATCACGGCTAATCTTGTTGATGAGCTATCATTTACTGAATTAAGAGACAAATTGATTGCTCTAGATCCTCTCAACAAAGAGCACATTGTCAGGATTAATTGTGCTGAGGCTGAGTTCTGGAGGAAGTCAGAAGGCTACAGGGTTGGGTGGAGTGATGAAATTTTGGGCTTCGATTGTGGTGGGCAACAGTGGGTATCAGAAACATGCTTTCCTGCTGGTTCCCTTTCCAACCCTAGTATGAAAGATCTTGAATACATTGAAGATTTGAAGCAGCTCATCGAGAAAAGACGGATACCTGCACCTGCTCCCATAGAGCAACGTTGGACAGCTCGTAGCCGGAGCCACATGAGCCCAGCCTCCAGCTCAAACGAGGATGAAATATTTTCTTGGGTAAGTTAATAATTGCTTGACTTTTTTTCCTTTGATTCTTGTAAAGGTGTCTGTCTTCATATATGTATTCTGAGTGTTTGAATCTCTTCCTTAAACATATGCTGATTGCCTTGGAATACAAATGCTAAAGTAAAGCTGTTAACAGCATTTAATTCAATAAGTTTTTGGAAGAGTTAATGAAAACACTCCTCTTTTGTTCTTGGTATCAGGTTGGTATAATCATGTATCTTCCTACAATGGATGGCCGCCAGAGAAAGGACATCACAGATGAGTTCTTCCATTATCGACGTTTGACTCAGACTGCGCTATGGGATAAATATTCTGCTTATGAACATTGGGCTAAGATAGAGGTAAGAAATCACTCTTCGGTATTTTGCCTCCTGTCATATGACATGTAAAAACCGTCTCTTCGCCTTGAGTTCCATTGTGCATCAGTGCATGGCTAAAACCTCACAAACTTTGTGTTGCATTCTGTTGAATTCCAATGATATACCCAGGTTCCGAGGGATAAGGAAGAGCAAGCAGCATTGCAAGCAAGGCTAAGAGAGCGCTTTCCCGTTGATACATATAATACTGCCCGAAAGGAATTGGACCCCAACAGAATCTTTGCTAATAACAAGCTGGAGAAGTTGTTCCCAGTATCACAAGCTGCTTGATTTCTTGGTTGCTTTCTTATCCCTCTCTTAGTAGTGTGGGAACTTGTATACTATAAACCGCTGCCTCTTTTGCTTTGCTTGGGTACACCTAGGCCTTTTGGTCTGGTAGAACTAGATACGAAAACTGACTAACTGAGAAAGTTTCACCAGAAATAAATGGGCATATTTTCAAGCTCTGGGCCAATAATGCCCTGGCAGGCTACTCATCTGCTCGCAATGTGATTATGTACCATTCTTTTGGTATGATCAATAGAATCATTTTATAGTCTTGATGTTCAGTATTTGCATGGTAGCCAGTATAATTACAGAAATGTGTACTTGTAGAAATTTTCTTGTTTAGAGCTATTTTCTCGGGTCACAGGCATCAGTTAATCTTGAGCAAATTCGGAAGCCTGCAGCTGCTCAGAAGTGATGGTTGTCGACTTCTTCCTAAGAGATCAACTGTTTCGTCTCAGGTACTAATCTGGAGGAATTGCTTTTGTTTCAGTATGCAATACATTCTGAAATGCTGTGATATACCTACCTAGAACTGAGAGTAGATTAGGTAGACTTCTGATTGGATTTAGGTATTTTTTGTTGCTATATTTCCTACTAAGTTGAGTCACCCTTCTGTTATTTTGACATTAGCCTATTATTGAGACTTGCAACGATTTTGGAGATCTACCTTTTGTCAAGAACCAAATAGCAGGAGTAATTGGATAAAGAGAACAAAGATCTAGGAATCACTTTATTTTACAACCATAGGGGGGGTGGCAAGCTATAATCATACAAGCAATTTACTTTCCTTAAGACAGAAAAGGGGAAAGAGAAAACATTTAATCACAGATAGATGACAAGCAATGAAAGACTATAAGGTAGAAACTAGGCCATGTTGATGAAACTTAGCAAAGATTCAGAAACAAGCTTCACAAAGCCAGCAGCAGCACAGAGCGAAGAGACTGCACCCACATAGATAACGAAAACAAGGTTTAAGATCATGATTAGCAACAAAACATTTGTATTATAGATGAAACTAATCATCGTTAATCACTTTTTTATGTTGCACATATCATTGTGATAGACTGACTTACCATCCTTCAATGAAGCCTCTGTCTCCTTTCTTCTTTGTTTGGGGGCAGCACTTCTTCCCAGTGGGGTGATCAGTGCGATTCTCTGTTGGGTATCCTTGGGAATATCAAAAGAAACAATGAATTAGTTGATAAGCCCGAAATCCGCCTTAAAACTTAGGAGTCGCTCCGTCTTTCGTTCGTACTAACCTTCTGGAGGCTGCTGCTGCTGCTGCTTGTCTTGTGCCTTGTTGTCTCTGTTTTTATCAGCCATGATTTTGCAGAAGATGGTTCAGTGCTTTGTAGATAGATTACATGTAGACACAGTTGCATGTATATATACACAAACCAGATAGCCTTTCGGCCCTAGATTGATTCCTAATGAAGCTTGCTTTATAGTTAAATCTTTGTTGGCAGTAATTGATTCCTAACGAAGTTGCTTTTGTCAAAGCTGCAGATTATATGTCAAATATATCAGGTTACGCGTAATCCATAGATTCTTGAGCACATCTGGGTTTGGTTAGTTTGCTATATTCAGGTCAAAACACAACAGTGGCCATAGTGGGAAAAGATGTGAGAAACTAAGGAAATTTTGGGAACACGGATTCGGTAGAGTGGAAAGATGGCTTAGATTCTTGTTCTTTGCTTACCGAGGAAGAGAATGAAGGGAGAGAGCAAAGGGCAAACGGAAGTGGATCTGTGACTCAGAAAGTATGTTAAGAAGTAAGCAAAGAGAACATTCTGTGTTCTTTATGTCCTGGAAACTAGTGTAAAATGACGACTCGCTTCTTTGAAGACACTTTGATAACGAGTTGTCAAAGCCTAAACAGCACTTAGAAACAACACATGGGTAGTATATCGATCCCCGGAGTATCAACCCGACTGGCACGATTAATAGTCCGAACTAAAAAAAAAAGTAGAGAAACGACCATAACAAGTGCGAGCGAGGAAATCAGTCACAAAGTTGCTTAGAAGATGCAAGATGGTCGCGCTACCGATACAAACGTGAGATGGAATTTGTCGATTGTAGCAATCAATACATATGTGAATGATTCTTCCCGAAACCGTGTCACCTCTCACATTCTCTGACTATATATGTGTGGAGCATTAGCAGAAATGGCCATCCATCCCACATGGTCTTCTTTTCTTCTTCCCCATATAACCAATATGCTATTGCATTATTATTATTATTATGATTCCCAAACCTCCCATGATACATGTTGCAATTGTGGACAATGTTACATACACACTCATAAAGTCATATGTGTTTCTTCCTCATAATTCATAAAGATATATGTATTATATCACTAGTTTGATGGTCTCTCCTCCTCCTACCCAACAACAAGAATGGTTCCCATATGGATGTGTTTGTTTCCATGGACATGCTCTCCCAAAAGGCCAAACCTTTCCCCTAACCACATGGCTCCAAAGCCCAAACACTCCCATTCATGGCCCAAAAAAAATGTCTGAACTTTCTGCAGTTTGAATGATGAACAGATTCTTCAATTTGATTAGGGATTAACAACGTAACTAACATTCAATATTGGATCGTCAAAAAGACGCTCTAATATTTTCATAGACAAGTTGTACTTGTGGTTTATGTTTGTGTGTTTCATTTCATGGGGTTTGAGCTTGACTCCAACTCTTTTTTCTTTCTTTGAATGAGTGAATAGATTCCAATGTTTCCACCACCAAATATGGCAAAACTTAAATATGGGTGTGGATTTGACCAAATGCCATCCACAAAAAAACAACACCACTCTACTGCCTGCCCCTAAGAAAAAGAAGATGAAAAATTGAAGGAAGAGGTTATAATAGAAACATTCAACCAATCAAAAAAGTTAAACTTGGGCATATCATAAATGGGGAAATTTTTTCTTTCCAAGAGATGATTATGATGATGAGGACCTACACATATCTATTTTTTTGCTCCAAACATAGGGTTCCACCTAAGATCAAGGTCAAAGGTTAAATTTTTTCCTCCTACTACATGTTGGCATGAAGCATTGATTAGAGGAGTACACAAAGTGACATGCTTAATGTGTACAATATAACCTACAAAGATCTTTCAACCGAGTCGTTTGGATGCATCATTTTTGTTCTGTAGTATTTCGAATCAAAATGTTGCATTATTTTGATATGTGACATTTCATATGGTATTTCAGTTTGAAATGTGGTAATTTGGTCAATTGTCGTGTTTGGATAAAACATTAATGAATTGTGTTATTTTACCATTTAGAGAAGGGATGGAGAGAAGAAAAAAGAGGTTTAGAGATGAGTTATTTGAAATAACTAGGGGTGGTAGGTATTTCAAATACTCACAATGAGTTATTTCAATTGCCTCGTGAACAAAATACCACATTTCATTTTATTTTTTTCCAAATGAGTTATTTCAGTTTAAATACCTCATCCAAACGACCCGTATAAGTCATTGGTGTTAGAAAGGTACATCAATTAATTTAGGAATTGTTCGGATGAGATTTTTAGGTAGTAAGTTATTTGGGACAATGAACTCGTTTGACAATATTTTATTGAGATGAGTTATTTGAAATAACTCCTACCTTCCATTTTATTTGGAAGTAACTCATTATACCCCTCTGTTAGTGTCAACAACCATGCATGCATCTCCAGCTGACATGTTGTTTTACGATGTCATGCATGGTTGTTGTATGTGGACCAACTCATACATCTTCATCACATGGTCAATTCCTTCAAACTATATATATATGTGGTTAGGCCATCATATGGTCAATTCCTTTGAAAGTATATGTAATGGGGGAGTTTTGTTGCCTTCAAACACTTATTTGGCCTCCTTTTGTGGCATGATTTATCAATTGTAGCTCTCTCACACACACCTGGAAAAATTGACAGGAAGTTGAAATTTTGAAATGGACTACTTCTGCTGATCATAAAGCTCAACATTGATAGAAAGAAAGGGAATTATCAATCCGTGCATTTCCAAAGATGGGGTCCAAATGAAGAATACATTCATGTTGAAAAGACATATGTAGTTAGGCCATCTGAAAATTTACTTTAATTTATTTTCCATTTGTGTAACTATGTACATGTATACATTTTTCTTTGAAAGCACAGGGAATTGACATGACTATGGTATGAAACAAATAGTGACAATTAATGAGCATGTTATGCTATCTGATCCGGGGGCCCTTGTACGTGAAAATCGTCAAAGTTTGAACCAATTGATCTAAATAATCATGTTGAAGATACATCGTCGGACAGATTTAGTAAATATATATATAGTTTGGGAATCAGATGTTGTGCCACTAACTGAACTCCAAAAGTTATGATAGGATGATCATTTGATGCCCTCATCGGGAAAGAGTTTTCCTACCAATAAATTTGTTCATCTAAGAAGCAAAACCTTTGTCTTACAATCACTCACTCCAAAATGTGCTATACCACATAAGAAAATAGATCCTTAATGCGAACAATCGATAATCGATTCTACTTTTCAATTTTTTTTGGATGTATGCAAATATATGATACTATTGAACCGTTTTCTTAAAACGATTATTTTTATGGAATATTTGCTACTCCAAAACTTACGATTAGTTTTTTTGGAATATTTTTTGTTGTAAATATTGAATTTTTTTCTCGAAACTATTATTCTACATATTATTATTGGGGGATATATGTAGTAATTATCAGGCTCGACCACATAAACATTACCCATAGCCGACAATACAAACACTAGGGAATGAACCCTTTTCAATTATTGGAAGCAAAATGTAATTTAATAATTAATTTGTCCTAACTCCTAACCACAACCTAATACATTAACGAAATGGGATCAAGTGCATATACATGAATATGTTCCAACCATGTTTGTAGTAGACTATGCTTTGTGGCATCACATGGATTTTTCCATGTAACAATATTATTAAGAGAAAAAAAAAAGACAAGTAATAAGAAAAGGTTTTAGGGGACAGAACAATGAGGCCGGTTTTCTTTTTATGGGTGTTATTGGGGAAAAATATATATTGTTTATATCATCTCTGATCTCCAATGGCTGGCTTTCATATATAGTCCAAACTGTATCTCATTACGGAATAGGAGAGGACATAACTACTATTATTAATACACATACTTATAGAAAATAACACACTTGACATAAGATGATACGACATAATAATTTTTGTTGTTGGGAGAAACAAGATGTTTGAAAGGTAGACGTTTCTAACCTTTATTTGTACTAAATACGAGAGATACGGAGGCATCAAATGTGTGCATCATAGTTAACATGCTCAATAATGAATGTGTGTATCAGTCTAGTCAATCAAAAGTTATTACGTCATATCGTATAAGAGTAAGCTAGTGATCGTGTATGGTCTGCCAAGTAACACGTCGAGTGATAATAACAATATTCATCATATATAGGTACGAGTAAGATGCCAATAATTGTTCATTAATATGGTCTAACGGCATTACCGACGAGACGACAACCTTAATGTAGTTTGTTTGATCCCACAAAGATCTAATTCACCCTTGGACAAACCTTATAACTTGTCCTTTACACTCCCTTTTGATGTTAGTTTAGAATGACAAATGACCACTACAATTAGACAAGTTAATCACCAAATCTAGCTATATATAGGATCCCATGTAAGTCTCCCCATCACCTTACCATAAATTGAACATCAAAATAAGAATCCAATGATTGGACCCCCCTAATCCAAACTCCTTAATTAACCTCATTAGTCATTAACCCATAAAAACACACCATCAAAAGAACCAAATCAAGAAAAGAAAGAAACTGTTTCCGGGTCAGAGATCCTACAAGCGATGAGATCTATCTATCAACATCCCATTTTCAGGGCATGCAAAAAAGGGGGGAATTCAAAGGTTTGAACAAACCCTTTTTTCTTCGTTTCATGATCACATATTTACCAAACTTAGAAAAGCTAATCAACAATCTCAAACTTATATGTCTTCCTTGTAATGTCCAAAAACAACAATATCATCATCATTATCATCCATCCATTCTTATGTTGATTCATGCATGAACCAAAGTACAGAGATCTCTTGCCGAAAGTGCTTTGCTTCATTATCAAAAACCCTAATCCTGCAAAGCTACTACCTTTGTTTTTGCTGCTTCGACCTTTCCTTTTTCTGCCCGGCCAACAAGCATACTGATTGTCAAGAGTGACTTCTAACAGCCATATTCACCCGTCTTTTCTGTAAAGATACCCTCCTCTTGCTCCTTTCCCTTTCTTCCAAAACCATACACAACAACTAGAAATGACAATTGGGTTTGTGTAGGGTTTGGATTGACGACTCATTCTGATATGTGATTCGACGCGCGACGAGATACAATCATCGGCTGTTAATTATAGGGTTAATTATTGGGGAGATTTTTGTGATTTGGGTCTAAAGATTGCATCTTTTTTGTTTGTTTGTTTGTTTGGGAAGAGGGTGGGGTGTTTTTAAGTTGTTGCCTTGTTGGGAGTATATGGCATTTGTGATTTGTGAGGGTACAGCATTGTGATTGTGGTGGAGTTTGTGTGGAAGGAAAGAGAGAAGAGGAGAGAGAGTGGTGAAAAGACAAGAGAGGGAAGTGAAAAGACAAGTCAAACGTCAAATCGAGGGGCTTGAAATCATAAGACAGTCAGTGGGGATGAATGAATGGTGTTGTCAATCAATTAGATTTTCTCTCTCCCCCATCTCTCTCTCCCCCATCTCTCTCTCTCTCTCTCTCTCTCTCTCTCTCTCTCTCTCTCTCTCTCTCTCTCTCTCTCTCTCTCTCTCTCTCTCTCTCTCTCTCTCTCTCTATGTCTGTCTTCTTCTCCCTCTTTCTTTCTACTTGCCCCTCTCCTTGCTTTTCATTCTCAATTTTAGATACAAAACAGACAAACCCAGGTTAACATTTCAAAGGTTGAGTCTGAAAACGTATTGGAAGCTCTATCGAAAAAATTAGTGGTAGTATGTTTTGTACTAAATCGTCATTTCATTGTTTAGTATCGCTAAAATCGTTTATTGATTTGGAGACTAACACCCATACCTTGTATTTTCGGTCCGATCGGTAGGTAGAATACGATTTCTAAAACATAGAGTTTAATCGATGTATAAGTTTCGTACTATCCTAGTTTACAGGAACAATATCCGATAATCGTGATTCGAGATTATGCTTAAGAAAAATTCGCTGGCATATTGGATGCAACCCGATACAAGTGTCGACGATGGTTGCTGCTGAAAGATGCCGGAATCGTGCATGCATTGCAAGCGTCACAATCTGTGTCGCTGGAGATGCATGTGTCGTTATAACTCATGTATACGCGCATATAATTAAGTAACCACATTGCATGCAATCTTCTCGAAGATTGCATGCATATCGACGCTCGTCCAAACTCTGAACGTACCAGCTCGCGGTTAATCCCTCAGCATCGAGAAGGGGAAACCGTGCACGAGGTTAATTTACAGCCTCACGTGCGTGCATCTGAAATGAGGTGTCTCAGCTGAAAACCTGGTCTCTCAGAAAAAAAAAAACGAGCTCTGGTTGGTTGGTTAGTTGGCATCATTGTTTCAAACCGTGGTAAAGAACAGTTCTAGAGAGAGAGAGAGAGAGAGTGGGGTTAATTAGCTCAATATGAAAGATTGAAGGTCTAGGAAGGAAGGAACAGGGGAATTGAATTCACTGATGAAGAACCATCGAGTGAGTGAGAGAGAGAGTCCGATTCCCGGCCGACACGGCTCCATATCTGTGCCCACCACCACTTCCACCACCACCATCGCCTTCTTTCTCCTCTCTTTTTTTCTTCGGTCTTATGCCACTTTCAGTCTCTTTTTCTTCCCCCTTACATGTCTCTGTCACACCTCCTTCTTTTTATTACCTTCTCTCTCTCTCTCTCTCTCTGTTTCCCCTGCTGCTGGTTTACTAGCTGCTATTAGGTTCTTCTCTCGAGTTGGGGGGAAAACAAAACAAAAAAGGAGGGCACCCACACGTTTGCCTCTTATGACAAGTTTAATAATGCATTCTTTCTTTGTACAAGTCTTTGTCTCGCTAATTAAAACCACTACTACTGCTTGCTGCTACTGCGTACCCTGTTCTTTTAAACCTCCTCGGGGAAACAGGGGAAGCTAGCTAACGCTGCTGAACAATTAATAGTACTCACGTTTTGTGTGTATTAATGTAACTATAAACCCAGCTGGGAGATCTTGACCCATTTGCATGTTCGTTTCTGGATTTGAATATGGGAAGCTAATCAATGACATGTTGAAGACACATATAATCTTGATTCTCTATAAATATCGTGTATGTTGGTAATTAAGTTCACTACTACGTGCGTGAGGTGTTTGGAACTTTAAGAACTTAAACATTTTTACGGGTTTTATGTTACCAAAACGCTTCTATCTAGAATCGTGCTTTCCCCCTTACTAATGTAGTTAAATTCACTTTGAAACTTGAAATCTTACGCTTTTTACCCTTTTATGTGTCACTTTAACACGCTTCTACGTAGAATCGCATTTTTTACTGCATTGATTAGCATGTTTACGAGAGATCGTACCAATACAGCTCTGTTCACATTCGTCGAACGCTCTGGCTGTTACTTGCAACGAGTAAAATTTGTAGTATGTTCTGTTGTGGAGAATAAATTTCTATAAGGGTATTATTTGAGTTGGAAAACAATATGGTTTGTGATGATTAAGTAGTATAGGGTAATAGGGCAAAGGGGATTAAGGAAAAGGGCAATTGTTTGGAGAGTGGGGTGTTTTGGTAGGGACAAATGGTAAGAATGTGGGAACTTGGGAGGGCCAAATTTTTAAACCTAGCTAGCATAGATATAGTAGATCCAACCCATTGGCTTCACTGTATGGCCTATTCTAACTCTTCTGAGATTTGGCAAATTAAAAAAAAAAAAACTCTTCTTTTCATGGTTAATAATATTCAACATTTTCGCCCCACCCTCTTCTCTTCTCTATACTCTGCTCCCTTTTATAAGCACGTTATGTTAAGCGATAAACTATTTCTTTCAACATTACTATCTCGTAATACAAATACAATGGAATGCAAAACTCTCGATTCTGTTTTGTAAAATTAATATCGAATATCACAATTCGTCAAGAGATAAACACATATGAGACAAACGAAGAGTATTAACTATGGGTTCTTTTCTTTGATGAGATATTAGAAGAAACAAAAGGGTAGTTATACATAATAAACTATAATTAACGGGTGGGTGCTTGATATTGGGGCCATTGTCATTGTGTCGTAGGAGTCAACATAAATGGTCCTCACTCACTAGCACACCCTCAATGGTTGGAAAAAAAGAAATTTATAGTAGAACCACAACTAATTCTACTTTACCAATAAAGGAGATGTGGAAAAAAGGTCAAAGAGATGTAGTATTCGAATCATTTCAAAGTTATTCTTGGATACTACTAAAAATATACAATATTTGACATACGACACAAAATTTAAATTTCGGCATCATAATCATTCGATCATATATGTTCAGTTCAGTTTTTAATATAAAATAATTTGTATGAAAAATATACACGTAGATGAAAACTAACTTTGTATCATAGTGTTAAATGCAAAGTTCAATTTGCATTATAAAATTATTTTCAATCAAAAATTATTTTGTCCATTTGTTTTTTTGCTCTTATCATGACTCCCCTATACATTATGCATATATATGATTCCATTATTAAAGCACCCTCAATCTTCATGAACGTTCTCCTAATCTAATTATATTAATTCAGTTGACCCATGGTTGACAGCAAAAGACGTGTAAAATTATTAAAAATATGTGTGTGTATGTTTTTTTAAATGAGGAAATTACATACTAATTGTGTGTTAACTATAATGCAAAAGGCCAAAACTCTATTTCCCCCCTTCTCCTCATCCTAACTGGATTATGTTCTTTTCACTAATAATTGGACTATGATTTTCTTTTCTCTATTAATAAGCGAGTTTTCACTAATATCTTAAACACATTTTCTTGTAGAGTTGTTGGTCCTTCGAGATGCAGTTCGATGGTGCCTGCCTGCCTGCCTCGAGGACTCCACTGATCAGTTGTGTTAATTGTAGAGGGTCAGCGCGCGGGCGGATGCCCACGAGGCTTACGACCTCACAAGAGATTAATCAGGATATATTGAATGCCTCTTTTTTCCGCAGGATTTCTAGGATAGCTTTTTTTTTTTTTTGGTTGGACGCGTCGGTGTAACAGGGTTGTCCATTTGCTGGCAAGAGAATCCCTCTCGTTTGTTATCCCCATTCGTTATAGTAGGATTCGATTTTTTTTCCCAATTGTTTTTCTCTCGTGTGATTCTTTGTATCTAACTGTTGTCTCGTTAATACGCGAGCGATCTTTCGACAAACATTTGTTTTCGACATCTGTTTGAAACAACATCAGATCGAATAATATCCAGATGTCAAGTCGAACATTCATTATATAGTTTTCTTTTATTATCATTATTATTATTATTATCCACATCACCCACACACTCCTTCCTTTATTTTATATATTGGTTAGTTTAAATAGTAAAGAGCCGTCCATAACAGCCATCCATATTGCTCCCCCCTACACCTCTCCTCTCATCTCTTTCTTCTCACTTCACAGAAGAAGAAGAAGAAAAAATATCTAATACCATTACCACCACAGTTTCCCCTCTCTCTCTCTCTCTAGAAAACCCACAAAGCAAAGCAGAAGGAATGGAAAGAAAGCCACAGTAACCCCAAAAAAAAATCCCTCTTCCTTCCTTCCTTCCATCCTCTTCCTTTTCCTCAACCCTAGAGGCGAAATTTTAATCATGAGCCAGCAGCAGCAGCAGCAGCAGCAGGTGGAGGAGTCGCTCCGGTCGCTGTCGCTGGACTACCTGAACCTCCTCATCAACGGCCAGGCCTTCTCCGACGTCACCTTCAGCGTCGAGGGCCGCCTCGTCCACGCCCACCGCTGCATCCTCGCCGCCCGCTCCCTCTTCTTCCGCAAATTCTTCTGCTCCTCCTCCTCCCAACAACAGCCCGACTCCCCTTCCTCCTCCGGGTCCGGACCCGACCCGGCCTCCCCGAGACACGTGGCGGCCGGGATCGGCGGGGCGGGATCCCCTACGGGCGGGACCAGGCAGGGCGGCGTGATCCCCGTCAACTCCGTCGGCTACGAGGTCTTCTTGCTCATGCTCCAGTTCTTGTACAGCGGGCAGGTCTCGATTGTCCCGCAGAAGCACGAGCCCAGGCCCAATTGCGGGGAAAGAGGCTGCTGGCACACCCATTGCACCTCCGCCGTCGATCTCGCCCTCGACACCCTATCCGCCGCCCGATACTTCGGCGTCGAGCAGCTCGCATTGCTCACCCAGGTAATATACACAGCTTTTTTTTGGGATCCCCTTTTCCGCTGTTTTTGGGAAGGGTGGTTCGAATCGGATTAAACTCGTGAGAATTGCGCGCGATTTAATAATAAAAAAAGACATTTTAGGACCAAGAACACGCGCGCAATCGGAGTATATCGGTGGGAGGATTATCTTCTCCTTCTTGTTCTTCTCCACCTTCTTCCTGCTGCTCCATACTGTATTGTGTTTGGCCTTTTTCGCAAGTGGGTTTGAAGTTTTACCATAACCCTACCATTACCACTCCCACTTTTCTCATTTTCGTCGAATAACGCTACTCTATCGTTGGTCTTCGATTTAAAATCTCCTATGTTTTCGAATCTCTTATATAACACCTGATGATAAAAGCAAATTTACATCACCCTTATTTTAAAAAAAACACGATCTCATTTCGATTGGGGTTAAACTCATACTAGTTTGATTTCATCACAACGATCTAATCATACATTTCTTGTTCCTCTAGCTAGTTAGATTTTCATACAACACGATCTCATTTTCGTCGAATACCGCGACTCTATCGTTGGTCTTCAATTTCAGATCTCCAATGTTTTCGAATAACACCTTATGATAAAAACAAATTTACATCACCCTTATTAAAAAAGAAGAAAAAAATACGATCCCATTTCGATTGGTGGTCATACTCATACTAGTTTGATTTCTTCACCACAACGATCTAATCATACATTTCATGTACAATATGGATGTTTATTTACCCATTTCTCCCAAACCTATACACATACTTTGCTTTCCATATTTAGCTCACTCAATACGATTTTGTACATATAGAAGCAAGCAAGCATCATGCACTATTTTGTATTTACCACATTTGGGTTTTCTTCTCCATTTTTTGCATGTTGTTCATGCTTTGAATGTTTGTTGTTGTTGTGTCAAATAGAAACAATTGGCGTCGACGGTGGAGAAGGCGTCGATCGAAGACGTGATGAAGGTCCTCATCGCATCAAGGAAGCAGGAAATGCACCAGCTTTGGACCACGTGCTCCCACCTCGTCGCCAAGTCGGGCCTCCCGCCGGAGATCCTCGCCAAGCACCTCCCCATCGACGTCGTCGCCAAGATCGAGGAGATCCGACTCAAATCCTCCATCGCCGCCCGCCGCAACTCCTCCACCGCCTTCCTCCCTCACAATCATCACCACCACCTCGCCGCCGACCTCGAGGACCAGAAGATCCGCCGCATGCGGCGGGCGCTCGACTCCTCCGACGTCGAGCTCGTCAAGCTCATGGTCATGGGGGAAGGCCTCAACCTCGACGAGGCCCTCGCGCTCCACTACGCCGTCGAGAATTGCAGCCGCGAGGTCGTGAAGGCGTTGCTCGAGCTCGGGGCCGCCGACGTCAACTACCCCGCGGGGCCCGCGGGGAAGACGCCGCTCCACGTGGCGGCGGAGATGGTGTCGCCCGACATGGTGGCGGTTCTCCTCGACCACCACGCGGATCCCAACGTGAGGACCGTGGACGGGGTGACGCCGTTGGATGTGTTGAGAACCCTAACCTCGGATTTCTTGTTCAAGGGGGCGGTCCCCGGGCTGGCCCACATCGAGCCGAACAAGCTCCGGCTCTGCCTCGAGCTCGTGCAGTCCGCGGCGTTGGTCATTTCGAGGGAGGAAGGGAACGACGGTGGCGGTGGTTCGAATGCGAGTATTTATCAACAGGGTGGTGGTGGCAGCAGTGGCGGAGGCGGGAATCTGAATCTGGACTCGAGGTTGGTTTACTTGAATTTGGGCGCACCGATGGGATCTTCGTCGGGGCAGATGGGGATGAAAGGGGAGGACGAGAATCAGAATCGAAACGACGCGACAATGTACCATCATCAACAACATCATCAGCATCACCACCACCACCACTTTCAGTAGTAATGCTAGTAGGAAGAAGTATTAGTAGTTTCGAAATTTGGTTTATTATTAATCATCTCCTTTCTCTACCCAACTTAATGTGATCTTGATCATGATTCGATCTCTTGCCTTGATTATGATTGTTGTTACTTGAAATGGTGTTTTTGGGGATGGGAAAGAAAGGGGGAGGGGGGCATGGAGAGACATGAATTCTTATGATCATGATTATGATAATGTTACTCCATGGAGATTAGGATTATGATCCTTTAATTACTATCAATGTTGGTGGTTAATTATTATGCTTTTGTTATAGATGATGTTTAATCTCTTGATTTGGTGTCTCTTTATTAATGATATATCTTTCTAATGGGTATGGTGTATGTCTGCCTGACCAGTTTTTCTTTCATGACCTTTCCTTTTAGCCTTGTCACTTCCTTTCCTTTCAACTTGTTCAATTGCCCTCCTTTCTTTTCCTTGTCTTTTTTTTTTTTGGCCTTTTGGGAGGGTAGTTCTCTTTTTTTCTATTTAGTTTTTTTGTTGCCACCATTTCTGCCCTTTGGGAGGGCTGTTTTGGTACACTGTTTGTAGGCTTTTCAAAGTGATGATATGAAATGAAAGGGGTTTTTCTTAGGAGATATGGATGGATGATGGGTCATGGGATGGATCAATATGATAATGAGACAAAGGAGGTGCATGCCCTTAAATATATACAATGGATTTATGATTTATGGTCCATTTTTTTGAAGGAGTGGTTGATAAAATGTTGAAGCAAAATGAATACAAGGATAGAGAGAAGGGAGAAGAAGGGTCAATCTTCTCTTTTCAGCCTGTCAACTCCATTTAGTATTAATTTGTTTTTATGTAATAATAATATTTAAATTTTTTTATAAATAATATAATGGGGGCTCTATTTATTGTGGCATTTTATTTTCTTGTCTCCCCACCCACCCTTCTTTTCCTTTCTTTTCTTTTCTCCATCATCATTTCATTTTCATTCATTCATCCATCCATTCATCAACCTATACAATAATCCAGAACCATATTCAATTAATTGATTGATTGAATAATTATGGGTACTTAATATTAATTTATATGTGCTGGGGTGTGTGGCTAATTAATTAATTAATTAATTGAAGTTAAGGGACAATAAGGGAGGTGGGAATTTGGCTTGTAATGGGGAGTGGCGGTGGAGCTGTTTTCTTCTTTATATCTGTTGGGTTTTGTTTGGACATGGACAATTGGTGCATTTGCCACTTGATTGGGGGGCAAATGAGCTGTTTTCTGCCCTTTCTCTAGTTTCTTTAATCCATTCATTAGATGAGAATTAATTAATAATCGGAATCGATAAGATATGAGATTGACATGGTATATTTTCGAGTTTATTTTGTCTAATAATTATTTTTTTAATAGTCATATTGATCAATTTATAAGCTTGAATTATCTAATCTTATGTGTTGGCTGAGTTATTTACAAGGTACAAAAATCGTCTGAAATGTATGTGTTATAATGTCGTGGTAAGAAAAATAATTAGGGCTAAATTGATTGGATGTGTTGAATTTTTCTTCTTCTTCTTCTATATTTGCATGCGAGTCATGTAGAATAATTAGCTAGCTAGGGTGATGGCGATGGATTGGTTTGGTTGCTCCTAATTGCATGAAATATTATTTCCAAGATTCTGAGAGTGACTAGCTAGCTAATTAGAAGCTAGTATAGCAACAAGACACATAGCTGCTTGATTATTTAATAAATTACAAGATATAATAATTAATATGGTTGGACTTCATTTTCATGCAAATCCCTCTCTCTCTGTCCTGATTTGATTAATAATTTTTCTTAATTTATGTTTATCTACTTTGAAACCACCTCTTATGGGAGGGTGCAAAATGGCGATTTAAATCGATAAATAAAAAATTGTTATATACACCGAATGTTAAGTTACTCTAATGAAAAACATGTGTGATCTGAACCCTGAAAATCTCAATAGAATAAGTATATATGATGAGTGACTATAACTTTTTGTGTTAATTTGAATAATCAACTTAATTACGGGATATGGTAGAGTGCCACAACAAGTCAATATACGTCGATCTGCGACCATGAATATCAATAATGTCTTTTTGGAGTGATCTCGCAGTTCATAGGAAACGAAAACAATGAGATCGATCTGAAATTTTTTCTTCATTTCCCGGCATTTCGCTAAAGAGTTGAGATGGAAATAGTGTATCAAGGACCCATCTTTCTTCTATTCTTTTCAATTTGTCCATTATATTTGGATCATATATGTAATTGCCAGTTGGGACATGCACAGTTATAGCCAGAAATTGTACTGTCTGATGTATCTATGTTTGGACAAATTCCACTTGGAGCTATTATGGATATTAGTCTAATCACCTTACACATGTACTCATATATATCCCAACTCCATGGATTAGTTAGTTAAATAAACCTACTAGTCATCTACACATTCCTTTCATTGTTGATGCATAAGATTATCAAATTGTTGTCATCAGCTTCTTATAACTTAGTACGATATTAGTTATCCTGATTGGTGCAACATAATTTAGTACGATTCAATGCAGGTGCAATATTATCCTGATTGGTGCAACATAATTTAGTACGATTCAATGCAGGTGCGACGACTTACCATGTAAATTTACATTCATATCCCAACATTGAATGCTCCCCCAAACCAAAGCAAAGAGGGAAGGAAAAAACATGCATGCATTTTGAATTTTGATGATCAAAGTCTGAACTGACAAGTCAAATCTGCTGCAATTTGCAGAGCAGAGAAGAACCCACACCAGAGATGGCCTCTGAAATATACACATGACATTAGGGCTTACAAAAGCTTGGAACTTTGGACCCATTGGAGAGCACCCAGAAAAGGGCAAGTCCCTAACAACATGCTCAAAACATACTGTGCTTAATCGTCTGTTTTCTTCCCTAAACCGTGAAACCATGGTTGCCCTGCATCTGCACATCACATATATATTTGTTGTTGCACCAGCCAGCACTGCTAGTTTCATTATGAGCAAAAATGGCACTGACTCCCACATGCAAAAAAAAAAAAACCCCATGCACACAACCCTAGCTGAAGAAGAGAAAATGAAAATTATTAGCAAAGTTAATGATTCAATGCACAGAAGAGAAGCAGTAGTAGTGTCATTGATCAATCTTTCAACATCTGCTCTCTTTCCCCCCTCCTTTCACATCTGCACTTTTTTAACTCAATTGTTTATATATAATTTGATGTGTCTCTCATTCCTTTTGCCTGTGAGCAGCCAGTAGCAGGAGTTTGCTTGCCTGACATTGAATTGATCCATCTCTGAAGATAAGAAAGAGATCAGGTCTGCAAATTTATTGTGGACAGAGAGAGAGAGAGAGGGCATCTGCAGTGGTAGGTTTTTGTTTTATTGCAGGGTGTGGGGATGTTAAAATAAGTTAAAAAGATGTGCAACTCTAGACTGTGGAGTCACAGTTTTAACTTCAGTTTCAACCTCTGCCTTACTTCTTTGCTTGGTCCTTTCTCTTAACTTTCTTTTTTCACCTTTCAGACAGATGTGTAAATGCTCAGCTTTTTACCCCTACCTACATGCTGCTACTACTACTCCACACTTTGACACGGTCTAAACTTTAAAAACCAAAAGGTAATAGTAGTGGGATGACACAAATATGTTATCCCATGTAGAACAAAACTTCAAAATTTTCCCTCCGGATCGATCAGATAGGGTAAAATTTGAAGCGGGTGAATGTACGGTGAGTTTCGGTCAAACTTGATCATGGATACACTTCACAACGGTGTTGATTTTTCAGTATCCACTTTGAACTAGCCCGTTATGATCAGAATTAGAAATGACTTTACAATCGAAAAATGATAAAAGGGTAAAAACGTATTACCCGTGGATATCCATAAATTCACAAAATGGTATGTGAATATGAACTTGAGTAAGCCATTGTCATCCCTACGTTTGAAACAAGAAGCTAAATAACCAGGACATTGTCCAGAAAAGCTACATAACCAGGGCATTAACCGTAAGCAATAGCAGCTTAGCCCAACTTCCCTTGCAATTTTTGGAAGGCAAACCCTTGGAGCAATCTTGTCAACACAGAAGATGATCCAAAAGTGAGCTCAGTCCACGAATTCCAGACTAACTGTTTGTAATTCTAGGAGTACTACTCGTTAAACACATTATAATTCCCAAGTTAAGGTGGAACCTGGTGCATTAGTGTTGGTATGATGAACGATGTTAATCAAAAGATTAAGGATTGATATGTTATATACTTTACATAGAGAACCACAGACAGTATGGCTGAAGTGAGTCATTTAGGATTTTAACCAAGACATTGTCCAGAAAAGAATAATCCTTTAACCAAACTTGGGCTTAAATAATGAACATGATAACATTAGTAAGTCGAGCTCTTTAGACATACAAAAACCAGCAGACAGTTGTGCAGTTAAAAGAAATGGTATTGCCTAAGCTCTAAGCAGATTACTTATACATCAGCTCAACTGTTTTACTCTACAGAGTTGCATAATACACAAAAGGATTATGGACATACCAGGGCAGAGAAAAGGAAACTGAGAACAGAAACTAATTGCCGGCCAAACCTGTCCTATTGCTAAAATTCTCAAGATGTACCGTGTATAGATAGTAAGCTGGCAGGTCTCGTCGTCGAAGAACGTTCACCTCAAACAATGGACCAAAATTTCTTCCTGCAGATCAACACAGTTTCATCCTTCTTCGCCTTGTTCTGCAGACTGTGTGATTCAACTTCCCACAAGAACTTCGGAGCTAAATCACGTATCCTCGATGTGATTGATTCATCGTCCCTAATAATCACAAATCCCTGCAGAGCAAAGAAGCAGCATACATTTGGGTAAGTTCGGAGGCTATAATCTTGAACCAGGAATGTTGTTATATACATCAGAGCTTAGATCAAACAAACCTGAGGGCGTAGCATACGATCCATCTCCAGCATTATATCTTCTACTTTACAGCTTTCTCCATGGTTCTTATAGTGACTGAGTAGATGGTTTGCATGCAGTAAATCATAAGTACGTGGATACGTGGAGAATGGCTCACACCTGATGTTTGATTGATGCATGCAAGATCAGACTTTCAGTGTACCAAAGCACTACTCTAAGGTCAAGAATCCTGAATCTATACAACAATTGAGCGAACGGATGGAACATAGTAACATACCAGTCATGGAAGACACCCAACAATCCACGGTCATAAATTGCGGACAAAGTATTATTCATGGTCATAGGAACCACATTCATCACCCAAACAGGCCTTTTGCTTAAAGCGGCAGAGAAACCTCCTAGATATGCGTTCATATCCATGACGTTTCTTATCTCTGTCCCCTTCACATTCATCAGCTTCCAATAATTACGGACTTGATCTTGCCAAAATTGGGAATCTTCCGTGAATACCTCAACACTGATACCTGCATGAAGTATAATGAAAGCAGTCACTAAGTTATCGCTCAGGAGCTTCCCTTCAATAACACATAAAAAAACATAACATTACCTATTCTGCCAAGACTCTGTGAATATACTGAAAGGCGTTGAGGCCTAGGAGGTAAATTTTGGGAAGCTGTCTGTGCATGGGTTGTTATACAGCTTCTTAATGGCGTGTTCCATGAAGATTTTAAATCATCAACTGAATCACAGATATCTATGAGTTTTGCCTCAGCATTTTGCTGGAGGCAAGCATCGTCTTCCTGTTTAATCCATACAGCAGTTTGAACTTTTCGAGCAATGAGCTTCCAGCACATTGCTGATGTCAGACTCACCAACTTATCCCAGATCACTGGGAAATCCTTATCCTTTCTGTATGCAGGTGGAGCGGAATAGATGAAGTATCCATTGTAGCGCAGAATACGATTAACTTCTTTGAGTAAAATGCCATCTGCAAATGATCAACAAGGTATGGATGATTAACTTGGGAAAGAGTAATTATTGTTGGAAGAATTTATCAAGAATTTGTTATCATTTGAACAGAAATGCTAATTACCATTCTCATGCCAATCTACACGGCATCTCGAACAATGAACCATCTCGAAAGAATTAGGTGGATACGGAAGTTGCTTTGTAGCTATGGCAGATATCATAGCACCAATTCCTCTCTCTAGAGCAAATTGAATCTGATTCTCATGACCATCTTTGGGTGCAAATGACATAGTATGAATATCTAGAGGGAGGAGATAAGCCGAGAAGCTGGCAACACCACAGCCAACATCAAGAACTTGGAAAACTCCAGCTGAACGTAGATCACCCGTTTCATTAGTTGTCAGATTTCCTAACCTGCACCCAGATCAATAGAGGATTCAGATAAACACACACACGGTGAAATTGCTGACTAATCAAGTATAAGTTTATACAAAGGCAATACCTCTGTATATACTCAGGTGCACCATGCTTGAAATGAGTGCCTCCACCAGGGAACCACCAGAGCTGATCCTTCTCATGAACCCAATTCTGTCCTCCTTTCACCTCAGCAAGATGAGTATGATTCACATTGCTTCGCCATACATAATCTCGGCTGATTGGCCATTTTATAGGTAACCTATAGTCTTCTGGCGGTGGTACTAAGCAGAATAACCGCTTATCAGGTGGAGGACAATGTCGTTCAAGTTCCTCTCTTCTGGAAACATTCAAGCTTCGGAGCAAAGTATGAACATAGGCAATGTCATGGCATGGTATGTACTCGTTGAACTTCAGTGGGCACACATTCACCCCACTTTCTGGAATCGTCAATGGCGTTTCTCGGTAAGTAAGAGCAACTTTGTTAGTAAACGTGGAGCTTCCTGCAAGACGAGAAAATTCTTCTTTGACCTTCATTCATCCAAACTAAATAGTAGACAGAACGTGACAGTAGACATACAAACTCAGATTCATTCTCGTTATGCTAAATAAATACAAAACGAATTCCCCCAAGATCTGGTTCTTAACCTCCCAAAGAAAGGTGCTTTCTAACCAAACCCGGAACGGGAAAATGAAGGCCTTTAAGCGAAGTGAATCACATCTAACAACCATTACTAGAAAATCCCTAGATGGGTAGCGTCAAATGCCATCAAAATCGGATCTTTCCATTCTTGAACTGAAAACCCCACACCGTAACAACCAAGCAAACACACATCCACGCAATCCACATGCAATTCATCGGATAAATACAACAATTGAAGCAGAGAGAAATCGTACCAGGGACAGAGATAGACGAGGAGGAAGAGGAATTGGAGGTGAGCTGAGAGACATAAATTGACGCATTGTTTCCCAAAAGAGTACCAAAGTAGAAAGAGCCCGCCATTAACATAAGTGCCACCATTATCAGTAGCCCCGACCTGGAATTGAAAGCTGAACCCATTGAAAAGCCCCCCATCTTCCCTTTCTTCTCTGTTCCCGTCACCCCGTCGATTTCAATCCGAGGCTATGCCGCGTCGATATCTTCAGGGGGAAACTAAGCCGGCGCGAGACTGAAGTTTCGCCATTAGCGGGAAACGCAGAAAGAACAGATCTTTTAACAGCTCACGAGCTTGGCACTTCTTGGGGCACAAAATCTGAGAGTAATAGAGTGGAGGAGCGGTCACGATCCAAGAACCAGCCAGCTCTTTCCTGGTTCCCTTTTCTCCTTCGAGTTTTAGTTTTTCTTTCCCATTATAGTTACCAATCCGTTAATCACCGACTTTGCTTGAGCGAAACCAAACAAATCATAAACGTCCGTTCAGATAACAAAACTGGAGCAACGGGCCACCGGAAACATGTTTGGGCCCAACGGATTCAGCTCTAATGGGCTCACATCTTCGGAATCATGGACAGGAGATCCACCAAGCATGTGTACTAAGCCAGAGTGGCTGTAACAGTGTAACTGGATAGCAAGCTGCGGAATGTTAAGGAATTCGGGGCGACTGATCGTTCCTCCAGCATCGTGTGGAAGAGGTTTAGAGCTTCGAGGCCTAGCCCATGGATTCCATAGCCATCGATCATTGATTTCCAGGCCACAATGTCTTTGGTTGGCATTCTGTCGAAGAGTTCTCTTGCTGATGATATGGTTCCGCACCTTGTATACATGTTTAGGATGGAGGTGGTCAAGGAAAGGTGGTGTTGTTGCCGCTTAGTGTGTGAAGAGGTTCTTGATGAGATAGCCGTGGATCTCTTTGCCTAGTTCATTCACCTCTCATGTGTCAGGCAAAACCGGCAACTTGAGATCAATATGGACACAAAAATGGCAGAACTCTTTGTCATCATTGTCAAAAAGAAAAATTACAGGGTAAAGTTAGTTTCTTTTTTGTTCATACGATGATGCTTACACAGAAGATCAGTATACATACTATATAGACACTCTTCATTCTTTCATACAACAGTTTCATCATCATCTGTGATCTAACTTCGAAACCTGATCATCACTCAGTAAGCTCTTCTCGTCACTCTCATCCAGACCAACGTTGTTCTCCTCATCTTCTTTCCCGTACTCGATATCCATGACGGTCTGCTCATCATCACCATAGTCATCATCCAACTGCTGGAGCTCTGATTCGATCAGTGCACTCATCTTTGCACGATCACGGTCTCTCGGATACGTGCAGTACAAGAACGAGTAGATGAGACAGCATACCGCCATAGGTATGCAGATTGCAGAGTAGAGCGCCTTAGCAAGCGATGCAGCGTTCTCCCTGTCTGTCTCAATTTGTACAGAACTCTCTGCTGATGATGATCTTTTGGGGACTTTGTAGCCATAGACATGTTGAGCCAGGATTCCCACCACTGGAGGAGCAAACGAAGCTAAGATTGACTCGAATGATCTGTCCAGAGCGTAGATGCTGGTCCGTGATTTCTCAGGTACTATCTCTGCAAATATTGGACTGTGAATAGCCAATTCAGTCAGGCTATAGATTCGGCCAGAATAGAAGGGGAAAAAATCTAAACTTTAGAAGTTGAACCCAGAAATAGTTAAAGGAAATGAAGGGATGCTCACTTGTTGGTGGCTGGACTATTCCAAGATATCGAAAGCCCCATGACAAACAAGACCAAGCCATGAATGAATCCTGTTGACGGATCATCAGGCAACACCAGAAGTAGTACAGCAGCTAGAGGTATGGCCGAGCCAGAACTAATTTGCGACAGAATGATCCTCCCGGAATTCGGTAACCTCTTAGCCAAAGCATCTCCCATTATCCCACCAAACAGTGCACCAATAGATATCGCAACCGTAAAGAATGTCATCAAAAGTGCAGTCTTCTCATGCGAAAAGCCCACAAGTTCCAACCACATTGGAGCAAAAGATAGAGCAGACCAAGGAAACGAACCAGACACACCTTGAGCCACAATTATCTGAAAAGATGGTATCTTCATCACTGACCTGGCTTCTCTCATCAATTCCTTCATCTCAGAGACGAAAGTCCGGGGAGGAGAGTTCTGCTGCTGCTTGTTGTTGTCCTCAGAGAATTGTGGATCATGAGCGAAAAGGCGGACCAAAATGCCGACTACTACGCTTATTATGGCGACCAAATGGAAAGCCACTCGCCAGCCTGGAATACCCATGACGGTTGTTGAAGCAATCAGCACTGAACACAGGCCTCCAATGATTGAACCGAGGTTTGCTGTTAGCGCTAACCATCCGAATGCAGTACCACGATTGCTGTCGTCGGTGGAATCAGCGACTAAGGACAGGATCGCGGGTGTTACTATGGCGAGTCCAATCCCATTCAGGCCTCTAGAGATTGCCACCTAAATGTTTAAGCAAATGCAGATCGTTGGATCAATACTTCAAATCCCAATTTGCATAGAAAGAGTTGTTCTGCAGCTTATCTCCAGGACTGAAATATACAATTGGAGAAGGCTCAAACGCGAAAGAACTTAATGGAACATTTTGAAACGAAATCAAACTTCAACTGGTAAATGCTATCTACCAAGGACTTGAGGAATGGAAATTTTGGCTCATTCATTGCAACATATCAAACTACAGGCTAGCCAACTTACCTATAACACTTCAAATTGCAAATAGAATTACCACGTCTCCTTGTAGCTTTCAACCCGGGTTTGAATCCGGGCTGCTTCGATCAATGTTACACCCTTTTGCAGCACACTATCCCCTACAAATAATTACCAACTCTCCAATCTTTGAAAACTGAAAAAGATTAAGAAGAATCCATCAAATGCAAGGTTCCCAATGGGTACAAACCTTGTGGATCTACCCAATTCGAACCGAATTCAAATTCTCAACCTTCAAAGATTTACCAGAAACTAAATTGGTTTATGAGCAAAATCGGTTTCCCAGCTCAACAGATCTGTCCCTGATATAGTCCCATCAAACCCAAAGACCTAACCTTTACCAGAATAAACACATACCCAATCATAGAAAGAAGCAAAGCAGTCATTCTCAGCTACCAAATACTGGAAAAAAAATGTCAAACCGCAAATATAAAACGAAGAGAATCGCAACCTGCAAGAAGCTGGAGGAAATGGCGACGAGGAAAGTGGCGGCAGCCCAGAGGAAAGCGCCGAGAGCAATGACGTGGGCGCGATTATGGCGGGAAGCGAGGTAAGCTGCCAGTGGGTAACAAGAGGACTGGACGATGGATCTGAAGAGAGTTAAGGAACCTAAACCAGTTGGGTCGGTGTGGAGAGCGGCGCCGACTTCTTTGTAGACTCCTGGTAGCAGCGATTCGTCTGCTCGTTCCATAATCGCCGCCAGATTCACCAGTATCAGCGTCAGCCTCTCTTGGTTCACCATTGTTCTTCGTCTGTGTTTTGCTTCGATCAGCTTCCGGAGTACAGAGGAAAAAGACAGAGATGCTCTGTTTCTTTCCTCTGTGCCCCCGGGAGAGAAGAGGGAGACGGTTGACTTCAAAGGCTTGGAAAAGTCGATTTTCGGTATTAAAAAGATTTAATTTTTATTAGTTCGCCACGTCACTTAGTTGCCTCCAAATAGGCTAATATTTCTGCTCTGCTGAGGGGAAGTGGGAACCCGGGAAAATCTCCAAGCCGCCGCCATCCCCTCTTCTCCACTCTCCACCATCTTTCAATGCTCAGAAGAACCGTACAAATCCGTTCACAGTTCAAATATTCGTTTCCGTTTCGCCGGAATCCCTATTCAACCGCTGCGGCTCCACTCCCGGAAACCTCAACAGAAGAACCCATCATCAAACCCCTGACCGAAACCCAGCTCAAGTCGCTCGTCCTCTCAAATTGCTCCTATGGCAAGTTCTATAATCTCATCCACAACGTTGTGGCCCTGCCGCAGGTCCTTCTCGCCGCTTCCCGGAATCTCATCACCTGCGGCGACGGGTCATGTGCGGCCGCCGAAACTTCCATCCACCGATTGGTCTCCAAGCGCTTCTCAATCGAGGACATGGGTCGCGAGGTTTACGAGGCTCGGCTGAACATCGAGTCTCATTGCGTCAAGTTCGCGGGTAAAGACGACTGCTTGATCCTGCCTGATTTGAAATTGAAGGTTTTGATTGAAGCTGTTAGGATGGTGCTGGAGATTGTTTATGACGATCGATTCCTTACGTTTTCCTATGGTGGGCGGGTGAATATGGGCCGGCACACAGCGATAAGGTACTTGAAGAACTCGGTTGAAAACCCTAGTTGGTGGTTTAGAGTTCAATTAGAACGTCAGGAGTTTGATAGTAGAAATGTGGAGATGTTGTGTTTGATTTTGGAAGACAAGGTGAAAGACAAGAACTTGATTGGTTTGATAAAGAGATTGTTTGATTCTGGAGTGCTTAGAATTGAACTAGGTGGGTTGTATTTGGGTAGGGGGTTTCCTCAAGAATGCGGGTTGTGCTCGATTCTGATTAATGTGTACTTCAATGGATTCGATAGAGAAATTCAAGATACGAGGCTGCAACTGAATCGGGAGAATCCTAGAAGAATCAATGTTGATGACAGTAGTCAAATGTCAAGTCCTTTATACAAGCCGGTGAGGATGTATGCAGTGAGGTACTTAGATGAGATACTAGTTATTGCATCAGGACCAAAGAAGTTAGCAATAGGTCTGAAGAGTAGATTTTTGAAGAGTTTAGAGAGTGACTTGAAGCTAAAAGTGAATAAAGGGAGGACAATTGTTCATAGTGCAGTTTTTGAGAAGATGTGTTTTATGGGATTTGAATTGCAGGCTGTGAAACCATCAGTCTTACACCCACCCATGTCGGAAAAGGCAATTAGAGCTAGGAAGAAGTATCTACGCCAGAAGGAAGTTCGGGCTTTGGAACTGAAAAATGCCCGGGAGAGAAATAGGAAGAAATTGGGTTTGAAGATTTTGAGACATGTTGTCAAGAAGGCAAAGCTGAGTAATGGTTTCAAACTTGATAATCCAATAGACAATGAAGTTCAGCAAGTATTTGCAACTTGGGCTAATGAAGCTGTTCATGACTTCCTTGGCTCCCTGGAAGAGCGGTGGAATTGGCATCGGTTGCTTACTACTGGCGATTTCCTTAATCTGAGACACATTAGGGACATGTTGCCACAAGAACTCATTGAATCCTATGACAAGTTCCAAAAACAGGTAGAGAAGTACTTGTCTCCTGTTAAGGCGAGAAAAGCACTCGAGGATGAAGAAAGGAGAAGTGAAGAAGCATATGAAAGAAAATATGCTGAAAGAACAATTAAAGACCTAACTAAGTTGTCCATGAAAGTATCTGCTCCTATTGAATTGGTGAGAGAAGCTGTTAGGTTGGCTGGATTTACGAACGATATGGGTCGTCCAAGGCCTATCAGCTGGCTAACTAGTCTTGAAGATGCTGATATTATCAAGTGGTACGCAGGGGTTGGAAGAAGATGGCTTGATTTCTTTTGCTGCTGTCACAACTTCGAAATGGTGAAGACCATTGTAACCTATCACCTAAGATTTTCTTGTATACTCACATTAGCAGAAAAACATGAAGCAACAAAGCGTGAGACAATGAAACATTACACCAAGAATTTGAGAGTTTCTTACATGGAAGAGAATGACGAGTTGCACTTTCCTACTGAGAAGGAAGTGAAGATGTTGGGGGACAAAAATCTTTCAGATCCTAAACCTGTGGACGGTGCTTTGTCTTTGGCGTTGATTAGATTGGCTTGTGATGAGCCCTTAAGTAGTTGTGTAGCTCATTTTTGTGATAGAACAGATACAATTACTTACCGTGTAAGGTTGCTGCAAAATCTGGTATCTGCAAATCCTGCCGATGAGAAAAAGTGGGTCACTGGGATGGGTGCAATACATGACAGCCTGCATCGGATATGTCTTCCTCTTTGCCCTGATCACATAAGCAACTTATACACTGGGAAAATTAGCCTTCAGGACATTGACTGCTGTTCGTTTGTGCATGTGGACTGAGCCTTTTTTGGTTTATCAGCTATTCTCAGCCTTCCCTCTTGCGATACACCTCTGTTATAAGATCAGAACTATCTGTTGCATCCAAGTGACACAGAGAGTTTAGCCAGGTAACTTTCCGTGCTCCTTTATCTCGATGAACTAAACTGACCTATTTGTTATAATTTTTAGTTCTATTTCTGAAACACATATACTGGGGTGTCGATGCTGTGAAATAGTTCCGTTTTATGTTTGCATATGCATGCATGTCTTTACTGTTTGGAATGAGGTGATTAATAAAACTTGTGCAGCTAACCTGCTTCAGATTACATCTCTTTCGTTGCGTCAGAACAAAGAATTTCCTAGAATAAGAATGGCAGAGAATTTGATTAGCAGCAGATGAGGCAAAAGAGGACTTGTGTCATGCTTCTCAATATCCTGTTGTTAGTTTACCTCTTTTCCCCCATCACGTATCACCTGATAAGAGTGACAGAGAGGATTGTGAGGACTATCACCTCCCCTGTCAATCCTTTGTGCCCTTTTTTCCCTGTTTAATCTTTTCATAGGTTTGTATTTTTTACTGCTTCTTACTTTCTAAATAAAATGAGTTCACCATTATGAAAACCCCCCTAGAATAAGAAGCTGAGTTGCATCTTCCTATGGTGCCTGTGTCTGGAAACTAGGAAGTAACTGAATCATTCTAATCTATTTGACAGGTAAAGGTCCTTGCTTATGGGGCTCCTTCATCTTGGATTCTGCCCCAGGGGAATTATGTTTGGTGGTTTCTTCGACTGAAAAGCTGGTACTGCCATGAAGCACATGTGATGAAGTTGAATTATGGAGACAAAAGGTACACAAATCTGCCCAATCACCATGTGCAGGAGGCTCTATTCACTTTATCAAACGAATTAATATGCATTTTCAATCACGACAGACGTTGCACAAGTGGTCGTCCGGGAGGGAGGGATGGTGATTGATCGTCGGAAGATCAGTAAGTGTCGAAGAAGAAGACGATTAGTCGATTACCATGACGTGTCAGCACGATAGGGATCGTTCTCCCCGAGGTAAAAGTCTTTCCAGCAGATGATGGCTCCAACACAAAGGGAAGTGGTAGGGCAGGGGAGAGTGTCTGGCGTGTTGGTTCATTCACTCCCAAATCACGAATGGCTGCCTGCCTGCCAGCCAACCCCATTGCTGGGCTCCAAAACGTTGTGCTGGGAAGTTGACATTACGACCAAACGAGGAGGAGTACTATAATCGAGTGGTGGGGTTCGATTTAGGAAAAAAAACAACAAACGTTGTGCTGTTTCCTTCAAACATTGGTCGCAGATAGCTGCCAAAGTCGGCCGAGTTAGCGGTTTCCCCGTACGTCAGTTTCAGACTTGCAAAACAACTTCAGATGTTCCGCCCTTAGCTCGTTCAAGCTCTCAAGTTCTCATCTTTCAGGTCTCTCCTTCGTCATTTCCTGTAATACAGGAAATTGTAAGGTCGTTGGTACACAAACCGATGAATGGGTTGTCGTGTTCAGTAATGGCAGCAAATACAGACAAAGGTGAAATTGGAATCCATGGCCAGCTGCTGCTAGATAACCATTTTTTTTCCCCTCCTCCTTTTCCTGACGCATGGAACCTATTCTCTCCAGACGAAGTTTCCAGGAAAGTAGAGGAAACCTACATCCTGTGTATTATATCGACTAGAGAAAGGGTCAAGGAGTTAAGCATATATATAATCAGAGTCTTATCATTTGGTTCAAATCAGGTTGGCAACCTTGTAATCATAACCGACAATGGCTCTCGAGGTTCGGCGCAGAATGATCTCTTACTAAATTTTCGTTTTTATAAGTTTGTCGGAGTAAGTTTTGGACCTATATACTCAACGATGGATACTACGATACATCGTATAGTAGTCGTGTCGAGTCAGATAGTCTCGAACTTATGTATAACCATGGAGGATGTTAGTTTTCTTTCTTTCTTTTTTTTTTTTTTCTCCATATAAGGCGGCTTCTAGAGTTTTCAGGGGCATGTGGAAGAAACCATTAACAAAATAGACTGTGGTTGGAGCAGAGATTAGCTTAATAAAATAAAAGAGGGGGCCTTTGCTGTCGAATTGATGTCTTTCTTTCTGATCCCACGACCAAACCACTATTTTGTTGAAGACATTCCCCCCACTTACTTTATTAGACTTCAGTGAATAAATCACAGGGAGAAAAGCACATGGGGTTGGTTTACTTGGAATCTCAAACCATACTTGTTAAATAATCCACAGTTAATTACCACATAGATACATATGTTTAGACTCTTGACAAATTGGTAATCATGGTGGTTGGGATTGAAATATCCCAGACATGTTCTAAAATCTCCTCTCATTCTAACCACCAAAGGGGATGCATGTGGATGAAAGTATGGGTTTAGTAGGGTTTGGTGATAAGTTTGATTTACACAATTTAAATTAGTAAGTTTGTATCCATACTCAGTCATTCGTAATCACTAGGAAAATATAGCCGAGAATCTAAAGTTTATATCATATGAACATGGATTACTTTGGCTAGTACTGCTAGATCAATAATTTGTTAATCTGCTTCTTCTCTCAAGGTTTTACTATCATGCAATCGTAAAAAAAACCATTGGATACTGTATACCATCTATCTATATTATGTGGTGAGTAACTATCGAGAAGATGTTGATTATGAGAAAAATAAGTATAATTGCCCAATACCCACCGTTTTGCCCTTGTCTTTTCTTGGTGTAGATTTCTAAATTAATTGAAATTTTGAAACAATGGGCAAAGAAAGAAGAAGAAATCATTCATCTTTAGTGACACTCCAACCTAGCTATCATGTGTGTTATCTAATCATCTTTGGTGGTGTTAGTTAGATATACATGAAGAGAGTATGGCCTACCTAATTATAGTCTTATTATATCATTTTGTTGAATTGGAGGCATGGTCTTACAACAAGCAAACAACATTTTATGCATGTAATTAATTAATTCCTTGGCTAACTATTTGTTCATTAACTATATCTCTTATAAGATTCATACTTCATATGAATTGTTAGTGAATATTATTTCTACCATGGCAGGGTTCAAGACGGATTGGCATAGGAGAAATGCACGAGATCGAACAAATTGTTATTATGAGTTTAAATACACTAGGTTGTATGGTTTTCAAACACTTTTGAAAGTAAAATCGCTTTGAACTAATCTATCCATCCATCCATGATCCACCCATGAAGATGAAGGTGTTCAATTTGACTTGCACAAATATCATTCAAAAATTGTAGGAAGCCCCAAGTGTGGTTCCTAAACGCGTTATAGCCTCACCAGGACTAACCTAGTCCGAGTTAAAGATGTTCATGCTGTTGATATCAGTTATCACCCTTCATCAATCACTTGTTTTAGTATCGATTTCTAATTTAATAATCAACATTAGCCCATAAAATTAGTGTTAATTAATCCCAATTCCCCACCTAATCCCAATACCAAAGTTCTCACCAAAAGTAAACTAACTAGTAACTACTTAATTATGCAGAAATGTTAGAGCTAGAATCACATCACACGATACTCGTAATGTATAATGTTATATTATTATTACCTACATAGAAAGTTGACGAATTTCAAAATGTGCATAACGCGCAAGCTCTGATCCCACCCGTCGTGACAAGCATCACAAAAGAAAAAGAAATAAAAACAACCAAATATAACACCAAGTGAAGGGGAAATTCAAGGCAACTGCATATTTTTTTTTTTTTTTTTTGCTCGACTAATTAGTCCTACAAATGTAATTTATATATGACATCATCAGTTGCATCACATGAAATTTTCATTTTTTGAATTTTGAATTTCACACGATGATGATCATCACCTCTGGAGGTCCATCATTCTACAAAAGTCCTCCAAGCAGACGAACCCGTCCCCGTTCTTATCCACCTCGGCTATCATGCGCCGGCACTCCTCTAACGTGCACTTGGCGTCCCCGATCGCCGAGAACCCGGCCAGCAGCTCCTCCGCCGTGATCCGCCCGTCCCGATCCAAATCGAAGAACCCGAACGTCTCCTTCAGCTCGTCCGGGCCCGCGGGCTCCCAGCCCGACGACCCGATCTGGCCCATCAGGGCCTCCACGGTCACGGTCCCGTCTTCGCGGCCCCCGGCCCGGCCCAACTCGCTCAGCATCGCCGCAACCTCGTCGGAGCTGCCCAGCCGGCCCAACAGCGACGCGAGCTCCGATTTGGAAACGACGCCGTCGTTGTCGCGGTCGATTATCCGGAAGGCGTGCTGGAGGTCGAGGTAGGTGAGCTCGGAGACGTCGGAGGACCACTCGCCGGAGGAGGAGGAGTGGGGGAGGACGCTCTTGGGGGTGGCGGCGGCGGCCGGCTCGGAGGAGGAGGAGGTGGTGGTGGTGGATTCGGCGAAGGAGGAAGGTTCGGATCTGGAGACGGCGGCGGATTTGGTGGTCTTTTTGGAGGCGGCGCGGAAGAGGCGTTTGGGGCTTAGGGATTTGGGGTTGGTGATGATCTTGAAGACCTTCATGGCGGCGTGGGAGAAGAGAATTGGAGGAAGAAGAAGAAGAAGAAGAAGGGAAGAGAAGTACTGATTGGAGGAAAGTTTGAGAGGAATGGAAGGTGGGGGATGGGGGTTAAATGGAGTGGGAAGGGAGGTGGAAGAAGGAGCAGAGCCATGGCGGAGGCAGCTTCGCGGAAGTTTCCTCGTGGGGGGAGAAAAAGAAAGAAGGTGCTTTTCTGGGTGATAAGGTATTTATAGCGTGTTTAAGTGTTTCCCCGCAATAATTTAACTTTCCCGCTTTCATTTCCAATATATATATTTTCTTTCCTTTTTTTACTTTTTGGTAGATTTCAGTCAAAAGCGCGATTTTACTTAGAAGCGGTTGGGTGACCTAGAAGTAGGGGTGAACAAACACACCCGGAAACCGACCCACCCGTCCAACCCGACCCAACCCACCCGTATTTATCGCTAAAACGAAGGTTTTGGGTTGGGTGAGGGTTTTCTTTTGTACAACCCGCCTCTTTTGGATTGGGTTTGGATTTTGGATTACACAACCCGTAGAACCCGACCCAACCCGTGTTCCAACTATTAGTATGAGTTCGAATCTAAAAAATATTTATGTACTATATAGTCATATACTTATGAGAAAATTAAGATATTTCACCATGTTTTTCTCTCATGGTCTCCCTAATCTAATGCATTCTTCGACTTAAAGTTTAGACATAAATTGAATATAGTTATGATTCACGTAATCCTTTTTCTTGTGTACAATTTTAATAGAATAACATATGATGGATGTGTTTGTTTATAACATTTTTAGCCTATTTCAACAAATATCGTGAAAAAACAAGACATATGTTGAAGTAAATTACATTTTATTAAAATTTAAACAACATTTGTGAATTTTCATACCTTTCACCTTGGTTCATTCGTTTGAAATTTTAATTAGTTATAAAATATTTTTATGATGTAGAATAATTATATATTTTATGTTGGGTTGGGTTTTTACTTAAAAATATCGACAACCCGACCCAACCCAATTAGAAACAAACCGTAGGGTTTAAATATTTTTGGGTGGGTTTGGGTTTGATATTTCCCAAATCGTAGTGCATGGATCGGGTGATTAAAATGACTAAACCCGAACCACCCGACCCATGTACACCCCTACCTAGAAGCGTAAAGCTATAAGCTTTTAAGTTTTAAAGCATAGATTTTGACTACATTTGTTAGGAAAAATCACGATTCTACATAGAAACGTTTTGATGATCTAACAAGGTAAAAACGTAAGCTTTTAAGTTTTAAGGCGTTATTTTAACTACATTGGTTCGGTACATGTGTCACTCTCACGGTAATGGTTAGATTATAAAAATAATGAGCTCATGTAATTACAGTAAAAAACACATTTCTGGAAATTAATTCTCACGCGACCGTCACAATAACATGTTGATTTGAAAAGAGTTAGTGTACTGATGACGAATTTGAATTATTGACGAATTTGAACTATTAATTCGTCATTTTTTTGTAATAATAAATGTGGATTATGAATCGGATGTAACGAACTTATCTATCCATGTGAATGGACTTTAAAAAATGACCTAGACCTAGTAAAAAAAATCAATGGACTCTGTTTTTTCTATGGATTTGGTTTTGTTTATTGAAAATCATTCATTGCTATCATCGCCACCAGCTTCCATTTTCGTAGCAAATTTTTTTTTCTCCTGGGAGTCACTGTCGAGATTACGGCTTCGGATTGATAAACACTTCATCTCTTGTGGAATTATGAAGCTCTTCTTCTTTTTTTCCTGTCCTTTTCACCCCACGCTGAATATCATAGCTTCTTTAGTTGACAATTGTTACTGTTCGTCCCCACTTTACCTTCAATTGTCGACTTGGGGAAACTGGTTCATTTTCATTCGAACCCCCGGTTAGCTCTCTCCTAATTATACCAAAACCGGGTTTCGTAACAAATCGAAAAAAACCGATCTTATCACCTGGTAGTCACATTACAAAGTACGTAGTAATCATCGCGCTCATGCCCTTTTCATCGTGAGGAACAAATGTCGTCCGTTATGCCTATCCAGATGGTGTGGTTCTGCTAACTAAATGTGTTACCGTTATCTGTCTTGAACTATCTCGAGTCAACATTTCAATACATAAATGGATAAATCTTATCCCGATCAATATCCAAAACAACGACTCGATCAACTCTTCCTCCGTCTCATTTTCTATTCCGATTCGTAATCGCCAACCCGGGAGCTCCGTGGCACGCTTACCAAAACGACGCAGCGGTTGAGCCAGTCAACCGCAATCCATGTGGTGGAGATTTTTGTAATTTTTTTTTTTCTCTCTTAACGTTTCATCTTTTGTCACTTTACCATCTCTGTTCTCGTGAAAAAGACTGTAACACTTTCCTAGTGGCTTTCTCTTCCAGCTGTGGATCGATCGAAGAAGACAAAACCTTAATAATTATTGTATAGTGCGTTGTTCTTAATAACCTCACAAATTACTTTGTTAACATCCAACTGACCGCCCACAGCTCACCGGCGACCAATTCACGTAGCAAAAAGTTAACCCTTCTTTCATTACCACCAAAACACTGAACCAACTGGCCCAAGTTGGAGGTCGGCCGCCGACGAATCTTGGTGCTGCACGCGCAATTTTGCAAATGGTTTTGTCGTTTGACACGGCACTCACAACAATCCAATTCTACTCGTCATTGTTTGTGAAAACTTTCGAGACAATACAATTCATACAAAGACCCTTGCTCAAGAAAGGATGGAAAACCAGTGGTTCATCTGAGATGGAGAATAAAACGAAACAGAAATATGCTAAGTCGAGAAACAGCAGAACAGCCAAATAGTGTTTGCAGTACCAATCCTCCTGACTAACTATTATGAATTTTCCCACAAATCGAATTCCTTTTACAAAATTTTAACAAACAGCATCTGGCACGCGTCCAAAGAAACCCGAATCTCGCATTAAGCAACAATAGATGGCTTGGAAGCGGCAGACAGCCTGGATCTCTTCTTGGCCAAGCTCTCGCTGCGACGATCTCTCTGTTCCTTCAACCTGGATGCAAGCAGCTTCTGGTACTCAGCAGCGTCGGCATTGGCCTTTGCAACTCTCTTCTTCTTCTCGGCAAGCCTCGCCCTCTTCCTCTGCAGAGTCAGTGGAGTCACCAGCCTCTGAATTTTAGGAGCCTTGCTAGCTTCCTTCCCTGTAATCCCCCCGAACGAAGGACATGAGAGAAGATTCAAAAGATGGAGCCTTGCAAAGGGTGATCACGTTACTAGATCAAAAGATGGTTACCATTTTTGCGGGTGAATGTACGTCGGTAGGTGTTGACATACTTCCTGACATCATCATCTTTGGAGAGGTTGAAAAGCTTGCGGATCTTTGATGCCCTCTTGGGTCCCCTCATTCTGGGCTTCTCGGTGTCGGTCAGCCCGGGGAGATCGTTCTCACCTTTCTTCACGATGACCAAATTGAGAACAGATAGGTCCTGGCTCACAATGCAACCCCGGACCGACTTCCTCCTGCGCTCCCCATTGCGCCTTCCATATCCACGGAAGCACGGGGTTCCTATTTTTAGGCAGGTCAAGTGGTTTCCTCTCAGCAACTCAGGTAAATAGGCAACTTTATAAAAAGCTTCCTCAAACAGGAACACCTACCTCTGGTAAGCAAGAGGCGGACACGGCCAGGGTTCAAGACGCCCTGCTTCATGGGGAACCCCTGCTTGTCACAACCTCCCATGATCTTGAAAACATACCCCTTGAATTCCTACAAAACAAAAGATTATACAATGATTATCTGAACAGGTGCATCAAGAAGCAAAGAATAATCACCCTATATATATAGATAAATACCTCTCCGAGGGCATCACCACTAACTTCTTGGGAGATCCTCTTGTCAAAGAACGCACGCCTGCATAAGTGAGAACATGTCACTAAAAGGCATAAATTTGCTACAACAAGAATAAAAACAAAGGCTTTTTACCAGCCAACTGCCCACTGCATTACCCTCAAGCACAATCTTATTAAGCCATGACTTGACTAAGGCATCTAACCATTCAGCTAACATCAACTTACTTAAATGGATTACCGTCACTTAGACACTCATTTGAGCTATTCAAGTGGAGATCCATGAGCAAAACTTAGCAAACACCGACTCGATTCAGCTTCCTCTAGTGACAGATTAAATAGCAATAGACGCATTACAACTACCAGAAACCAATGTTTGCACCTTGTCCACAAACGTTCCAATCCAAGTGTTCTTGCCTACTTCCAAAAGAAGAACATCCTCACCCAGGCCATCTACACTGTAAATTCAGCTAAATGAGCTTTCAGTACAACTGTCAGCTCGAACTGGATTCTCAGTATACTAGAGTAGACAGTTAAGCCATCACTGATTCGCTATCATTCAAGGAATTTGATCCAATACCGCTCCCTTCTCTCAAAATTGAAAAAAAGACAGTGGTTCGAATCAGAGCTATCCTTTAACCGTACCAATTACACTCTTCGAATCACAAGACAAAGTAAGAAGACCGACGAAAATGACTTACAACTTCTGGTCGTCATCGATTTCAAGCTTCTTCTGGCACCCCGTTGTGGGGTTAGCGATATTGAACTGCGAATCAAATGAGAAAGGACCAAGTTCAGAAACTGAGACGGAGAGTCACAACGGAAAGCAAATTCTGAAAGCGATCAAAATGCCAACCTTCATGGCCGCCGGCAGAAGATGATAGCAGAGAAGCAACGAAGAGGCCCGACGATTGTCTGCCCGATTTCTTCTCCCTGCCCTGCTATCCTATCGCCTCTGGTTTCCTAGGGTTTTCAGAGAGATTTATTGTATTGGGTTGTATTGTAAATCAAGGTTGGGCCTGCTAGTTAAACTTTCGGGCCTGGATGGACTGGGCCTAAACTCTTATCACAAGCTAAAGGCTTAAAATCAGAAGGCCCACGAGCTCGGTCATCGCCATAAGTCCAAGCGTATATAACACCAATAAAGCTTGAAAAACCCTAACCAGGGAGAACAACAAGTACACGAGTTCCCTGTAGTTGTCGTCATCTTCGTTGCAGCCGCATCTGTTCTCTGCCCACAGCCATGAAGGTGGGTTTCATTTTCTCACTTCTGAAAGATCCAACCTTTTCGGTGTTCATGGGGTGAAATTCTGCCAACCCATCTTGTGACTTTCTCTCGATCTCACGATTGCCTTCGGTTTTGTTCTGTTCGATTCATTGCAGTTTAACATCGCTAACCCCACAACGGGGTGTCAGAAGAAGCTGGAAATCGATGACGATCAGAAGCTGTAAGCCATTTCCTCCTTTCCTACGTTTTGTTGATACTTCGTGATGTATTGCTGATAGGATTTTTCTGTCCGCCTTACGTTGATTCGAGTTCGTTGAGTAGTGTGAGGGTGTAAGAGGATGAAATTGAACATTGTCTTGTTTCAAGTTGAATAGAACTGTGCAGAAATGGGGCTTATTGGTCCTCTGGTCTTGATTGTAAGAGCAAAACGAATCAGTCTATTGCGTTCATTTCCCCATGGTATTGTCTTCTTAGAAAAGAATGTCCTTTTCATGCTTGGAATGACTACTTGTTCTGAACATAATAGCTCCGTTCTCCAGCTTTCGACCAATTACTCTGATGGGAAGGGTCATATTAACTCATGAAATCGTCAAACTAGATTTGTAAGAGAATAAGATAGCTCAAAAGGATGCTTCTTTAGCTTTTAAAAATCTATTTTAATTTTGTGTGTGGGAATGTAGAGTGTTCCTGGGATCTAGTAATGCTGGATACTGGATAGGTAATTATAGTTTAAAAAAAAAAATCAGACCTGGGTGCACTCCTTAGCTTGCTGATTAGTTGCTTTAGTTCATTTATAACTTCTAAATAAGCCTCCAGCGGTGTCCTGGCAGGGAGTCTGTCAACAATAAGCAGTAGCTCACTGAAAGCTTTCTTTTTATTCCTGTTGTAATAGTATATTTTCTGATCATAACTTTTACCCCACATTTTCAGTCGTGCCTTCTTCGACAAGAGGATCTCCCAGGAAGTCAGTGGTGATGCACTTGGAGAGGTATGTGTGTATGATGATTTTCCTTCTTGATTCTTACCTCTTTCGATTCTCATTGGCAATTATCTTCCCTTTTAATAGGAATTCAAGGGCTACGTGTTCAAGATCATGGGAGGTTGTGACAAGCAGGGTTTCCCTATGAAGCAGGGTGTCTTGAACCCAGGCCGTGTCCGCCTTTTGCTTACCCGAGGTATGGTTTCCTTTAAGATGCCCTTTGTTTGAAATGCCCCCTCTTGTCCCACTGAGTTGCTGAGAAGGTACTGCTTAACTTTCTGCAAAATAGGAACCCCTTGCTTCCGTGGATATGGAAGGCGCAACGGAGAGCGCCGAAGGAAGTCAGTGCGTGGTTGCATTGTGAGCCAGGACCTTTCTGTTCTCAACTTGGTCATTGTGAAGAAAGGTGAGAATGACCTCCCTGGGTTGACTGATACAGAGAAACCCAGAATGAGGGGACCCAAGAGGGCATCTAAGATCCGCAAGCTCTTCAATCTATCCAAAGATGATGATGTCAGGAAGTATGTCAACACCTACCGCAGAACTTTCACCCGTAAAAATGGTAAGCATCCTCTGATCTAATAAATTGAGAAAGCACATACAAGTGTGGATTTGGGTTGATTATTTCTTGCTTGTTTTTTGGGTGTACAGGCAAGGAAGCAAGCAAGGCTCCTAAAATTCAGAGGTTGGTGACTCCATTGACTCTTCAAAGGAAGAGGGCAAGACTTGCAGAGAAGAAGAAGAGAGTTGCCAAGGCCAATGCTGATGCTGCTGAATACCAGAAGCTACTTGCATCGAGACTGAAGGAGCAGAGAGACCGCAGGAGCGAGAGCTTAGCCAAAAAGAGGTCCAGGTTGTCTGCTGCTTCCAAGCCCTCTGTTGTTGCCTAAAGTGATGGTCGGTTTTTATAGGGTGCCAAATTGTGGTTCGTTGAAGTTACTAAGTTTTGAATGAGGTACCAATTATTATGATCATTAGTAGGCATGAGGTTCGGATTGTTCATTGTTACTACAGAGTTGACACTTGCAGCTGAGTTGTACTTCTGTTTTTCTCTTTTGTTTCTTCTCTTCAAATACAGTCTACAAAGCCGAATATGAATGCTTTATCACTACTTTTGATTCCAGGTCTTCTTTATTTCCATTCCACTTAACTTTGAAAGAAAGCATGTAAGCCTGCCGAATCAAAATCAGATCGCTTTGAATATAGTCAGATTGATTTGATCATTATTCCGTCCGATTATGAACTATGTTGACACAGAATGGTCCTTTTTGTTGGATTTGCACCATGGTTACAAAATACGGGCATCCACAGACTTGATGTTTGCTCCAACGATGAAATCTCTCTGAATAAGACGCCATTTCTTGTCTGCTATGTAATAATATTATTATTATATCAACGAATTTATAATACAGGCAACACTGTGAAACCAATAGATTTGGCAATGCGAAAGATATACATAAAAGCCTATCAAGCTTGATCTAAGAATGCATCATAGTGCCTCCGTTTCCTGCAATTTCCAGACTAGAAGATTCAGCTCCCAAGCTTCTGTCCATCTCGTCCAAAACTTAGGCATCAACCAAATCTCGGCTATGCCCAGGGACCCTAGATTCATCAGCATCACCAGTAGGTGAAGCTTCATCGTCCGCTGGACTACCATCGTCGTCGTTATCAGCAGCATATTCAGACGCCGAGCTGGCATCCGTATCTTTCTCAGGACAATCGAGCATAACAGATTCAGGAACATCAGTTCCACAAGTTCCCTGACTATGAGGCCTTTGACACCTCGTCTCCACGTCTTCCTTCTTCACCACATTCAACACAAACCCGTTATGAATCCTTTCGGGATGTATGACATCACCTTCAGTTACCGTTATGCTCGAGCCACTGGTCGACGCTGTGTCCCTGGGTGAGGTCTGGTTAGTGTAAGGATCCCTCGTTCCGACCTGTGCACTTGGGGAGTTGGGGGAGGTATGGACAGTATAAGACTCCCTCATTCCAACCTGAGCTCCTGGAGAGTTGGGGTACCCCGTCATCAACCCTCGTCCCATCTCAGAATCTGCATCGAGATTCTGGACGAAATCCACGAACAAGTCCGCGGAAGAAGTCCTCATCAGTGGCCCACCGGATCTGGTCCAAGAATGCACGTCGTTATTGGTCTCTGACTCGCTGTCGCTTCCATCTCGATGCTTTCTTCCTCCACCAATGGATTGTTGGAACGAGTTGGCGACATCTATCAGGAAGTCCTCAAGCGATCCTGTGGAGTTCTCCCGGGCAATGCAGTTCCATGAAGGAATCCTTTTGGAAGCGTTGAACCTGACTGTGTTGTTGCTGCCAGCTGCGGTGGGGGGGAGGCCGTGGGAAGCAGCAGCAGCTCTCTCGGCGCTCCGTTTGAGCCGGCGCATGTGGTTGAGAATAGCGACACACTCGTCGAGAGCAAGCTCGATGCCGCAGTTTGCTTTTATGGCAGAGAGCTTCTCCCATGTTCCCCTTCTCCCTTGGTTGACCGCCTTCTGAAGCTCCACGTGTGTTGGATTTTGTATGATTTTCGAGTACTGAAACAACAATCAACAGCAAATGTAGCAATTTCTGATTTCAGCTACCACCCAACAAATAGTTCTTGCCAAAGTTGCAGTCTTTAACGTCATTACTAAATAATACAAGCCGAGTTAAGTTCGAAAGGGAACATTTTGCACAAACCTGAGCGAGTGTTGCCGGCATAACGACAGTGACATCACCCTCCCAATCTTGAGCGAAGAGTTTGGGGAGGCCTCCCAATGGGAAGCCAAGTTCTAGTACCTGGTTGCATCTATGTTTCACCTCCATCTCAGTAAGATGAGCAAGCTACAAAAGCCCAAAAATCACGAAAATAAGATTCACGAAAATAAGATTCATTCTGTCTCATTAAAACACCTTCCCTAGAGAAAGAAACCGAAGAGTGATATCAATAGAGTTCAACAGGAATTTTACCTTGGCTGCAAAGTTGCCTCCATAAGCCCGAACAATTTCCTTCATTCTCAATAACGGTGCAATATGAGGGTTTGCCTGGCTCACAATAAAATGATTCACATTGAATAGCTCCTTCAACTGCATCATTGGTAAGTCAATCTCTAAGCTACCATCCCTCCATCGACGAGCCGATGTGCCTGACTTTTCGTCTGGACCAAGATTAAATGGTGGGTGATATGGAACAATTTCTCCACTTCTGTCCTTCGCCATCAGTTCCTGGGCCTCGAAGAGCCCAGGAAAGGCACAAGAAGCAGTTACAGCACTCCATATGACAACATGAGGGGAGTTTAGGTAGTTGAGGCATCTCGGTGGTTCATGCTTCCTTGGGGAGCAAACTGTAATTCCGAGAATTCGACCTGTCATATCAAAAGCTTCCTGAAATGTCAGGTTACTCGTTAAATTCCTCAACATCCATTGCAACTGACGGATGTCATGAACAGCCCCCTGTATCATGACTCTCTTCACAATCGAAAAAATCCCACCCAACTGATCAAAGAACTGCAATGACTGCATTGAATCCTCAAAGAAACTTTGCAACTCTGGCCAGGACCTAGTAGCCACCATCGAACACATAATCGATCCCACACTAGAACCAGCAATTATACGTGGCAAGAGCTTATGTTCCACCAGGGTTTTGACAACACCACCATGAAAGGCTCCAAGGGAAGCACCTCCACTCAGAAGCAAAGCTGTCCTTCCAAACGCATGTCTGGTTTCATGCATAAAAGACAGCTTTTCTTCAAGAGAAAGCTCCTCAGAGTCCGAGTCACAAACCATTCTCAACTGAGTGGATACCTCATCGATATAGTCCTTTATGAGCCTGGGAACATGAAGCCTACCCTTGTGAAGCTCCGGATTGCACATGTTGCCAAGATTCCTTATGAGATCAGCTCTCATGAAGAACATGATATCCCTTAGCGATCCCTCCTGACGACGGTGGAGCAGCTCTTGAAGCTTGTTCCGTACCAATTCTTCATCATAAAAGCCCGATTCATTCAGCTTTGGGGTCTCCTTATCGAGCATCTTAGCAGCATGAGCCCACTCCTCATGAGTCAGAGCAGATCTCATCATATTCCTCCAGAACTTCCTCCTATAGGCCATCTCGGCCCTCATTTTCACATTCGTGTATCGCTTCAACAGAAATGCTATGATTGTCACCATAGCCAGTATCCACTGTGGGTTCCTGGGATGCAACCATGACAACATGGGCCCCAGAAAGTCCCTAAATCTATAGATGTACTTCAACAACAGATGGAAAATTTGATTTCTTAAGCTACCTATTGACTTGCAAAACAAAACTCGGAAGGCAATGGTCCTACCAAGGATGGAGGATGGTCCAATCGGGAAAAGATCAACGGAGGCTTCATTGCTTATGTCCATTCCTAAGGTTCAAAAAGCTTTCCTTTCTGGGAATTGTTTTGCTCGCTATATCAATCTCAGAATATGATTAAACGGGTAATCAATTCAACAACGGAAGCAATAATCAAAAGGGTTCAAATCGATGGCAAACCTAAGAGATCGAAATTAGAGAACTTTTCAGATGCCCTCTAACAAGCAGACAATCCTAATTCAGACACAGGCGAAAACATCAATGAGCTGAAACTGGTCTTTAATGGCAATGTTCATCAAATCATGTACCCTTAAAAGCCTGGAAATTGAAGAAGAGGTTGGCCGATTGAACAAATGGGCATGCAGGAGATCAAACAAACGAACCTATTCCATCGGCGAATTATGAAATAAATGATGATCAGAACCCACCCGCCAAATCCCAAGATCCAGCTGACCGAACCCTAAACCCCGTGAAGAAATTGGAAGAAATGGAGGGATCGACAGCGAGAGAAAGCAACGGAATCCCAAGACTTGGTGAGAGAAATGGAATCCAGGGGCTCCAGATTTGTAGGACTAATTGGATTTGCTTTGCCGCTAAAACAATGGCGTAAAGCAGGGGGGGAAAGACAGAGATAAAGGGATCAGATGATTAAATATTTGGAACTCATGAACTGGGAAATGGAAATGAAATGGAGCCCATGGAAGGAGAAGAAAGAATCAGCCAAGTCTTGGGATTTGTGAAAGGATAGAGATTGGGATACGGTGACGCGACGAGTTTGAATGGGATGGAAGAAGAGGCGTGCGCAGGCATGGCGGAAAATACAGGTTTCCGGATAACATAAAAAAAAATATAGTTACAATAATGATACTATTTCTGTTTATTTAATTCAGCACGCAATCCTCGCCGGGACATCGGAAATACCACGTGTCGTAAACCCAGAAATACGGTAAATTTTACCGAAATTATAATGTAAACGGCATCCGGCGAACTGAAAGGGAAGAACCAGTAGCAGGGGGAAAAGACAGAGGAATTCCGGCGGCAGCGATGGGAGGAGATCCGAGAAAGAAGAAGACGATCCAGGAATGCGAAGGGGAAGAGGAGAAGGTAGAAGTCCTTCGGGATCAGTTGAAGAATACTCGAGCATTTCAGTTTCAGAGGAAGGTTTTCAAATCCGCATGGGGTAGCTTACCGGCGTCCGGCGGCGAGGTAGGTCTTTCATTTCTGCCGGTGATAATGTTGTCATGGTGGTGATTAATTCCCTCATTCCAATTGGAAAAAGGAAATTAACGAAATATGTTGCGGTTACTTAAACCGTGTTAGTATTGGGTTTTGTCTAATTCGTTGGATTAGGGTTTTAACCCTAAGTTTATCTATATAAGCTTAGCTATCGACTTGGGTGATAGCAAGCCGTCAAGATGTAATCCTAATAAGAGATGAGCCGTGAGCTCTTATGAGCTCACTATGGATTAGTCTCAATCAATCGATCGATCGAGGATACCACGTAAAATCTTGTGTCCCGTGTGTTATTTCACTTCCGCATCATCAAATTCTTCAAACTAAAGACTAATGAGTTTGCTAATGTGAAATTTGTGTATGCTATCGATGTAATAAAAAATACGTATTCTTATAAGTAATCTATATATACTAGAGAGAGAAAAAAACTATATCGCTACATGTTTCTAAGTAGGCAAAATACAGCGGTATATCCACAACTATTAGATTTGTGACAAATATATCCACAACTATCGAAATACACGAAATATCCAAAAATCGGAAGGTTGTGTGACAAATCTATCCACTTCCGTCTGAAACTATAACGGCGTGTCAGACGGCGTTAAATTGACTAACGGAATGCTGAATCGACGCCAGCTCACCTGCCACTAAGCCAAAAAGCAACTAAACTTTACACGTAGATGCCAAATAGACTAGTTGAATAAAGGCAAAATACAGTTGTATATCCACAAGTATCAGGTTTGTGACAAATATATCCACCACTATCAGGTTTGTGACAAATATATCCACAACTATCGAAATACACGAAATATCCATTTTCATCCACTCCGTTAACTCCGTCAGTTAACTTGATGACTGGACAAATGGTGGATGTTTAGTTGACGTGTTTCTGATCCCACTGAATGACGTGGATTACAAGAGAAAAAAAAAATAAAAACCCTAAAAACCACAGACAGGGAGACTAAAAATCTAACCTAGAAACACGTCCGTTAACCACTGATCCTCCTCCGATCGACGCCTGCACCCCCAAATAACCCTATCTCAAGCCCATATTTTGATTTCAACCACAATCCCCAACCATTCCCTCCCTTTTACTCCGACGGCTCCCATGTAGTCGGTGCCATGGTGATACCAAGCCTGAATCTAACCAAATCGCCAACATAGAAGACTACAGCAGCGAGGTCTAACAGATAACGGTGTAAAGTTTGATTGCTTTTTGGCTTATGGCAGGTGAGATGGCATCGATTCAGCATTTCGTTAGTCAATTTAACGCCGTCTGACACGCCGTTATAGTTTCAGACGAAAGTGGATAGATTTGTTACACGACCTTCCAATTCTTGGATATTTCGTGTATTTCGATAGTTGTGGATATATTTGTCACAAACCTGATAGTTGTAGATATACAACTGTATTTTGCCTAATTTTTTTCCTCTTTTAATCCACGTCATTTAGTGGGGTCAGAAGCACGCCAACTAAGAATCCACCGTCTGTCCAGTCATCAAGTTAACTGACGGAGTTAAGGGAATGGACGGAAATGGATATTTCGTGTATTTCGATAGTTATGGATATATTTGTCACAAACCTGATAGTTGTGGATATACAGCTGTATTTTGCCTTGTAAGTATTATAAACATTATCTAGATATAAATGGTTGGAACAAATGATCTAATGAAGTAATGAGATGGTTGTAGTCTTGTAGATCTCGGAGGTTAAAGCTATAAATGATGACCATGGGTGATTGACTGATTGCTACAATTGTTGAATGCTGGTGGGTGAGTTACTCTCCAAGTATAAATGGTTTTCTATACCCCTCTTCAATTGAAGACGTGAACGTCAGCAGCATGTCGAGAGTTCGAAACTGAACAACACTCCTACAGCCTCTCCAGACGAGCACGCCAGCAAATCAAGTGTGCCTTGCTTCGGCCGAGGGTGAGGAGAAAATCCTTAACGTCTTGAACAAAGATTGATTTGGAGACTTCTGACTGCGTCTCTCCGAACAACTCGACGAATAGATCGACTTACAGGTACATTTGCAATCGGCTTGACGAGCGAGAACTAGTCATGTCCATGGAAGTAGTAGTGCTTGTAGACATGAACACCCTTTCCTCTAAAGGATCGGCAATATTGTTCCCCAGAAATTGAGATGTTTATGATCTTACCTTCTTCATCATTGACCATTATCATCATAATAGTAATACAGTGGGCGGATCGAAAAGAAACTCTCTGCCATGATGGATTCTCAACATGATTGATCCGTCACTTACTTCTTCTCTTTCATATTGGTTCCGTGGGGAAAACTGGGAGGGCAAAGATTGTGATTGCACCAGATGTTGATGGAGGAAGACGGGGTTGGAGTGTGGGCCTGTTCTCCCAGATCGATCAATAAAGCGGCCCATTTGATGATGGCCCATCGATGGCTTGTTAGGTGATGATGCTTTGGGCTCCTGTGGCCTACCACGATTTCATAATGAAAGAGCCTCATACAGGTCACAATAAAAAGAAAAAATTTGGTGGGCCTATTTACTAATGGGACCTGAATGCAGAAAGTTTTCATGATAGAGCCCACCAATAAATGGGCCCATTTTTACGCCCATTTATGAGGGTCTCTTCACCGAAATCTGATTATCTGAATCTCTCCCGTCCGACGAATTAACGTGTGCATGCATTAAGAGGTTCCACGACGAAGAAGGAACCTTCAAGAAGGCATTCAATTCAATGTAAAAAATATTTTGTGTAGTTATAATAAATAAAGAAGAATATTATATCAATAGGTGCTTATCAATATTGTTTTAAACCCTTACAATAACAATATTAAGAAAACTCTAGTTTCCAAGGAGTCGTCGCCCCTGGTTTGGAGACAAGATTCCAGTCTTGATTTCTTATTAATACCACATGAATTGATGTGTCCTAGAAATTTTTTGTTTTTGTTTTTAGAAGGAGACAACGAGAGAGGCAATTTGAGAGATGGATAATACTACGTACTATTAAAGTAAGGTAGGGTTTATTTTGAGATCCACGTAATAGCAAACAGAATAATGGTTAATTTAGAGGTTGTTTGAAAAAGCCCACAATTAGTCAGCACCCAACCCATAATTTTCTCTCGTTTATCGAGGGTTTTAGTGGCGGCGGCGGAAACCCTAGGTTTTCCGAGTCCGAGGTTACTGAGAGATCAAGATTGATTTACAGAATAATTCACTAGGTTTCAGAGATCCTTGTCCGTCCCGTGTTCGGTTTTCTACAGTGAGGTTGGGACTTCCCGTGCCTATTTTATAAGAAACCCTCTGGGTTACAGGGGAATTGTGTGAGTTTGGCGATCTATTCAGTCTGGATAACATTGGTATTCAGAGCAAGGCCTGCCATCGATTAGGTGTCGCTCTATTTTCTCGAAACTTCAATGGAAGCTGAAAACAATAAGGAGATGGCTGATGCTGGTGTTGAGGAGCCGCTGGAACTTCAATCCACAGCGGAAAGCATCGAGAGACAATTGGACCATATCACTCTGGCAGACGAGGACGACGAGCCGCTAGAGGTTGAGGATGACGATGTGGATGTCGTCCGAATGGAAGCTGTACGCCAACTGGGGCTTATAGGTCGCCTAGTGGCTGAAAAACAACCAAACGTTAAATCGATGAAGATTGCTTTGGCAAAGGCATGGAATCTCAGGAAAACATTCCAGATTACTGACCTGGGCGACATGCTGTTCGCCTTTCAATTCCTTGACGAGGATGACCGAAACAAGGTTTGCTTCGGAGGTCCTTGGCACTATGAAAACAATGTCATGGTGTTTGAGGCAAGCTTGCTGATAAAGAAACCTAATCCGGAAGCCCTGCATATGATTGATATATGGATTCAGATTAAGGAGTTCCCAGCTGAACTTCGAACCCAAAAATTGGCGGAGAAGATTGCGAATAGGTTTGGCTCGCTAGTGTGGTTTGATGACAACCCTGGTACGATGTGGGACACGTACATGAGACTAAGGGTTAGTATTTCTATTAATAACCCCCTTAAAAAGAAGATCAAGTTGAACATGGGAGGTAAACTGGTGGAGTACCTGGTGAAGTACGAAAAGCTTCCTATCTTCTGCTACTCATGTGGAAGGATAGGGCATCCGAAAATAAGATGTCCCAAACCATCAGGACTGGACCCTGATCCTTTTGGTATGGAGCTAAGAGCAAGCCCACAAGGTCCTCGGAACTGGCTATCACATGCGGCAAAGAAGGAGGATGCCGAGATTTGGGCTAAATTGCGAAGGAAATTTGACATGGAGAGCTTAGGGTCTAATTCAGACCATGAAATGCCCCCTGCGGAAGAAATAGCAGGAAATAAAATCTCGCCAGAAAGGGAGAAGGGGGCAGATTATACAGAACCAGCAACAATCAACCAAAAGAAAGAACAATCCATGCTGGAAAAAGGAAACACAGGGATAGGCCAAGCGACAGAAGCAGATCGTTCCCAAATTCAGAATGGGGGACGTGTGGAACCTGGAGGAGCATTACAAAGCTCTGTTATGGGTGCATGTGGTGGCCAAAAAGACAAACGCTATAGGGGCAGGGTGTGGCGAAGGCAAGAACAAGCCAAACCAAGACCCATTGTGGAAACTCAGGTCACTCCGCAAAAGAGAATGGAAAAAGAGGGCGATGTCCAGGACCACCAAGAGGAAATACTGACTACACAGGCAAAGAAGGCGAAAGTGCTGACTTTTGCTGACAACCTTGGTCCATTATCACTTGCTAATAAAAACACAACTAAGGATGGCGATGTGGCGGACTCTGCGGAAAAGCAGAGCCGCCCAGCCCAATGAGTATCTTAAGTTACAACTGCCGGGGTTTGGGGAAATCCCGGGCAGTGAAGAAGCTGGAACGTTTAATTCTCCAGCAAAACCCCAGTGTGGTTTTCTTAATGGAGACCAAAAAGAAGGAGAAAGAGTGGCAGGAGATTTTGACCCAACTAGGGTGGGATAAGGGGCATGGAGTGGGTTCGAATGGCAGAGCAGGGGGCCTATTGGTTATGTGGAGGAATGACATTGCCATAGAGATTATGTCGGATTCTCTAAATCACATTGATATGAGGGTGACTGAAGGGGATTTGGTCTGGAGATTAACAGGAGTCTATGGTTGGCCTGAGGAGTCAAATAAGCACTTAACGTGGGAGCTACTTCGAAATTTACATAGCCAAGCTTCGGCTCCCTGGCTAGTCTGCGGGGATTTCAACCAAATCCAAAGCTATGAGGAGAAGCATGGTCTGAAGGAACCTAATTCGCAGCTCATGGAAAAGTTCAATGAGGCTATCGAGGACTGTGATCTGGAAGACCTAGGCTACTATGGGAATACATTCACATGGGACAACAACCATACGGATGATACATTCCTTGAGGAACGTTTAGACAGAATGCTAGCAACAGCAAGCTGGATGGGGCATTTTCCAAATGCTCGAGTTTACAACTTAAGGAGATGCGGATCTGATCACTCACCCATAATCCTTAAGAGGCATCTCCTGGAGGATAAGGTGAATTGGGGAAGGAGCTTTCGGTTTGAGAGCTACTGGGCCAGAGAGACTGAATGTGAGATGGTGGTCTCAGGGAGTTGGCAGGGGAATCCGAATGATACAGTTTTGGAAAAGATTGCAAAATGTGAAGATAATCTAAAAGAATGGAGCAAGATGAAGTTTGGCAGCCTTGCAGCTAGAAGGAAAAAGGCAGAGAAAGCATTGAATATCTTGGAAAAGCAAAAGAAAAGTGGGGCTGTGATCGCCCAGAGAAGAGCTCTTGAAAAGGAGCTTAATGAAATTATGGATTTGGAGGAAGAGGCATGGAAACAGAGATCTCGCACAGACTGGCTGCAGCAAGGGGACAGGAATACCCCCTTTTTTCACAGGAAAGCGTCTGACAGACGAAACCGCAATACAATAAACAGCCTTCTAGATCAAGATGGGGTGGAGAGAAAGGGTCAGAAGGAGGTTACCTTGTGCATCAGAGATTATTATCAGCTGCTTTTCAAAGCGTCTCCACCAGCCCTGACTTCTCATGTTCTCGATGCAATTTCCTGCAAAATAACAGACAGAATGAATGAGGAGTTGTTATTACCTATCACAAGGGAGGAGATCTGGAATGCACTAAGACATATGGGGCCTACCAAGGCACCAGGTGCAGATGGTATGCCAGCCTTGTTTTTTCAAAAACATTGGCAAATTATTGGAGATGATGTTACCAAGGAAATTCAGGGATACATGGAGAAGGGTGAGTTTCCACAGGTGCTAAATCATACACTTATAGCACTCATCCCTAAGAATAAAAAGCCGAAGACTCCTGCAGATTTCCGACCCATTAGCCTATGTAAGGTTCTTTACAAGATATTATCTAAAGTTCTTGCGAATAGGCTTAAACAAGTGCTGAAAGTGGCAGTGGTGGAAAACCAGAGTGCCTTCGTACCAGGGAGGTATATAACAGATAATGTCATTGTAGCTTTTGAGTGTTTTCATGCTATGAAAACAAGAACGAAAGGGAAAAAGGGATATATGGCAGCAAAACTGGACATAGCGAAAGCCTACGACAGAGTTAGCTGGGAATTCTTGGAAGCTATAATGAGGAAACTCGGATTTGCTGATAGATGGGTGAGGATGATAATGTATTGTGTTTCAACAGTTTCTTATGCAGCTCTAGTGAATGGGCACCAGTCTGACACTTTCTTCCCCACGAGAGGACTCAGACAAGGGGACCCGATATCCCCCTATCTATTCTTGTTGGTAGCTGAAGGACTCTCAGCACTCACGGCAAAGGCAGAGGCAGAAGGTTTTATTCAGGGGATTAAAGTGAGTCAAAATGCACCGATGATCTCACATTTGCTTTTTGCAGATGATAGTATATTCTTCATCAAGGCTACACGACCCCAATGCTTAAAACTGAAAGAAATCTTGAAATGCTATGAGGAGGAATCAGGCCAGAGTGTCAGTCTGACCAAATCTGAAATTTCCTTCTCCCCTAACATTTCTAATCATACTCAAGCGGAGCTGGCTGATTTACTCGGAATGAAGCTTGTGGAATTTCACGAGAAGTACTTGGGTTTGCCCACAGTGATAGGCAGAAAGAAAAGATCAGTGTTCAGCTACTTGGTTGATAGAATCAGGAAAAAGGTCAAGCTCTGGAAAAGCAAACTTCTATCGAGTGCTGCTAAGGAGGTTTTGATAAAATCTGTTGCTCAGGCACAGGCGACCTACGTGATGTCTCTATTCCTGCTACCAGAAGGGATCATTGAGGAAATACAGAGAATTCTAGCGAATTTCTGGTGGGGGCAAAGTCAGCAAGAAAGAAGAACACATTGGAAAAGCTGGAAGGATCTCTGTCGTCCAAAAAAGGAAGGAGGTATGGGGTTCCGAGAACTAAAAGGCTTCAACCTAGCTCTTCTAGGTAAGCAAGTTTGGAACCTCACTCAGATGCCTAATTCCTTGGCAAGCAGGGTCCTAAAGGCGAAATACTATCCGAATAAAGACATTATGGAGGCTGGGTTGGGACACTACCCGAGCTATATTTGGCGGAGCATTATATCGGCAAGAGAACTAGTGGCTCAAGGTCTACGCTGGAGGGTGGGTAACGGTACTCAGATAAAGATTTGGGAGGATAAATGGCTACCAGAGGCTGAAAACTACAAAATCGCCTCAAGTCACCAGGAGGTGGACAGCCCTGTCATGGTACATGAACTGATAAATTTCGAAGCTAGGCTATGGAGAGATGAGCAACTCCAAACCCATTTCCACCCTAATGATAGAGCACAGATTCAGATGATTCCGATCCCGCGGCAACCATGCCCAGATAAAAGGGTGTGGGGATTGGAGAAGAGAGGGTCCTACACAGTTAAGTCGGCCTATGTGAAATGGAAAGTTAGCCAGGATGCTGGAATCGGAGAATTGTATGTGCCAGTCAATTGGAAACAGGTGTGGCAATTAAACATTCCTCCTAAAGTTAGGGTGTTTGCGTGGAGATGGATTCACAATATCCTTCCCACAGGGGGGAATCTCGTTGACAGAACGAGAAGGGGATGCGAGGAATGTCCATTTTGTGGCCTGAAGGAAACCCAATACCACACGTTCCTGGACTGTGGGTGGACTCGGAGGATTTGGCAACCATCGGATTTGAGGGGTCTATTCAGTAGGGGGGAGGAACGAACCTGTGAGGAATGGTGCTGTGAGATCCAAGCGAGTGAGAAGGTGGAGGCATTAGCAGCTCTGCTGGTGGCCCTCTGGTATATTTGGCATGAACGCAACAATCACCTGTGGAATGGCAAAAAGAGAGAGGAGGGAGATATTATCCCACATGCAATGGAGTGGTTAAGCGAATTCCAATCGAAGCAAAGACAAAACACTCATCTGGCGAACACAAGAGTCCTCCGATGGAATCCACCTGACCCAGGCCGTCTGAAAGCAAACGTGGATGCTGCTACCTTTCAATCGGGAGGAACATGGTGGGGAGTCATCGTCCGCGACCACAATGGGGGATTCCGATTAGCCGCAGTGAAGAGGTCGAGAAGAAAGTGGGGACCAGAAATAGCCGAAGCAATGGGTATAATGTTTGCATTGGAGCTGGCTAAGAGGTATGGATTTGAAGAATTGGATGTGGAGACAGATTGCATGCTCTTGGTGCAGAAGCTGCTGCGGGAAATGCGCTCGGCTTTGGAGGTGGAAGAGGTCTGTGAAGAGATTAGGGAAGAAGCTGATGGGGTTGGGGACACCAGGTTTTTGTTTACGGGCCGAGAATGTAATAAACCAGCCCATATGCTAGCACACACTTTCTGCCCATGGGACAGTGAGGAGATTTGGGTTTCTGACCCACCCTTCTTTTTGGCCCACCTCCTTTGTAAAGACAATACTTTGGGCCCTTCTACCTAAATAAAGCATGCAGATTGATTTTCAAAAAAAAAAAAAAAAATTTAGAGGTTGTTTGGAGGTTGCAACTTATTGTTGAATATATAAATAAATGTATTGTTGTGAATACATGTTTATTATTATATATGAATTGTCGAATTTGATGCATTGTAAAATACAACGTTCGATATGTGTGATTGTGTATGTCACATCAGCTAAAAGCTGAGACAAAACAATCTCAACAATCATAACTAAAGGCTGAGATATAACAATCACTCATTTCGAGTAGTCTTTCACATCACAAAAACAATCCATATATTGTTTCTGCTAAAAAATAAAAAAACCGATGTATTTTGAACAATACATGTATAGTAACAATCTAATAAAAACAATCTGCAACTTCCAAACAATCTCTTAATTTAGTTCCTGGGTTTGGAATTAGGGTTTCTGTTGTCAAAGACTTGGGAGGCTAGTTAATTAGAGCCTAGCTTAGAGGCTATATATACATACACTGAGATTCAAAGTAGAGCACAACAATCACCACCACCATATCTAGAGAACAGAAAAATGGAAGAAATTAATGAGATTCTGTTTAGTAATAATCCTCCACTACTAATCATCATCCTAATCACCACTCTAATCATCCTTTTCTCAACCATATCCTTCCTCAAGAAACAAAACAAGAAGCAGAGCAACAAAAACAGAGCCGCCACATTTCCCCTGCCTCCAGGGCCATGGAAGCTCCCCATCATCGGCAACATCCACCAACTCGCCTTCTCCTCCTCCTCCAACTCCTCCTCCGCCCTAATCCACCGCCGTTTCGCCGAACTATCCCAACACTACGGCCCCGTGATGCATCTCCAGCTCGGCGAAACATCCAACGTCGTCCTATCCTCCCCTGAATCCGCCAGCGAGTTCCTCAAAACACACGACCAGAACTTCGCCATCCGGCCCTACATGCCGTCCGGCAGCATCATCTGCTACGGCGGCAGGGACATCGTGTTCTCGTCGGAAGGGGACTACTGGCGGCGGATGAAGCGGATCTGCACCACGGAGCTGCTGAGCAAGAAGCGCGTCACCTCGCTGCGGTTCATTCGAGAGGAAGAGGCCGACAAGCTGGTGCAGTTGATTGGTCGGGAGTCTGCGGCCGGAGGAGGAGGAGCGGCGGTGAACCTCAGCCGGCTGCTGTTCGCCGTCAGCAACACGATGACGTCGAGGACGGCGTTCGGGAAGGTCCGGGAGCTGGAGGAGTCTTTCTTGCCGGTGATGCATCGGATTCTTCAGACGTTGGGTGGGTTCAGCATCGGGGACCTCTTCCCTTCCAACAGGTTTGGTTTACTGCATGTATTTTCGTAGTAACTGGTATAAGATTCATTATCGAATCTCAGTCTGGCTGGACAACTTCGAATTATCAGTACTAACAGGTTTTGAGGCTTGTTTGACTAAGAAATCTTGTGTTCGAATTTTTATGATCCTTATTAGGTTAATTAAGCACGTGGTATTTGAATCGGTGCAAACCTCAAACTCTTGTTATAAGTGGCTTTCCGTTTAAACTCATGTGACATAGGATCCATTATTCAACATTTCTCAAAACTCGAGTCACTGGAAGTAACTGATTCTTGACAGTTACGAAAAAAATTTATTATTAAGTATCTACCAACAACTCGAATTATTATACTAACTGAATAAGCTTTTTCTTCATTCAAACAGGTTTTTGCGTTTAATTAGTGGAACAGAGAGAGAACTGAATAAGCTTCACCAAGAAATAGATGTTATCATCCAAGGAATTGTTGATGAGCATCTATCGAGGAGGAGAAGGAGAGAAACTGAGCATCATGACATAGCAGAAGCAGCAGAAGAAGATGATAATGATGAAGATCTAGTTGATGTGCTCTTGGCTTCCACTAACAACCACTTGGAGGCTAAAGCCATCATCATGGTACGTGTGTTTTGTGTAGATTTGTCCGTCGATACATGACTAATTTCTATGCTTATTTTCATATGCTGATTATACATTATGCACTGCAGGACATGTTTTTGGCTGGCGGTGAGACTTCCCCTGTTACGGTGGCATGGGCCATGTCCGAACTGATGAGGAATCCGGAGAAAATGGAAAAAGCACAAAGAGAGGCGAGACAGTTGTTTGACAGAAAAGGGGGAGTAGTCGACGAATCGTGCCTTGACGAGCTGCACTATCTCAAATCGGTCATTAAAGAGACCCTGAGAATGCATCCTGCCGTTCCTCTGTCGATTCCGAGGGAAGGCGTGGAAGCTGTCGTGATCAATGGGTATCGAATACCGACAAAGACAAGGGTTATCGTCAACTATTGGGCCATCGGTCGAGATCCCTCGTACTGGACCCAACCGGATGAATTCATGCCGGAAAGATTCCTCGACAGTTCCGTCGATTACAAGGGTTTTGATTTCCAGCTCATCCCATTTGGAGCCGGAAGAAGGTTGTGCCCGGGCATAAACTATGGGATCGCTGTTGTTTCTCTTCTGCTCGCAAATTTGATTTACCATTTTGATTGGAAGCTCCCAAACCAGCTGAAACCTCAAGATCTTGATATGTTCAAGAATCTTGGAGTTTCTGCTTCTCGAAAAAATGATTTGTATCTCAATCCCATTCCTTACCATGCACCTTAAAATAGATGATTTCCTTTAGAAATCATAAGGATGCACACGGAGTTAGAGTGTGATTCTATGCATATTTAAATGTGTGGTTTAGGGTTTCATTTATGACCTATCAAATAATTAACCACTCTTTGTAATGTGATTTCCATTCTAGTAAGAGTTGGGAAACAGTACACCCTTTTCGTATAAATGTTTGGTTTAGGTTTCATTTACATCCTTACTCAGCTCCGTTTTCCCCTTATACTTTTCTTTTCTTAATATTATCTCGCCCTCGTAATTTTTTTTAAGGATTTTATAAAAATGGTCAAATTTTTTTATCTTGCATGATCGTGTAAGTACAATACTGAAACAAAAAGATAGTTTTAGTCCATCTCCATTCAAATTTTATAAAATATATCTTTGCGCTTGGGGCAATGACACAGGTAGTGTGGTAATAACCGAGGCGCGTCAATTGCTGGTCGAAAACTTTTTCCAAACCCGCTCTTGGGCCGCGGCTTGCTCGTGGCCCTCAAGAATTTCTGGAAGGGCTACCCTCGAGGTAAATCTCTAAAAAAATAAAAATTTATCAAATATAACCAATAAAAATTTGATTCATACAAAAATAAATTTTAACAATACCACAAACTCTACATAAGGCTTATTTCTGTTAACCCAACAACTGGATCCAAATATGAGCCAAAACATGCCCCTCTCTCTCTATATAATATATATATATATATGTATGTAAAACGATGCACCAGTTGATGTGTATGTAGAGAGTGAGGAATATTCATAGAATTTTTCTGTTAAAAGGCAAGCCCTCGTGATAACTGGTCAATTTGGTAGCTTAAGTATTTTTTTAATTAATAAGTTTGTTTTTTTCCTTAATTAATTAAGAATATTAGTATTAGTTATTTGAGTAAGATTTGTATTGCTTTTTTGTTTTTGTTTTTTTTTTTAGTAAGTTCTTTCAATGAATCATTCTTTTTGTACTAGAATTCGAGAAGTCATTTAATCAAAATCTTTTCTCGTAACATTTTCACAACTAGGTAATTTTATGTCCTAGACTTTACGAGGACTTGCCTTCTTTTGGCACTTAAATGTCGAACAAGCTTGATATCTCGATACATGTCACGCGGTATGAAGTATATGATGCTATTAATTAACCATCTACACAAACATAAATAAATTCATGAATATCAAATGTGGATGTGATTTTTTTTTTTTGCAAAAAAAAAAAAAATTTAGTAGCCTCTCTTTTGCAATGTGATTTCAATATATATATATATAAGAATTGAGAATCAATCGGTCTCGTGCTGTTAAAACCGGGATGAACTGGTGACAGTCAGACCGATAAAAGTAATCATTGTCGGCCGATTCGCGACCTCGATGGGAGAACGGATTAACAACATGGCACTATTTTTACTATGGATATACGTCGACTAAGTACTATAATCATTTGCTATTCGTGCATGCCGGTGATGCACATCAGAATTCGATTCACTTGATACCACATTACACATGAATTGGTTTACCCGGCCCTCTGGTTCAATTCAACGTGTCATACCACTTAAAAACCACCGATATGGTACGGTTTCCAAAACACGGTTCGTTACATATAAGTTCAGTGGCATGGTTTGGAGATCCGATCCCACTCTCGATTTCTCAAGAGCCGCCCTCGTGCTTCCTTTGTGCGTTGGAAGTGACTCCCCACATGAATTGATGGCTCCTAGGAAACTTTTTTTGTTTTTTTGGAAACAACACTACGAGAGAGATGCATTATAGTTGCAGTATCCGACTTCCTATGACTTCCTTTAGTTGTGGATCTATCATAAATTTTCTCGGGCGGAGCCACAGCAGCTCTCGAGGTGCCTTCCTTATCCGAGAATCTCGAAAGTTATGTGTACATTAAATCATATGAAATTATACATATAATGAGCTAAACGTAAATATATATAAAAATGAGCGATGTCGATGTATCATATAAATATTAATTGCTTAAGAACATCAGAATTATTTTTAGTTTAATTTTAAAGTCAGCTGATAATCGTTACAAATGTATTGTTTAAGGTGATAGGTGTTAATGCTTATCGTTTTATGATATGGTTTTGGAGCAGCGACGGAGCCACAACAGCCTTTGCGACACGACCTCTGCTCGAGATTCTTGTTAATATTTTTTTTTACTAGTTTGCTTCTTAATCTTTGTTTTAGCTTTTACGATAACGTATTAAGAAAACTCCGATTCCCTAGATCACAATAGCTAAATCCTGGTGCCGCCCCTGGTTTGGGAAACAGATTCCGTTGTTGATTTCTCCAATAATCCGACAAGAGTTGACGAGTCCTAGAATTTGTCTTTTAGGAAGAAGACAACGAGGGAGGCTATGAGAGATGTGTAGTATTCCTATTAGAGTAAGGTAGGGTTTCCTTGGAGATCCGAGTCCCTGGAAAGAAACAAAAAAAAAAATAAAAATAAATTGTCAGTCCGAGAATATCAACTCCCACAAATTTTGATTTGTACGAGAACCATAAATTAAATATCTATAAATAATTAATTAATCAATGATACAAGGTGTAATAGATTCCCTAAAAAACGCTAACTAAATAGGCTAACACTTTATATTTATAATATAAAATTCTTTATTCGAACTTCTCAAAAGAATTACTGAGATTAAGTGATTCTTGACAAAGTAACAAAATTCTCGATGACCAAAAAAAATATTGTTTTCAAAAGTTTGTCCATAAATTCATGCATCTTCATCTCTCCTTGTACGACCACACACGAGTATGAAAACCACCGAAGATGAACATCTTACATTTTTCACCGAACAATCCATTTCACTCAAATCACTCACTTTCTCAAATGTCAACCGTCTAATACTGGTTACAGATTGCTCGAGGCTCTGATAACACAATGCGAGGTCAATTATTGGACAAATCTGACAATTTAATTCAAAACTAACATAATAATGAATCATAACTACTGACTCCAAGCCCTCAAAAAATCTCGGATTCCACTAACATTAGGATCAGAAACTGAAATTCGATAAACTAAAACATTATGACTGACTCGACAATAATCACAGTTTTAGACACAACAAATACACCTAAACAGAATCAGGGTTCGATCTTGGCTTCCAACAATTGTAATGTATAATCCCTATATAAAGGGCTGGACACAGAGCACTTAAAATCTCACACCAACCGACCAACAAAGCACATCTTTGAGCAGCAGTCTTGAATCAGAGTACAAAAACAGCAGTACTGAATCAAAATCGTTCAATCCTCTGTCTGAGAGAATATGGCGGCCAACGCAATCGGCGGTACTTCCACGGCAGCTGCTCAAGAGCGGCGGACAGCAGATTTCCACCCGACTGTGTGGGGCGACTGTTAGGAATCGAACAAGAAAAATTAGGGTTACCGAATCTGGCTGAGTCGCGGACTAGGTCGCTCTCTTTAAGACGTTCGCGGCACTGCCTTCGTTGCGCACGGCAGACTATCAGCCGGTCGCCTCCAGGATAAAACAGCCACTCATTAAATTTGCTCAGCGGTTTTGTGCGGAAACCGGAGCTCTCTGAATTTCACTCTCTCTCGTGTTTCTGCTCTCTGATGTGTGTTTAGAGGGTCTAGGGGTCTGCTATTTATAGGAGCAGAAAACCTAGAATATTCCCTCTTTATTTGGGAATAAGCCACATTTTAATTAGGAAGATAATTACTTCCATAATTAAAATATATTATATTATATTAAGATAATTAATCTTAATTATCTCCATAATATTCTTTTTATTAATTATCCTTCCTATTTTCGTATCTAGAAAGAATACGGGATAATTAATTCAATATAGCTTTCAAAGCTATTCATTCCCAACAATCCCCCACTTGAATAGTTTTGAAACTATCTTTGAGCATCAACAGATCCATAAGATCGGGCATAAGCTAAGGTATCGCGAAGATTTGAACCTTAGCGTAGTGGTTACACTTCCGATTTCATAAGGGTGACTCGTAGTCTTGAACCCTATCTCAGACAATGTAGCACACCGGATCTTTTCATTGAGTGATATTCTCTCATAGGCCGTGCGTTTATGGCCATGCACGTTATCCCGGTTTAGTGAACGCTCTAGCAACTTTGTGCCTCCAAAGTTCCATAGGGAGCGGCCCCACTCCCACATTCACATAGGTGAGTCTATCAGAAGTACCCCCAAAGTAAAGTACTTCACTCCACATAGAGTATAGATCTCATTAAGAGTTTAACTCAACCTCCAAGGCTTTGGGATTCATGCTTCACTATGCATGAACTTTTCTCAATATTACTCATGACTTGTTATTACCCATTGAACCCGTTTCTTGGGATCTCCAGTCTATCGGGTCGGGTTACCATCACTTGTAATCCGTGGTTCGGTAGGCATAAGTCTCATACCCTTTGTGGTATTTTGGACTTTCTCTCTAGGTAATCCTTTCGTCAAAGGATCAGCTAGATTCTGTTCGGATCTTATATGATCCACCCTCACTGCTCCTATCGTTAGGAGTTCTCTTACAGTACTGTGCTTACGACAAATTTGTCGTCTCTTTTCGTTCTAGAACCGGTTCCCTTCTTTAGTAATAGCTGCGGTGCTATCACAATGAATCAACTACCGGAGGGATCGGTCTTTCCCATAAGGGAATCTCTAGTAGTGACCCTCCCAATCAACTTTCCTCTTTACTAGCCATTGCTAGTTCTATCATTTTCGATTTCTTAGTTGATTGAGCCAGGATCGTTTACTTCTTAGACTTCCAAGACATAGCTTCTCTATCGATGTTTAAAACACATCCTCTTGTTGTCTTGGAGTCCTCTATAGGGTATTCTAATCCGCATCATTATACCCTACCAATACAGCAAAACCTTTGATAACAAGTACCAAAGTTTTTCTGTTCTTTTAAGGTGTCTCATGACCCCTTTCAATAGCATTTCAATGCTTCATACTAGGACAATCAGTAAGCCTGCCAAGTACCCCCACTATATCGGGTCTCATGTTTATCAGTTGCCTCTCGCAGACTGTAGATGCTAGTATATTCTAACTTTCTTACACCGTCTTTGGTGTTCTTTAAATATTTATACGAGCATCATCAAACATGTATGCAGGTGTACATCTTGTATTTTCCTAGTTATTAGGATCTCTAAGCATAACATTTGTTTCATTCAGATCCTTCACATTCAAAATTCTCAACCATCATGGTTTTTCAATATTGACATCACGAGTCTTTGTACCAAAGATCGACGTGTCATTCATAATGCAAGTGTCATTCTCAAATTTGTACTAAATGCACTTGTCACTTTCACTTTTAAAACCATGTGAGAGAACCAGTTTATTCATGCCATCGTCTTAGAGTCTATTTCAAATCTTACAATGATTTGTCTAACTATAGACTCCCTAAGCATGTTCAGGAATAACAACCCTATAGGTTGTCCCATGTAGATTTTCATATCTAAATCACCATTCACAGAAACATGTTTAACAATCCATCTGACGCACAACACTAGCAATCAGAACATACATGGATGTTATTCTACATATGGTGAATAGATAACAAGAAAATTTACAATTTTTCCTTTTCGCTTAAATCCTTAGCTATTAGGCGATCCTTATACTCATAAACTAAACCATCAGGTTTCAGTTTTCCTTTTAATAATCCGTTTATTACCTAGGCTTCATTGCCAGGAGGTAATTCTCAAAGATGCCAAATCTTTTCGATTTCATCGATATATTACCCAAGACTTTACAACCAAGAGGTAACTCTACAAGATTTTAAGTCTTATTAGACTCCAATAATTCCATTTCGTTAATAATGGATTCTCCCACAATTCTGCATCTTTATGGAAGTTCGAACTTCTAGCAGACTTGTAGGATCTTTCTTTCTTAGGGTGTGAATAACAAATTCATAACCAAAATCATTTCATGATTTATGGTTCATTTGTTTCTTCCGAGTTTAAACTCAGATTTATTACCCCCACTAGTTCCATTATTTCTAATAGTAGGCAGGACACTACCCCCACTATTTCTTGATTTAAAATGGAAGTTTCTTGGCATTAATGGATTTCTCAACAACATGAGTATTTCGTTTCATAGGAACTATGTGTTTTTATTGTTAACAACATAAAACACACTCATATGCTCTTCTAGTTATCATGCTACAATGATTTTCTAACGTTACCACATGCATGCCACATATCGAATAATCAGTGCAATCATAATGCAATTAGGCATTTCAAACCATTTCAAATAACTAGTCAGACAATCAGAGCACTCTAAAGAGCAATAAATTGTTTATTGTCTTTTCCATCAAGTTTACCCACATAAATCAGATCTATTTATTCTGATTCTCTAATAACATATTATGGGTCATTTAGCTTGGATATAGAAAATTCATATTTTTCTCAAGCATCTAATAATAATATGGGAATGCGATATAAGATATTCTAATTCTTCACACTTGGAAGAATTTATCTTATCTACTTAACCATTCCTTACATCTAGGATAGTCAATGACTTTCTAGAGGCAGAATTCTCTTCCACTTTTCTAGAACCATCAATAATAGTGGTGAGGGTCTTGCCCAACAACACTTTCTCTTTCAATACGCGTCAATGTATGATTGAGCTTAGCTCGTTTATCACACATATCTTGAAGCGGTCCTATCCAACAACCATTCTTCAGAGTTACCATTAAGGCTAACCTCTGTTATCACCTCAGTGAATATTATTACCAAATCCTCTTCTTTAGTCAAGTTAACACTAGGTTAAACTTGTTCTTACACTTTCGTGTCTTATGACCTAGTTTCTCACAGAGAAACATAACGTCATTCTTAGAGGATTGGATGACAATCTTATGGTTACTACGATGGGTACCATTCTAATTGGTGTGGCTCTGGTTCAGCTTGTTGCTCTCATTCTTGAAACTTTAATGTTTCACAGCAACCTAAGTGGTTCGTGTAGTACTGATAATAGTACTTCTTATAATATCGTCACTATGGGCAATTAACCCTTTCTATTCCCATATATTCTTCACATATATGCATGCATTTGAACAAAATCATTATACTCCACAACATGTATTCAATTTCTAATCATCGAGGTAATACACCTCAATGTCGACATATACATGCATTAATTCTATTTTTACTTTCTCGCATTCATATGGTTCTCAATACCATGCATAGAACTCAAGTGAAATAGATTCCAGCTTATCATTCATCATAATGATTCATAAAAAGGTTTTGATTCTGACCTCTTTTCAATGCATTCTCTATTTCTCAATTTCCAAGCAATTCTTCTTCCATAGCTGCCAAAAACCAAAGCAACGGAACGAGCAGGTTCCCGCCTTTTAGAAGAGCCTCACACCCACAACCTGGGTCCACCATCCCGACTCCACAGTTACCGAGACGGGTATCTTCCATACTTACCTTCCTCCTCGTTATCTCGTCCAAGAAAAAATGAAAGATCAATTAATATTGTTGTTTTACAACATAACAATAAAATAAATAGAGAAGCCATGAAACCAAGGCGGCTCGTGGGCCCAAAATAAGAAGATCAATTCTTCTTTCATGCCTCGCTAGCACTCTAGGTTTTTGTGGGCAGGAAAACCTACTCTATATCCTTCTCACTTGGTGGCCAATTAAGAAGCAATATGCGAGGAATTTTTTTTCCTTTTTTTTTTCTTTTGTTAATAAAGACCCAATTAATTATGAGCTCGGCGGGCCGGATGAAGGACTCCATTAGCTTCCCTGTTCTTATTCCCGAAGCCGCACACCGCAACAAACATAAGCAGTAGTGCAATTATTTCCTGAATAATTTAATGGTAACAATCCTTTTCTTCTCGGTCGTAATTCGCTCAAGACCGGAAAGAAACTGCAACCCTGAAGCTTCCCTTAGGAGTTAGGATTGTGGACAAATCAACTAATAATAATATAATTAATTTGGACAATTGGATAAGGGCACAAAATCCCCAGCGGAATTATATGGAGATTAGAGATAGGCACAAAATTACTCCCTTCTTTTCTCTCCTCCAATCACAAACGCAACACGCCACTTGTCCAGGATAACTCGTGTCCATGAGTCCAACAAACCTCATCACGTGCTGCTTCTTCCACTGTGGACTTAGGAAGGAAAATAAATTTAGGCTTACAATTCATTTGCATGGACACCAATTAGTTAGCTCATAAGCAAAACCCTAGAAGAGAGATAGCGAAATCCCCTCTCTTCCTGAACACGAGATAGAGAGATTGAGTAGGTGCAATTAATCCAAGCTTCCATAACTCAAACGGAAAGATTAGTTAAAACTGAATCAAGAGCGGACAATTAATTAACAAAAGGAATTCATAATAATCCACTTAGCTCCCAAAAGCAGTCGTTCCATCGAAAGGGAAAACGGAACAATAGATCCGATGAGTAGAGCGACCATGAACGCCATTATCGGCCGAGATCAAATCGACATCCTGTTCGGTACACATGGCAGCAACACAACGTCTTAAAATTGTTAGGAATCGAACAAGAAAAATTAGGGTTACCGAATCTGGCTGAGTCGCGGACTAGGTCGCTCTCTTTAAGACGTTCGCGGCACTGCCTTCGTTGCGCACGGCAGACTATCAGCCGGTCGCCTCCAGGATAAAACAGCCACTCATTAAATTTGCTCAGCGGTTTTGTGCGGAAACCGGAGCTCTCTGAATTTCACTCTCTCTCGTGTTTCTGCTCTCTGATGTGTGTTTAGAGGGTCTAGGGGTCTGCTATTTATAGGAGCAGAAAACCTAGAATATTCCCTCTTTATTTGGGAATAAGCCACATTTTAATTAGGAAGATAATTACTTCCATAATTAAAATATATTATATTATATTAAGATAATTAATCTTAATTATCTCCATAATATTCTTTTTATTAATTATCCTTCCTATTTTCGTATCTAGAAAGAATACGGGATAATTAATTCAATATAGCTTTCAAAGCTATTCATTCCCAACAGCGACTTCTTTCTTACTCGTGTCTTCACTGACCAACAGGTAAATAAAAACCACAGTTTATTACTAGCCACCACTACAACAAAACGACCGACCTTCCGTGACTAAAAATAACTGGTCGCTAAATGTTGAGCTTTAGTAGTAAAAATTAATTCCGCACGTACGTATATGCATGCAGACTGTGAACGGGTGGAACGTGGGGATCGAAGCGCTGAAGGAGAACGTGAAGGCGATGCTGCTGTCAGCTCCCTCGACGACGACGACGTCGGAAAAGCTGAAACTGATCGACGTGGTGGAGAGGCTCGGCATCGGTTACCATTTCGAAGAGGAGATCGAAGAGCAACTCCGAGAAATCCATCATGGGAATCAACATGATCCGAATAACAATAACAATGACGACCACGACGACGATCTCTTCACCGTTGCACTCCAGTTCAGACTGCTCAGGCAACACGGCTACAATGTGCCTAACGGTACGTACGCATGTACACACATATAATTTTTCAATCATTTCCCCTCCCCTCTTAATCATTAATCTCTGCAGACATATTCGAGAAGTTCCAGAATGGAGAAGAAGAAGGAGGAAGCTTCAAGGAGGAGCTGGGGAGCGACGTGGAAGGTATGATGGGCCTGTACGAAGCTGGTTACCTCCGCATGCATGGAGAGACAATACTAGACCAAGCCATCGAGTTCGCTACGACTCGATTGACTAAGTACTACGAGCAACTGCAAAAGCAGCTGGATGGTGCAGGTTGTACAGATCATGATGATGATCAACAACGCGAGTTATTGATAGCCAGACGAGTTGCTCATGTCTTGAAGAGGCCCCTTCGTAAAGGCGTCGAGAGGCACGAGCAGCTCTTCTTCATCTCTGTGTACGAGAAAACGGAGGGTCACGACGTCACCCTTCTGAAGCTGGCCAAGTTGAGCTGGAATTCCCTGCAACACTCGTACCAACAAGAGCTCAGGAGCATTACCCAGTATGTCCATCCATCGCGCACACAATCTCATCAAACTCATCAATTACATTGAGTTTTTGACTATGTTAATAATAATGATTGTTCATATATAGGTGGTGGATCGATTTGGACTTCGCGACGAAATTATCGTTTGCACGAGACAGGTTGATCGAGGTCTACTTCTGGGCCGTGGGAGCCATGTGGGAACCAAAATTCTCGATGGCTCGATACATTCTAACCAAACTAACCATGCTTGTGTCCATCAACGATGACATATATGATGTTCACGGCACGATCGACGAGCTCCAGCTGTTCACTGCTACTGTTCAGAGGTAATTCAAAACAAAACAAAACAAAAACAAATTCATATTCTAACAACTATTAATTATCTTCTCCTTTTTAATCTTTGGTGTGGTTCATTAATTGCAGCCCATACTTAATTAACTAGCTACACTAAATGGGTTCATTAATTAATAACAGATGGGACACCGGCATGAAGGATCTACCAGAGTACTTGAAGTTATTTTATGGGGCAATTATTGATGTGTTGGACGAAGTAGACGCCATTACTACCAGAGAAGGAAGGCCCTATTGCTTGGAATACGGCAAGCAGGCGGTTAATCCCTAATTATTAAGTTCATAATAATCCCTAATTAAATTAGCGGTCATTAATTAGTTCTTGCCATCTCTTAATTACTTATTTATAAATAAATTTGTACGTCGACGGTTTTGCAGGAAAAGAATCAAATGAGGGCATACCTGACAGAAGCAAGATGGTTTGCGAAAGGGGAAGTGCCGACGATAGAGGAATACCGGCGAGTCGGGGTCTACTCTTGTACTTACCCTTTACTCGCCTTCTCGGCACTCGCCGGAATGGGTGACAAGGCACCGAAGGAGGCCTTCGATTGGCTGCTGGCGGATCCCAAGATCCTCATCGCCGTCGGCGATCATTGTCGTCTTATGGATGACATTGTATCTCATGAGGTATGAATTCATATTCATTGTTTTACAGACATAATAATAATATTACCACCATCTAGTCATATATATATATTTTTTATCCCTGATAATTTCCTCTCTCGCGCGGGGATGTATAGTTCGAGCAGAAAAGAGGACACGTCTCGTCCTCTGTAGAGTGCTACATGAAGCAGCACCAGGTGTCGAGAGTCGAGGCGGTTAATGCCCTAAACCAAATGGTGGAGAATGACTGGAAGGTCATAAACGAAGAGTGCTTGCTGGTCAACCGCCCTGATTTCATATCCAAGGAAGTCATTTCGATGTTTGTCGGGCTTGCGAGGGTGATGGAGGTTCTGTACAAGGATTTCGACAGCTACACCTTCTCCAACACCACTACCATGAATATGATGACTGCTCTGCTCGTCACTCCGATGGAGGTCGCCCCTTGATCAATGCTCGGGAACTTGTTGCTAGCGATCGATCTCCTGTCTTTTGTTTTATTTTGTTTCCTCGTGAACATGTTATCTTTTGTTGTTGACTTGTTGTTGTTGCTATAATTAACCTCTAGCACAGTTGAGATTATCCAATTGTCATTATCTCTATTCCCTTTCGTGATATTTAATTTCCTCGCTATGAACTTAGAGTTGTGTTGTGTCTAGGTCTTCGTAACACTAGTTTTAAACTGACATCTCGAATTCGAATCCGTTAAATAGTATCTAACAAAAAAAAGTAAATCTATATCACTCTTATAAGAAAAAATATGTAGTTAATGCGATTGGGTATGACTCTGATATTAATTATAATCACATATACAAAATTCAATCTGGGACTCTAATTATCGAAATGAACCGAAACTCTATAGAGTATTCTAGGTAAAAAAAGAACCCTCACCATAATGCTGATACGTAAACACAAGACTATTGCCGTTATAAAAAAATTTGTAACGGAAATTTCATCCTAAAGGCGCAAAACCGCCCTAAAGGCTTCACCGACGGATTAAACGTCGCCAAAGACATTTTAATGAGCAGATTTTGCGACGAGACAGATTTCGTCGCCAAACGTTCAGACCAAGATAGCCACCACTTATTCATTAAAACAAAACACGAACAAACGGACGTAAAGTGAAGACCGTTCACCACATGATGAGATGAGAGACCTTAAGATAAGACCTCCGGTGGCCAACCCACCGGAGAAGTCATCGGTGGAAACAGAAAAAAAAAAAAAAACAATTGTGCACCCAAATCAAGTAACAACGATAGCAGGATTATGAGAAGCAAATTCAAGAAATCCCGGGTCGCGTTCAAGACCAGCCATGATTTCCTCGTCTAGCCTTACCCATGCCTCCACCATTCCACCACCAGCAACTTCGCCGCCGGCCAGCTCGTTCAAGATCATGCAATTCTCCACACAACGTCTATCCCCTCTGGCCCCTCCCATCATGCTCACCCAAACCGGTTTCCCCAATCCGGCCAGCTCGAAACTACGGAGCAGATCGAACTGCAGCCAGCTCGTCCCCGCCAGAACCTCATGGCTACCACCGATTCTTCCTGCCAACCGATTCATCGCGTCAAACATGACCTCACTCCCTCCCTCCCCGGAGATGGAATCGAGGTAAGCTTCGTCGACTCCCTGGGCCGATCGCCTTATAACCTCCGCCAGCTCCTTCATCGTCTCCCTGTTTTGGTTACGTAGCGCGCAAATTGGTAAGATGAGTGGTAAAGTTTTGATGCTGCTCTTCATAAAAAAAAATCCCCCAAATAAAAAAAAAATTCAGGGGAGAAAATACAGAGTACCTCTGTTTTCCTCCTCCTCTGCCCTCGCTGCGGAACGCAATTGGGGTTGCAAACATATTCCCAATCGTGTTTCTGCACAGACGCCGGCCCATTCGATTCCTGATGCTAACAATATTCGCGAAACATTGCAGCTGTTCTTCATTCTGTGAAGCGCGAATTGCGGATTCCCACAGGAAAGCCCACAATGTCTCCGTGCGGCTCGGATTCTCCAATCCGATGCCCCTGGCTCTGCCTCTCAGCGCCGCGATGGCTTCCCCGCCGAACACGAATCTCCTGGTGGCCGTCCTCCGGAGGTTCTGGAAGAGCAATTCGGCGTTGAAGCTGGCGATTCGCGGCGGGATGGACCGTCTGGGAGGGAAAACAGAGGATGCTCTGTTCAGATCCGGCAGTTGTTCGTGATTTGATTTTGAGCCGCCGATTTTTTTGTCATTGGCGGCCCAATTCTCGAGGAACGCGGTGATGGTGCCCCCGTCGGCGATCTTGTGGTGAAAGTTGAGCCCGATTGCGGTCCCTCCGCAGTCGAACGTGCTCGCCTGGACGGCGAGCTGCGGATGGTCGTCGAATTCGGTGCTCGGTGTCTGGAGAACGCACAGTGGCTCGAACGGGACCAATTCGCCGAGCAGGTCGAGGTCAGGGGGCGATAGGAACTCCGAGAGGGTTCGGCCGGCGACTCGAGCTTCGGAGATCGGGACGCCGGCTTGGAAGTTGTCGATGACGAGATTGTCCCTCACCCGCCCGGCGAGCGGGTAGAATGGATTCAGGGTCTTGGACAGTGAGGCTTTCAGTTGGTCGGCCGGCGGTGAAGCTGGTCCGTGGCTGTTTGCCGCCGACGAAGCAGGGTAGAAGAAGACGAATGAAGTGTAGATAGAGCTCATGAGCTGGTCGAGGAGGCAGAGGTTATACGGCTTTCTGATCTCGAATCCCGACGACGACGATGCTGGTTTTATGTTCTCCACGGACTTCACCACGACTTCCATCAGCTTTCCAGCTGGCCGCCGTGCGAGATGAGCCATTGCGGATTAATTAGCTTCAACTCTCACACAATGCCTAATTAGGTATCCAGTTGCAGCTGTTTGGTTGATGTACCAAATGAACAGGGGAGAGAGAGATATATAGAGTTCATTGTCTTTCTTTCGGATGAATCATGAAAATGTCATTTGAGATTCACGGGTAAAGTTTCTTCCTTATTGATTACTAGCTTGACGTTTCGTTCCACGTAGGGATGACAATTTCGACCTGACCCGATTTACCCGACCTGTTTGATTTGTTTTTGGGGCGGGTTAGGCGGGGCGGGGCGGGCATGGGTACCTCTCATCGACCCGACCTGCCCTGACCCGCCTCATTCTCGACCCGTTCTTGCCTAAATTACATATAATATTAGTCAAATTACTTAAGATTTTCCTCTTACTACATTACATTTTAGCTATAATAAAGTTGTAAATAAGTGAAAACCTCAACTTCTTCAATAATTTAACTACGTTTTATCATATTATGGTTTCTTTCTTGGTCTTTCAATGAAAAGAACGAATATTTCTAATGTTTTTCACATAAATTACATACCCAATGAGTCGACCTGCCCCGACCCGCGCCCCGTGATAAATTACCCGACCTGCAATGGGACGGGTATGGGTATCGAGATACCCGCCCCGGACCTGCCCATTGCTATTCCTAGTTCCATGGATGATCACTACTCGTCCAATTCCGTTGATAATCAACTATGATTTTTGATCATTATGCTGCTTATGTGTCCAATCTCTCTTCACAGAGATGGATTCTCCAACCATGAGCGCCCGGGGGCCTGGTAAGTTTTTGGACCAGAATAGGTTTGGGCCGGTCGGCCCAATTGACTAGTAAGTTTCGTGAAGGCTGAAGCAGTCAGTCTTCTAACAAGCCTATGGAACTGGGAACTGGATTTCGGGAAACGTATTATGGGCATCAAGTGGGAAGTACTCCAGAGCCCGTCAAAGCATTCACAAAATCCAGATGGATGGATGATGGTTTGCCGTCAAAAAGTATAGTGGAAAAAAGCCGTCAAGTCAAAGTATAATGAACCACACATATTGGACCGTGGGTTTCCACATTGTTTGACTACAAGCTTACGATCTCTGTGTTAACTACATGCAGCTGCTCTTGTCGATCAACTTTGGCGATTTTGGAGCTGCGTGCGTCTGCTTTTGTTCCTTTGCTATATACATCATGTTCATCCGCCCACTACATTCATTATAGCTTTTTGCCAAACTGGAATCTTAGGACCCACGGTTGAGATGCGAGTCGAATCGGATTATATATTGTTGCGCGCCGTCGACTGGAAGTCATCAGGTCTCTGTTCTGGGTTGATCTCCATAACATTTTTATTTACCATATTGGATTAGAGTTTAGATCGTTTTGGAGAAACACTGTATATATATATTTCTTAATCCCTCTCTGTAATTTGTAATCTCCTCAGCTGTAGTGAAACTGGCTGACATCGTGTTAGTGTGAACCACGTAAATCCGTGTTGTTTCGTTACTTTCTTGTATCGTCGATTATCCCGATCCGTTACTTTCTTATATATCTCGTCGAATAAGGTGCGCACGAACCCTTTTCCCAAAGAGAATAATACGACTTGTCCAACTTGGCATGCCATGTTTTCTTTAATTTCCATCTTTATATAGGGCTGGAAAGAGAAGGCAAGTCTCATCCCCAGCTTACAAAGCACCCGAGAGTATTATAACCAGGAAAGATCGATCAAGCAGCAGTGCTTTTAAATTAGTGCAGAAAATATAGCACCGTCGTTATCTTAGATTATATGGCCTGCTCCAACGCAAGTTCTTCGGCCGCTGCTCAAGAGCGGCGGACAGCGGACTTCCACCCAACTGTGTGGGGCGACTTCTTCCTCACTCGTGTTTTCAGTGACCAACAGGTAATCAATTTCTAGTAACGAACTAAGTCGTTGCTAAATATATGTTTTTCGTCACAAAACATGTTTAGTGACCAAATGTTATTGGTAAAAGCTTTCGTCCTATTCGCCCTGTTAGGGAAACTATTTTCTGACAATTTTATTTTTTCGATTTGGTCACAATTGATACATGGTGATTTTTTATGACCAAAAGTAGAAATGGTCACTAAAATAAAGTTTTTTGTGACCAGAGTAATTTACAATACTATACATGCAGGCTGTGAACGAGTGGAACGTGGGGATTGAAGCGCTGAAGGAGAACGTGAAGGCGATGCTGCTGTCAGCTGCTCCGACGACGACGTCGGAAAAGCTGAAACTGATCGACGTGGTGGAGAGGCTTGGCATCGGTTACCATTTCGAAGAGGAGATCGAAGAGCAACTCCGTCAGATCTATCATCATGGGAATCATCATCCGAATAACGTTGACGACGACGACCTCTTCACCGTCGCACTGCACTTCAGGCTGCTCAGGCAACATGGCTACAATGTGCCTAGTGGTGCGTAACTATTAGCTAGCCACATATATAACATTCATCCAATTAACATAGTTTGTGCTTAATTTGCCATACGCGCAGACGTATTCAAGAGGTTCCAGAACGAAGAAGAAGAAGGAACCTTCAAGGAGGAGCTAGGGAGCGACGTCGAAGGTATGATGGGTCTGTACGAAGCTGCACATCTCCACATGCATGGAGAGACGATACTAGACCAAGCCATCGAGTTCGCTACGACTCGATTGACTAAGTACTACGAGCAACTGCAAAAGCAGCTGGATGGTGCAGGTAGAGATGATGATGATGATCAACAACGCGAGTTATTGGTAGCCAGACGAGTTGCTCATGTCTTGAAGAGGCCCCTTCGTAAAGGCGTCGAGAGGCACGAGCAGCTCTTCTTCATCTCTGTTTACGAGCAGATGGAGGGTGATCACGACGCCATTCTGCTGAAGCTGGCTAAGTTGAGCTGGAATTCCTTGCAACACTCGTACCAACAAGAGCTCAGGAGCATTACCCAGTACGTCCATCGCTCGTGCAATCTACGTAAACAACGATTTTGAATTACATTGAGTACGTAAGACTAGGGGTGGCTATACGGTCCGGTCCGGTTAAATTGACCCAAATTGATCCGGTCCAGTCCGGTTTTTTTGAAAATATAAGGACCGAAGATTGGATTGGATACAGTCCGGTCTTGATCCGGTCCGGTCCCAATTCGGTCTTGGTTTTATATTGAGATTGTGGGAATTTGAGTGGCCTAAGGCCTAAAAGGGTGAGGAGTTGGTTAAGTTTTGTACTAAGTGCAAAGGTTTGTGACCGTTTATGCAAATTACCCTTAAGTTTTGGATGTTGAGCTCTCTTATCCGGTCTTTATCCGGTTTTTTACCTCAAATCTAAGCCCAAAAATTGGATTGGATTGTTTACTATCCGGTCCCGGTCCGGTCTCGGTCCGGGTTATACGGTCCGGTTTCCGGTTTTTCATCCGGTCCCGGTCCAAATAGCCACCCCTACGTAAGACTATATATGTCTATATTAATGATGGTTTATTTACATATAGGTGGTGGATCGATTTGGATTTCGCGACGAAATTATCGTTTGCACGAGACAGATTGATCGAGGTCTACTTCTGGGCCGTGGGAGCCATGTGGGAGCCCAAGTTCTCGATGGCTCGATACATTCTAACCAAACTCACCATGCTTGTGTCCATTAACGATGACATGTATGATGTTTACGGTACCATCGACGAGCTCGAGCTATTCACCGCTACTGTGCAGAGGTATTGTAGCTAGCTAATTAATTAACAGCAAAACGGCTATATATACCTAATTACTATAAATTTTGGTTAATGATATGATTAATTACAGATGGGACACCAGCATGAAGGACTTGCCAGAGTACATGAAACTACTTTATGGAGCAATTATTGATGTGTTGGACGAAGTAGACGCCATTACTACCAGAGAAGGAAGGCCCTACTGTTTGGACTACGGAAAGCAGGCGGTAACTAATCATTATTGATAACGTTTATAATTTACGTGTCATCCCTAATTAGTCAATAATTAATGATTAATCCACATCCCTAATTGCAGGAGAAGAATCAAATGAGGGCATACCTAGCAGAAGCAAGATGGTTTGCAGAAGGGAAAGTGCCGACGATAGAGGAATACCGGCGAGTTGGGGTCTACTCTTGTACTTACCCTTTACTTGCCTACTCAGCCCTCGCCGGAATGGGTGACAAGGCACCGAAGGAGGCGTTCGATTGGCTGCTCGCGGATCCCAAGATTCTCGTTGCCCTCTCTGACCACTGTCGTCTCATGGATGACATCGTATCTCACGAGGTAAACTAATTGATTGATCCATTGGTGCAGATGCAGTGAAATTTTTCTTTTTTATTTATTTATTGTATCTCAATTCGTCCGATGGGCGGGGGAATATATGTGTGGTATTAGTTCGAGCAGAAAAGAGGACATGTCTCGTCATCGGTGGAATGCTACATGAAGCAGCACGATGTGTCGAGAGTCGAGGCGGTTGATGCTTTGAATCGAACGGTGGAGGACGACTGGAAGGTCATAAACGAGGAGTGCCTCGACATCAACCGCCCCGATTTCGTCTCCAAGGAAGCCATCTCCATGTTGGTTGGACTTGTGAGGGTGATGGAGGTTATCTACAAGGATTTCGACGGCTATACCTTCTCCAACACCACCACCATGGACATGATGAATGCTCTGCTCGTCACTCCCATCGAGGTCGTCGCCCCTTGATCATAATCGATGGAAACTTTGGTTCTCGACCACACTTTTCATGTATCCAAGAATAATAAGGCTTCTATATATAGCTTGCTAGTTTTTTTTTTTTTTTGTCACATCTAGCACTGTTGAGGTGATCCGCTTCTCGATCTCCATCTTTCTGCTTCTACGCGCGCAGAATCGTGTTTTTGACTGTAAACCCAAAAGACTTGTTTGAAAGTCTTAATTATCTGATTCACCATGTATAGTTTCTATATGCAAGAGTTGTCATTGCAAAGACGACCATGACCGCCGTATAGTATCAATCATAAATTGGACTCGCTTTGGACGAAATCCTGGCTTCACCCATGTGGACGCGCAACCCTACGTTCTCTGAGTTAACTGCATATATGCAGCTCTTGCCGATCGATCAACTTTGGCGACTTGGAGATGCATGCGGCTGCTTTTGTTCCTTTGCTATTCAATGTTTATCCGCCCGGCTAAAATAAACCAAACAAAATTGAATACTAGTAGGACGAATTTGACAGATTTCAATGGAGATGCACGAAATGAACTATTTGTTATAAGTTCAATTATGTTAAGATAAACATAGCAATCCCATAGTTCATGTCTGGACATATTCTATATAGGCCACCTCGAAAAGGAAAGAGGCCGGTGGAAATCAAACCTCTTGTAATTGATGGAAGTGTTGAGGAACCTTTCTAGTAAAAAATTGATTTGGTTGGGTCGAGTGGGAGGAATATTCTCGAGCGATGGCCAAATAATTGACCATGACCATTTTTTTTGGGTAAATACAATTTAATATCCAAACCTTTCATTTTAAACAATATAATAGCCAAACCTTTTCGAAAACAATATAATATTCAAATCGTCAACTTTCCGTTCGTTTGACCGTTAGTTGACACTTAAAAAAGCTTTGTTTAGGGAAAATTGTCACAATACAACTTTGTTTTCTTGTTTTGGCCTTGCAGATGACTGAATATTTAGATATTCTATACCATCATGGTGGAGTCATGTACTTCTCGGGTTTGGAACTAGGATATGTTGGTGGTTTTTCAGAGAAGATATCGATGGATATTGATGAAGTGTCGTACTTCGAACTTTTTTGAAGTGTCAACTAACGGTTAAACAGACAGAAAGTTGACGATTTGGATATTAAATTGTTTTCGAAAAGGTTTGGCTATTATATTGTTTAAAATGAAAGATTTGGATATTAAATTGTATTTACCCTTTTTTTTGTATGTGGTATCCATTAATCACAATCGCTTCTCGCCCTTCTTTCGGGATAGAAAGAGGAGCAAAATGATGCAATCTAAGAGCCTCTTTAACGAACGATTTGAGGCATGTAGCTCACCGAAGCACTCTTCATCTACTACTTTCCCTCCCTCCTCAAAAAACATGACTTACCTCTCTCTGGGTTCTTCTTCACCAATTCAGACATGGCCCATTCCACTGCGAAAGGGGAAGCTAGCGTCACCACCAGCCACGCAAATATGTCCTGTAATATGTGTATGTAGTATCAACTGCGTTGTCCTACACACATCGAGGCGTTCTTTGAGCGACATGATCGATTTCCAGCTTCTAAACAAAAAACACATCATTTTAGTGAAATTAATCAAAACAATTTATTTTGATTAATTTAAAAGTTGAATATTTAATGTTAATTTCTTGGACTAAAGTATAAGTGTTTGAGTGTTAAAGGTTAAATAATATGTTTAAATATGAGTATTTGCTATTTTGTTTCACAATGTTGGCTTAACTTCATTTGATGTTGATATTAATGTTTTTTTGTATTTCTACATATTTTGTTAAAGCGACGGTTTGTACCATGATTCCACAATCGAACCATACCACTTGCTAAAACCGCGATCTGACACAAAAGAGCTTATATATAGTAGGCAACCAAGCACGGACTCATAAACTACACCACTACCACCACCACAAAGAAAGAGGGACGACAGAAATGGAAGAAGCAATTAGGCATGACGATGAGACTCTCCTGAGTAACAATAATCCTCTCCTCCTCCTCCTAATCCCCATTCTCATAATCCTTTCCTCAACCATGTACATCTTCAACAAGATGAAGAAGAAGAAGAACAGAGCACCCTGCTTTCCCCTGCCTCCAGGCCCATGGAATCTCCCCATAATCGGCAACATCCACCAGCTCGCCTTCTCCTCCTCCACCTCCGGCCCAGTCCACCGCCGCCTCGCCGAACTGGCCCAACACTACGGGCCCATCATGCAGCTCAAGCTCGGCGAGACCTACAACGTCGTCGTATCGTCCCCTGAATCAGCCCGAGCGTTCCTGAAAACGCACGACCACGAATTCCCCCTCCGGCCCTACATGCCGTCCGCCAGCATCATCTTCTACGGCGGCAAGGACATCGTGTTCTCGCCGGTGGGGGATCACTGGCGGCGGATGAAGAAGCTCTGCACCACGGAGCTGCTCAGCGAGAAGCGCGTCAGGTCCCTCCGGCCGGTTCGAGAAGAGGAGGTCGGTAAGCTGATGAAGTTGATCGGTGGCGAGGCTGGTGGTGGAGGAGCGGTGAACCTTAGCCGGCTGCTGTTCGCCGTTAGCAACATGATCACGTCGAGGACGGCGTTCGGGACGATTCGGGAACTGGAGGGTTCTTTCCTGCCGGTGATCCATCAAATTGTTCAGACGCTTGGTGGGTTCAGCATCGGCGACATCTTCCCTTCCAACAGGTAAGTAATCAAAACGCTTTTACATTTCTTACAAATGTATCACCAAAACGTGTCTACGTAGAATCTCACTTTTAATTGCGGTGGTTAATTGATCGAATCCTCAATGTTCATGATCATGATTGACAACTAAAAATTTCTCCATCCAAACAGGCTGTTGCGTTTAATCAGTGGAACAGAGAGACACCTGAAGAAGCTTCACCAAGAGGCAGATTCCATCCTCCAAGGAATAATTGATGAGCATGTGTCGAGAAAGAGGAGAAGAAGAGAAACAGAGGATCATGACATGGCAGAAGGAGCCGAAGAAGATGATAATGACGATGATGATCTAGTTGATGTGCTCTTGGCTTCCACTAACAACCACGTTGAGGTTAAAGCCGTCATCTTGGTAAGTATTCATGCGTGAATGTGTGTATATATGTATATGGTGACTTTTGATCGTACTTAATACGTTGATACATAATACACACACCGTGCAGGACGTATTTGTGGCTGCGGGTGACAGTTCGCCTATTGCGGTAGAATGGACTATGTCTGAATTAATGAAAAATCCAGAGAAGATGGAAAAGGTACAGAGAGAGGTGAGACATTTCTTCGACAAAAGAGGGGAAGGTGCAGTAGTCGATGAAGCGTTATTAAATGAATTGAAATATCTGAAATCGGTCGTTAAAGAGACTTTCAGATTACATCCTCCGGCTGCTTTGTCCCTGCCGCGAGAAGGTCCGGAAACAGTTGTAGTTAACGGGTACCAAATACCATCAAGGACGAGGGTGATTGTCAACTATTGGGCCATCGGTCGAGACCCCTCACACTGGACCCAACCAAATCAATTTATACCGGAAAGGTTCCTCGATACTTGTATCGACTACAGGGGTTTTGATTTCCAGCTCCTCCCATTTGGATCCGGACGAAGGGTATGTCCAGGCATGAACTATGGGACCGCAGTTGTTTATAGTTTGCTCGCGAATTTGCTCTATCGTTTTAATTGGGAACTCCCAAACCAAATCAAACCTCAAGATCTTGACATGTCTGAGAATTTTGGAGGCGCAATTTCACGAAAAAAGAATTTATATCTCATTCCCATCCCTTACCATGCACCTTAGACATGCATGTTACCTTAAGATCATAAGGATGCGTGAGGAATTGAGGATCATGTATCATTATTTTCACCTTTGCTTTTCATAAAGAGTCGAGTGTGATTCGATGCTTTAAATCAGGTATGCTTTAAGTTTCATTTTTAATGTGATTTCAATCTAATAAGAGTTGGAATACACTAGTTTGGATGTGAAAATGTAATACAGTAATTGGACCCAATTACCACATAATGCAGTAATTGAGTTAAAACCCCACGTTTGGCAGAGCAAAAAGGGTATGGGAATTGGACCATGGAAATTGGCTCCAATTACCACATTCATTGTAATTGAGAATACTACATCTCCCCCTAGTAATTTGACATTACCACGTTTTCTTCATTCTATTTCCAAATGTGTCCTTATGTCCTTCCTCTCTTTTCTTCCTTACTCCTCCGATTTCGCCTAACTATTTCTTACAAGAGTAGCTCCTTTTTCTTCATTCATCAATGACACCTCTTCTTCTTCATCTCCCTCACCTTCGTGTATCTCCTCTAATCCGTCGTCAATTTCTTAATTTTGGATTCGCTTAATTATCTCATTCACCGTCAATTTTCTTGCTTCTCCTCATTGAATTCGCATAAACACTTTTAATATCCGTATTTAATGAATTAAATTGTTAACTTTATTATAATTTATATATGTACTTATTATTCAAATAATTAAGTATATATATTTATGGCTTTTAATGTACTATTAAATGTAATATTAGTTTAGAGATGAAGTAAAATAATCGTACGTATTTTATACGTAACTTTTCCATATCATATTTTTCTAACTATGCTTAAGTTAGCAACAATTAGTAGTTAGTATAATACAACAACAACCTTTACGAGGGGTACATGTATATAAACAAAAGAGGGCATGTTTGTATTTTTACCAAATTTCACACCATCAATTCCCACAAAACTAAACCCTATCCAAACGTGGAATTTTGTTCAATTTCCACAAGTCAATTCCTTGATTTTGTAAAACATGGAAATTCATACAAATTCCCACGTTTTCAAATTTCCACATCCAAACCGACCTATATTACTTTCTCCTATTTTTTTCCCCATCTCTCTTGATCAGCTTCACAAAATAAAAACCAAATCAACATGACCTTAATTTGGAGAAACCAAATTTCTATGAAACAAAAGACTAACATATATGTAAAGATGGATCATCGCCAGAATTACAATAATAGCAACCAAATTACCTTCGGACAGACCAAATTATTAAGTCGTCCACATTGCGTCCAGCCGCCAAAAGAGAGTTGGAAAAAACTGGTTTTAGTACTTCCAACTGTTTGCGTCAAAGGATGGTCGGATGATGGAGGCCGGCCGGCCGGCGGGCTGGGTGATGCTACGTACTGTAGCGGCCACGGAGAGAGAGAGAGAGAGAGGCGAGTTTCCATTGGAAGGAATCCCGGCCGTCTGTTTGTCCCGTTCCAGCTTACGTACGATCTCGATCTGTGTTAACTTCATGCAGCTCTTGCCGATGGATCAACTTTGCCGATGGATCTGTGTTTTGGTCTCATATAATGGGCTCCCAAAATTCTGACTTCCCAAACTAACTATAGTCCATTGGGCCGCCCGTCTCAAAGTTATTCCGGTCCAAAACAATACCAGGCCTCCATTTATTATAGTAAGGAATTCGAACGAGCCATGCAAACTCACTGATCACTAGGCCTTCATTTAGGGAGTTGCTAAAGGTCGCCCTTAAAATTGCTAAAGGTCGCCCTAACTTAGAATTTGTTGTATTATGGATATGAAAATAAGGATTCTTGAGTTTTTGAATTTTTTTATTATCATGGATTTATAATTTTTTTTTGCACCATGAGACATGAGATCCACAAATTTGCATTCCATCAACTAAATTCCAAATAGAACGGAAGATCTCCAAATTTGTGGGATCCACATGCTTGTGTTCCAATTTCTTACCTCAACGAACAATGAAGTTGTTTAAACTCATGATGCCTGAAATTCGAATGTCAAATCCATCATCCAAATCCTACAAGCAAACGGCCCCTTAATTTCACGATAAAAGTAATTAGGTTTTCATAAAGAAAACTTTGGAGTTGTGGTGCAAATCTTGTTACCGGGCGAAGAGAATAAATTTCAACGAAATCTTGAGATGGAAGTTTCACGTTTATGGTCTACATATATTTGGTTTTCTGGTTTTGGCATGTTTTGTAGTATTTTCCTTTCCGTATTATATTAGGATTAGACCATCTGAGAAGGTTCTATATATAATTTTTCAATCCTTTCGTAGTATGCATCCTCCTAAAATATATTGAAATTAAATTGTTGTCTTCTGAGTTCTGTCATGTATATAGTGAGTATATTGCATTCCTCAAGAAAGACCATCAATGATGAAGACTCCCGACCTATATGACTACACCCATTTACATTTAAGTTGGACTTCATATCCAATCCAAATAGTTTGGATAATTAAAAACTCATGAGCATGGATAAAGTTGCCACCCCTAGAATTAACCATTTAATAGGTCAAATTCTTATTAATCAACATCAACACAAACCAAAACACACAGAAGGCAAATAACAAACACATAAACGTAAAACAAGAAAAAACAACCAACAAGGTGATAGATAGATAGATCGTCTTGGTGCAAAAGTCACCTGAAAAAGAGAACAATAAAAACGACATGCATCATCTGGTAATGCTCAATCAAGACTCTCTCTCCCTCTCGGAATCATCACATTTCATAATTCGTCAAGAGAAAGTCCGGTTCCCTCTAGTTTGAGTCGTGTGAGCTGGTCAATGCGTTGAGCCATCTCGGACGTCAAGTAGTTCTTCCAGTCCCCCACGGATCCTTTCCTGAACAAAGCACTTTTGGGCATGTTGGGCAGCTCCCAGACGCCACTTTTGTTAACCTCCAGATTCCGGAGCCTGCCGATGCTGCTCCTCCACAGCACCTTATCGAGCTCCGCATCGCCCAGGTCTCCTCCATCCGGGGTAAACGGCTCCCCCAGAAACGAAGCCAGCTTCCTGACCTGCTCGTGGGGTTCTCGGCAGAGCTCCTCGTACCTGAGAAACAACACCTCCTCGGGCCGCTTCCGGCTCTCTTCCCAGTATCCCACCACGTGCTCGTAGAACGGCCCGTAGGGCATCACCCCACTGCAGAAGCTCTCCACCACTCTCTCCAGCGGGAACATACCGCCGGCGTCGCTCTTGAAGAACACGTTGTAGAAATGCCACATCGACACCACCGTGTCCTTCGGGTTCCGCGCCACGTACACGACCTTGCACCCGGAGTCCTTCACGGCCTCGGGCAGGGAGCTGGAAGGCACGTGGGTGTGGAACAGACGCCGGTTGGTCCGACGGCCGGGACCGGCCGCCGGTTCGAGCAGCAGCATCTCCTGGATCTGGTCGGCGAGGAAGAAGGCGTCGAGGGTGGGGACCACCTCGTGCGGGTTCAACCTCGTCAGGGCGTCGTCGTCTTCGTCCACGTGGCGGTGGAGGATGCTGTGGCAGAGAGCCATGAGCCACGTTGTTCCCGTCTTGGGGATGGACGCCAGGAGAATGTCGTCGGTTCGCGGCTGGAATCGGGAGTTGAATGCATCGATGGATTTCGCGTGCAGATCCAGGCACCAGAATCCAGCTTCCATCCACTGCATGTCGATGTCATGCCAAAACACCGCCGCCTTTTCCTTTGGTGGAACAAGTGCATCGTCGTTCATCGTCTCCCGACTACTACTGCCCATATTGCCGGCCACTAGCTATAGGTAGTGCATGTTGGAAATTGTTCACGTATACTATTTTCTTGCAACACAAGCAAACACATAAGATTAAGAAAAACATGCAAAGACACATGCAAGCGTCCTAGCCGATAGAATTCACTATCTCTCCTTAAAGAATCTTATTCCCCTCAAATACCCAAGGTTGTGGAATGATTCCTCCCAGGATAGAAAGGACGTACCTTTTCCGGCGTAGCGGTACCTCAAACCCCGGAAACACCATCGAACGCAGCGAAACGGCGAGAACCACACTTGACTCTATTTTCTCTTTGAAAAGAATGCAGAAAAACTAGTTTTGGATTTTGACAGAATTTTGGTACAGGGAAAAATCCATGTAAAACTCGTAGTTAAAACAAGAGGGGGTATGGTGCTATTTATAGAAAATGAAGGGATGCATTGAAGGGAGGCAACTCTTCATATGGGTGGTTACACCCCAACCATTGCATTGGTTCGTTTAAAATATTTCAACCATTGCATTGGTTCGGCCTCATGGAAGTTGGACCGGTTTGGTTATTCCAACCGCCACATCGGTTCGGTTCGATTTGGTTCAACTCGGTTTGGTTTGGTCCATTTGGTTACACAAACCAATTTAACCAATTAACCACATATTACATCAAATCGATCGAATTCGAGGCCATGCCTTCCCACATCTTACCAACATGGTACTTCAAGAGACTCTCTTGAAACTTTCCCCTTTTATTTCCATTCACACCACTAAAAATCCCAACAATCCCCCACATGAATGGAGAATGTTGTACTTTAAAAACTATGCAAAAAATTGTGTGATTCTCGACTAAGAATTAGTTGCATCGGAATAGGTAGGTTTCCCTTTGAACCTTCCTTAGTGAACATATATCGAGTATACTCACCAATCGGTAGATGTGATATCTTTGAACCGTCGGTTTTGCTTGTATACTAAGACAACATATGTCACACACCTAACTCTTATCCGTTCACTGGTTCTCATTGTTGTGTTCGTTTCAGCCATGAACACCGCCTGGTTTCATGAGTGTGTAGAGAATTGGCCTTCTTTTATTCTCCTTGAAGCGGCTCCACTTCACACTCACATAGGTGATTTCTAAACGTGTATTCCGAAAATACACTATTTGATCACATCCTGTGTCAAACTTAGAAGCCATTAAAAACCTTCCATCTTTAGGTTTACCCTTATAGTTGGACATTGTCTCATCATGAGAATAGACTTTGAATAATTTGACAATGTCGGACCATCAATCACAACTTTGTTTCTCCTTGAACCTAGAGGTTGGGTCTGCCAATCCTGCTTAGGTAGAGTTACCGCCATGATGATTTGTCCTAGGCCACGAGTCCATTCCCTTCGATGCTATCGTTAACTTCTAGGTAGGCCTAACGTTTGTTATCACTTGATCTAAGATGATCAATCCAAATAACTTTGCTAGAAATTAATCAATCCATAGTGTCACGTTTCCATTATCTTTGACGAGATTTATCACATAACACTCCTAGCCCTTGCAATAACACCTTTGTGCACAAGTGCGTTTTATTAACGCAGTCTTTGCGGGCCAAACTACTCAACTTCACCGGTCTTAGAGTTTAACTTGGACGTTTTCCAAGATACTGCTCCTCGTTAACCATAAATGCCTATCCATTAATGGACTATGGCCTTTGGTTCATCCGGTGAGTTCCCTTTGGGTACAAGACACCAAAGACTCGTCTCTTTTCAATTCACTACACATCTTGTGAGCTTGACTTGATTTTATTGCCTTGCAATAATCGTAACACATGCCAACGGTATTGAAGTCTCTCCACTTCATTAACCTTAAAGTACTTGAGCTTCACAAGTATCTCTTTAAATGTAGTGACATTTATGTCTTAGGTTAGAGTTTACGCAAATCTTCTAAGTATCACTTTCACTTTAGAAACACCCAAGCGACATTCCACATTATTTTCCCCCGTATCCCCCACATTTCAACTATTTCGCCATAGTTGTTGAAACCAACGTTTCCAGTTTGGGGAATGTTGTTCATATACATTCATGTATATGGTCAGAATCATCTCTCTTTGGGAAGAGTGGACCAACATCAATAAATATTCTGACAAAACGTCAATATATGCTAGAGTTTACTCATGAGTTATACCCTTTGACTGGGTTAACTCCACAAGGTTTAAGGACACTCACTTTCTCATTGGACACCTTCATACTTTCAAGTATGACTTTGTTTACCTTTCCACTTTTGTCTTATGGATAGGTTTGCGTCCCATTGTAGGGTCTCGAGATAGTAGCCGAAACAATGGCTAGCTCTTCTCCCCCACAATTCTACCCTTTGCCAAACATCATGGAATAATCCCATTTATTTTCCATGGTTTTACTTATTGAACTTGCCAACCACTATATGTATCTAATTGTTTACCAATGGTATGATCTCACTCGATTAGCATACCACAAACAATTCAGATTTTCTTAGAAAAATCATCCAATTACTTACCAATGGTGTTGATCAAGGCAACTTGAGACGTCATAAGTAATTCAGATGCATTCCAGTAATGGAAATCTCATCTAATTACTTTCCAATGACATTTCATTTATGTAACAGGATATACCATAAGTAATTCAAACGAATTTCTAATTCAATTGTCTAATTACTTTCCAATGGTATAAACTTTATAAATATACCATAAGTAATCCAGTCTTTATGTTCAATAAGATCATCTCAATTGAGCTCTCATGCCAAATTGTTTTCCAATGATATACATCTATATATACCATAAACAATTCTAGCAACTAGCTCCACGTTGATAATCATAGTCATCTTGATGACGACCATCATTTGGCAAGCTTATTAAATCCCTTTAAGGATCAATCATAGCTTCATTTTCCTTGCCCTCGTGGCATAGAAAATATCAAGTCCTAAACCACATACATAATAAACAAATTATTATGTCATCACAAGCATCTTAGGAATTAGAATTCCTTATCACTTATGGCTTACTCCTAATGCAAACCTTTAAACGTGCATTAACCAAATTTCATCTCCAACACATTGGAGGTATACTCTTTCAAACTATGTCCAACATACTATGAACATTACGTTTGCAACCATTCCGGCTTAGATAGACTTGATTCACAAGTCCCCACTAGCCACTCTCCATAGGTTTTACACACCTATGATTGTTCATATTCTCCCACTAGATAGTTTACTACTATCCAAACCACCGTTACTTAGAGTCCATGAAGAATTATCATAAGTACTTCCATCATCTCATGCATCACCTTGAATGAAGTCCAAATTAAATTGACACATTTATCATTCATCCATGCCACAAAATAGAGATGGACCAATGCAATAAAAGCATTAAAATTTGTGGTTAATTTTGGAACCATACAAACTCGTAAGGTTTTATCCAACCAATTTTCCACTTGGGAGATAAGAACATTTGTCTTTTATTCCACATGTAAATACACGACTTACATAGGTACACACCTACTAATACACACACATACATATGTCTACTCCTCAAAGGAGATTACAATACATATACAAGAATCCTAAGGATCCTTGGGGTCGAAGTCGGGATCAGAGAGGCATTCATCGGTCGCTATGTCGGAGTACTCCTCCTCGTTCTCCGATTCCTCAACTTCCTCTTCTTCCCCCATACTCTCCATCGAGTCCACATGGGTGCCCACATCGTCCATATTAGGACCCATTGAGTACCAATCATAGATGGGTATTCCATCTAGAGTCCAATAATTGGTTGGATGCTCTCCACCAATGTCATTATATAGCAAATCCCCGCTATCGTCATAAAAATCGAACCACTCTTCATTGTCAAACTCCATTTCGGAAGTAGAGAGATCAATAATCTCCGGATCTGATTCGATATTGATGACCTCTATGACGTCATCGTCATCATCCTCGTGAGTTGGACTCCATACTCCGGGGATGCTACCAATCATTTTCCGTTCTAACAGAATGAACACACTGATCAAATCAGAAACCAAGGGTTTTCTTGCAATGAACAGTGAATTAGAGATCAATAATCCCTTTTCTTTTTCCTTTTGATTGGAGGAGACAAGCGGTTACATCCGCTCAATTTTGTTCCAACAATCTTAAAGAATCTTATTCCCCTCAAGTACCCAAGGTTGTGGAATGATTCCTCCCAGGATAGAAAGGACGTACCTTTTCCGGCGTAGCGGTACCTCAAACCCCGGAAACACCATCGAACGCAGCGAAACGGCGAGAACCACACTTGACTCTATTTTCTCTTTGAAAAGAATGCAGAAAAACTAGTTTTGGATTTTGACAGAATTTTGGTACAGGGAAAAATCCATGTAAAACTCGTAGTTAAAACAAGAGGGGGTATGGTGCTATTTATAGAAAATGAAGGGATGCATTGAAGGGAGGCAACTCTTCATATGGGTGGTTACACCCCAACCATTGCATTGGTTCGTTTAAAATATTTCAACCATTGCATTGGTTCGGCCTCATGGAAGTTGGACCGGTTTGGTTATTCCAACCGCCACATCGGTTCGGTTCGATTTGGTTCAACTCGGTTTGGTTTGGTCCATTTGGTTACACAAACCAATTTAACCAATTAACCACATATTACATCAAATCGATCGAATTCGAGGCCATGCCTTCCCACATCTTACCAACATGGTACTTCAAGAGACTCTCTTGAAACTTTCCCCTTTTATTTCCATTCACACCACTAAAAATCCCAACAGTGCAGTTGTTGGAGAGAAGTGATATTGTGATCTTCTTCCTTGGCGCACTTGTTGGGGGATTTATATTAAGTATAGTGAAGGATGGGGTTTTTTTTCATATTTGATCCGATCTCATCTCCGCTACCGATGATTGAAAAATTGTATCGGAAGTTGTACCGAAAAAATCAGTGTAGGATATTTTTATATGATGAAACACTGATTTAATCGTGATTCAACTATTAAATACTGTCTTATATAC